GCCTACCTAAAACTGCATTTATTAGGTGTTGAGACGCAGTTCTTGGACCCGCCTCTCAACTTTTGATTGTGTTCACAAAGTATGTTCCTAACTCCACATTTTTACTACCATTAGACTGAAAAAGTTTAGTCTAAAATTTCTATGACTCACTTGCGTGATCAGCTTACATCTACGTCCCTTAGTCATGGCTCTTCCCGAAAAATATATAAAAACGGAAACCGCGTACAAAACGCAGTGCAAAACGCAGTCACATCATATCACAGAACGCAAAAGCAAGGTAAAGGACTTGGGTGTACTCATGTCGAAAGACCTTATCAAGACCACAAGACCTTGTAAAGAACACAATAAAATAGCCGTCACAACTGCAAGAAAAATGACAGGTTGGATAACAAGAACCTTACACACAATAGATACCATACCAATGGTGATAATGTTTATGACACTAGTGCTCTTTAGAGTGGAATACTGTTGCACAATGACAGCTCCTTTCAAGGCCACGTCTGTGGTAGAAAAAAAAGCTGCAGAAATTGATGATCCGAAGAGCGTGCAGAGATTATTTACTGCTAGAATCCATTTAGTAAAACATCTAAATTATTGGAACCGATTAAAATTAATAAATTTGTATTGTCTAGAGCGCAGACGGGAGACATAATAATTTACACTTTGGAAAATAGTAGAGGGGCTGGTCCCAAACCTGCAGACACAATTAACACCACATGAGACAAGAAGACATGGCAGGATGTGCAGAATACCCCCGTTGAAAAGCAGAGGTGCAACAGGTACTCTGAGAGAGAACTCTGTCAACAAATAAATAAAAAAAAATCAGGCCGAGACTGTTCAACACGCTTCCACTACACATAAGGGGCATAACTGGCCGACCCTCACAGTGTTCAAGAGAGAACTCGATAAATACCTCCAAAGGATATTAGATCAACCAGGCTGTAATTCATGTATCAGGGTGCAAGCAGCCGCGTTAAACAGCCTGGTTAACCAGTCCAGCAACGAGGAGGCCTCGCTTGAGACCGGGCCGCGGGGACCTTGACCCTCGGAAGTAACTGAAAGTAACCGCAAGGTATGTGAGATGTTCGCGAAATTTAGTAATGATATACAATATAAAGGTGGTACGTAATAATGATACAGACAAAATATAGATTACTACATAACAGAATAAGTAGTTTTACAACAGAACAAATATATAGTATTTAGCATTATTAATAGCAAGAAGAATATACAAGGGTGCGGTTTAGTAAAACCTCTCAATATAGTCAGTCCGTAAACCACGTCGGAGGGTGTTCGCGCGGTCACCTGTCCGGTGCTGGCCAGACCCCCAACGGCGCTAAGTTAACCTGACTCAGTAATTAAGGATCATCCCCTCAACCCCCCCCCCCCCCCCCCGACACCTCCCGGCTCTCTCAAGGTCTGGTAGCGTGGCCAGGCACTCCCGCCAGGGTCTAGGAGACGCTGGTGTCGTAAGAGAAGTATTTGGGGAGAGGGGAGAAGGCCCCTCGGGGTTATATGCTCTGCTGCCAACTGTCGGCACCACCTCCTCCCCACACTCATCTCCCTCACTCCCCAGCCTTCTTCCCCCCACTCCCCGGTCACTCACACCACTCAGTTTTTTTCACTCACTTCAGTTCGTACATCTGTACTCACCTGTAGACATAAGAGAATACAGTACAGACTTATGGACAGATCTATGCTGTTCTGTCTCGGTGAATTCCCGTCTGCCAGTTTGCCTTTCTCTGTCAATCTATCTACCTGTTTGAGTTTCGTCTGTCTGTCTGGCTGCCTGTCTTTTTGTCTGTAGGTAGGTAACTGCAGTTACCTACCTCGCTCTGCCTCCCTCTTACCTACCTCGCTCTGTAGGTAGGTAACTGTACCTACAGCCAAAACCTCTAGTGATACCTACAGTCTAGGAAACACTACAGTGTAGGTGATGGTACAGTGTAGGTGCTGCTACAGTGTAGGTGATGATACAGTGTAGATGACATTAAAGTGTAGGTGATGGTACAGTGTAGATGACGTTACAGTGTAGTGAAGCTGCAAATACTGACTGCACCTTGAGTTTGTTATTGTATTCATTGCTGATTTGTGTTGAGTAATTAGAGGTTGTAGATAATTTTGGGTAGTACTGTAGAACCTTAGGCACAGATACCATAGGTGAAATAAGTGTAGATAACAGAGTAAAAGAACACTGTTTCCCAAAAACGGTGGGTTTTCTGAGTGGAAGAAAACGTATGTCTGGAAGCTGACTTTAACCGCCTCAAGCTGCGCGCGCATTGACCCAAGGTTATATAAACCGGGACGGAGACGGCGTGGGCCCCTTTCCCAAGCTAGCTGCTGCTCTTACATAACGCCCACCCTCCTCCCGGGATCCTCTGCATCCCCTGTTTTAACTTTGAAAGGGACGGCCCACAGATGTGCTCAAGGGGCACTTGTTCTAGCATGCTAAGCATTTGCTGTATCTTTGGGGTGCTTCGCCGGAACCCCCAAAAGTGATAAGCCTGCAGATAGCTAAGAAATATTCCCATGAATTGTAATTAGTCTAATTAATGCAACTTTCATTTACTACCTATGGATGTAGTTATTAATTGTAATTGATCTCTCCTTTATCATTAAGGATTATTCATTATAATTATTCCTTAATACTTTATTGTTATGCACTAGTCAATAATTATCATTCATCCTAATTAGCTATTTGATTCATTAAAAATAATTGCTTATCATTATACTATTTGTAGTGTTTCCAGAGCAGAGCGAGGTACATAGTATAGCATATGATTTTAGAAAGAATGCCAACTGGTTTAGAATTTTTTATATGGCACTTATAGACATTTGATTTTGCATGTTCGTGAGGAAAGAGTTCAGTGCAACTTGTTAGCACTACATGGTAGACCAAGAGTACAAGGAGATCTGTGTCTTCTGCAACGAGGATGGTAGATTTGAAAGCGGACATTTTGATGACTGCTCTTGTGATCTCAATATTAGCATCTTGAGCCACTTAGCAGCTTCTGTCACAAACTTCCTATGATGAGCTGAATAATTGACTAAATGCTTGATTGCATCATTTGACAAGAAGTCCTATTATTTCAACATATATTGTCGCCCCTGTAATGTTTACCTGTTCGCATTCAAAATGCTACGTCGACTCTTATGGGTACAGTTCTTTCTGCTTGGTCCAACCCCATAGCTATAAAACAGGACAGTGGCTGTAGCATAGTGTTCAAAATTGAATGCAGCGTCATCTTCTGTAATTGAACTGCAGGCGCACCCTTCCGTCTAATTTAAGCAATGCAGAAGTGATTCCCCATCTAGAACATAGTAATCTGTCACTGTGAACGTCTGTGTGACAGCATTTTCCAATATGAAGGTTGCACAGTTCCTTATCGTTTCTGTCAGTTGTAGCTTATCGAACTAGCACAAGATATCCTTTACTTCAGACATAACATGGACAGAGTTCATAGTTCATCACTTCGCCGTTGATGGAGGTCACCTGTCGGTGACACAACTAGCAACCTCTGGACTAAGGACGCTGGATGTATGGTACGGTCTGCAGCATCTTAAGAGTGTCGTACTGGACGATAGTGTTTGACCTTCAAACTCCTTTTGTGAGAATAGGAGAAAACTGTCCGTTCATCTTCCTATAACATTTCATATTTCTCATCCTCCTATGACATTTCATATTTCTAACAGGAAATATACAGTGACATCCACATTTGCATGTGGAATATGTACATGTGACATCCACCTATGTCATGATACTGGTTTTATATGCAATGAATAATATAAACCGATATGGTTTTATATGCAATGAATAAAATAATAATTTTATAAACCGAATAATCCGAAAACGATGTGTAACTTTTAGTCTGGCTGCGACTTTTTCGTCAGCCTCATCTCTACTCGCTCTGGCGGTGAACAAGTTCTAGTGGTGTTCACCTGTTGTGTAATTATTCATGATCAGTTCTTGCATAGCAAGATTGTAAGTGGATGTCACAGTGGAAGACAGTCCAAACTACTCTCTGGGGCTCAGACATCCCACTTCCTTGTCCCCATAATTGGCTTTTTAGGGAGCGCATTGGTGTCTGCTCTTTCACAAGATCAGAGACCAGGCCAGCCCGGTATGGGCTGCTGAATCTGATTACATGGAAACCAGACTGAATTATATACGATATATTACGCAGAGGGGGAGGATGAGGATGAGACACGAAGGGAAGACCAAGGAGATGGGGTAAGGGGGTTGAGGGGAAGATGGGATGAAGAGTGGAACAGAGGGGAAAAAGGTAGAAAGAGGAAGAGACTCCGGTACAGCCGGATACCCCTAATCTATATATACATGGAAATATCTGTCTATTCGAGGTTGGAGAGAAGAGGAGGGGGGGATTGTATTTTTGATGAGGGGTGAGGATAGGGAGAAGGAGAAATGAGAGGAAAGAATTGGGGGGGGGGGAGAGAAGATGAAGGGGAGTGGGAAAGGGGCGAGGTGTGGGAAAGGTGGGGGGGGGAGAAGAAAGAAAAGAAAGAGACCATCTTGAGCACCATTGGTGACCCCTCCTAGTTCAAGTGCATTTATTGAGATAATAATAATAATATAATTATAATAATAATAACAATATTTTATTTACAAGAAGGTACAATGGGTTGGTGAGACTACATTAGATTGTATATAGTAGCAAGGGTTTATATCAACAATCTAAATGGACAGGTGATTACACTTGTAAAGATTAAGTACTTAAATTGTAAGTACTAATACAGTATAGTATTGAGGAAGTGGATAGTACAAGATACAGTAGTGTAAGTTTGAAGCACAAGGTAGGAAACTGAGGATGAAATTAGGTTCTTTATGGTTTTACTTTTGAACATGGCATAGGTTGGACAATTTTGTAATTCATCAGGGAGTGAGTTCCAAAGACTAAGTCCTTTTATTTGCATGGAGTGTTTGCACAGATTTAGTTTGGCTCTGGGGATATCAAAGATATACTGTATTTATTTCTGGTGTGGTGCTCATGGGTTCTATTACACCTTGATTTTATACCATTATTGACCTACTGTCTGTGTCTATTACTCTAAAGAAATTTTCTGCTTAATTTTCAGCTTGCAATATTATGTAATTCACATTATTAATAATTTATAATTCCCATCCCTGTATTACATGCTATATTCACTTAACTGAGTGAAGTCTCTCTACACTGTTCAGGCCTCATGGCCACTGTAAATAAATTCTAGGTCCGTGTTGCCCTCCCTAGGGCACTGTATTTCACACCTCCAGTTTCCCAAAAGCAAGATTTTCTGCACTTTCAAATTTTCATATCTGTTCCTTTACATGTTACACTTCATTGTACACTGTACCACTGTTCGCTATAGTCCAAATACACTGACAATACTTATGTTCCCAGGTGGTCCGGTGAAAGCAGTTATTCTCTATTCAACAAAATTTTTTAATCTCATTCACTGTATTTTACTTTCCTAAATATCATCATACACTTCGTGAGATCTCTGATCCGTGTTTCAGCACGGTAATCCTATAATATCTTTGAATATTTAAGGTTTTCGCAGAGCGTGGATAAACACGTCACATCTCGCACACACTACCACACAGTTTTGAATATACAGTACAATGCTAAACGAGAAAAAGAAAGTTAGCAGAAAAGTTTCATTGCCACTCTGCTCAATTATAGAAACTGAATGGCAAAATTAAAATCGTAGACCTAAGAAAAATTAAAATCACATGACAAAACTGTAATTTATGAATAAAAACTAAAAGGTGAAACTTTGCAATAATATATATATTTCTTGTACACTTATCAAATAACAGTGCTGTAGGTTACACAACAATCAAGTCATCATATAAAGATATTAGTGCAGAAGCGAATCACAAGATACATCATTACTTCTTATAATGTATCATTTTGGAATCATGGACAATATTCAACCGAAGTCTAACTTCAGTTCTAAATGTATTCCTCAATGCTTGCTCTGCTGCCTTTGCAATCCGAGACACATTACTGCCACTATTTCCCACCAAAAGTCTGGCTAATCCTCGTCTTCGGCATGAGACCCGTATCACAATGTTGAGTACTTCTGCAAAAACAAGATTTACTAAGATCATCTGAAATTTACTGCTGGATATTAGGCAGATATACATGAACATGAAAAAAATGAATGCTTGATGCTTTATTTAAGAACTTCTCAGAAAAAAAGAGCCACCTTTATCAGAGAACTATAATGATAAGTCTGAACACATCAAAATATGTTAAAACATTTTATCCGCTAGAAAATGTGGTACAGTACATATTAATCAATGTAAATTATGAATATTAACTGCCATTATTCAACTATCATATCTGCATAGTTATCCAAGTAGGGCAATTTTATTGTAAATATTGGCCAAATAAAGTAAAATATATTCCAATAAAGTAATTATGAAAAGAAGGCCTTTATGAAGAATTATGTGACCTGCCAGAAACGCTGCACGTACTAGTGGCTTTACAAGAATGTAATCGCTATGCTATGTATCCTCACAATCCTAATGTACCTTCTTGTATATAAATAAATAAATAAATAAATAAATAAATAAACAAGGCACTAAGCTGGGAAGACTGTAGCATCATCAGTGTTGCTGGACATTCACAAGGCACTTAATATCACCCAGGATGCCAATATTAGAACAAAAGGACAAGAGGTAAACGACATCAAAGGTATCGGATTCACCAAGGATTTTATCGAGGGGCAAGTGACCCAGAGGGACATTAGGAAATGGCCGAAGATGCAATGAAAGATAAACAAACACTGATGTAATATACACAGAGTTTGTAAATTCTTTCAACATGTGACCACGGTGTTATTGCACACAAAATGTGCAAAAAAGGGATTGCTGGCAAAGCAGGGAGATGGATCTTTAACTTCCTAACAAACAGAACCAAGTGTGTAATAGTAAAGCAAGTAAAATCTCAATCATCCCCCAGGTACCATGCTTCCTCCTGTACTTTTTCTCATCTTCATACCAGATATAGACAAGGATAATACCTCTAGTACTGTATAATCCTTTGCAGATGACACTAGAATTTTTATAAAAGTAGAGAACAGAGGACACGGCAAGATGCTTGCACTCGCCTTTTGGGAGGCAGTGGCAGCATTTTATGATGCTCGCCTTGTGTATTGACAGGCCCTTCTTGCTCAGTATTTACATTTGGCTTGGTCCTTAACCCTTTTGACCACCTCCCCTTTTTTGCTTCTCTTTTTCTGAGGCTGTTGTTGTTCAGTTCGTTTCAATAGTAGCTACTCCCAGTCATTTGATTTCCATATCTTTTGGGAGCTTGGGGTTCTGTTCCTTGTTCTTGGAGGTGGTCTGGTAGGGCTGGGGCCACACCTACTGTTGGCTGGGGTAGATCCTCGATGTTGTCAGATTCTCGGGCTGCTTCTGCTTGTTGGCACTGGTCTTCTGCGGCGTGGAAGAATGGTTCATCTCATGGTTCACGTCGACCTTTTTGCTGTTTCCCCACTTGATGATCTAGGGGATCGTTTTGCTCGTTATGTCAGCTCCTGGTCCTACAATTTGTGGGCATTTTGGGTTGTTTCCCCTGGCCTGAGGTGGAATTGGTCAGCTCCACCACTTTTCTTGGAGTCAGGGCTTGTGGGAGAGTTTTCTTTTCCATTGCTGCATTAAGTCATTGTGAGGTGGTTGGATAAGGACGTGGTCAAGCCAACCTCGTCTCTTCGTTGTGTGTACCATTTGTTTTCAGTTCCCAAGAGGAACTTGTTGGACCTGCAGTTCATCATCAATCTTTCATCATTAGCTTCATTTCTTGCTCAACCTTCTGCAGGGCCCCCTTTGCCCAAGTTCACCTGGTTCTTCAACTGGGAGATTGGATGGTGTCCGTAGATCTCTAGGATGCCTACTGGAATATTCCTATCCATCTAGGGGTTCAGGAACTGGTTAGTTTTGGATCAGACAAAGGTGACTCTGCAGTTAGTTGAATGGGTATGCGGAAGCCTAAATTTTGCCTGCGCGGTGTTCCCTTTGGGTAGAATTTGGCTCAAGGCTCTGTACTGGTTATCAGTTCCACCTGTTTCGCCACCGCTGCGACCCTCAGGCTTATGGTTCATCAGCTCTTTGCTGGTTGTTGCTTTGTTGGTTTCCACTTTGGGTTTTTCTGGGTTCGGTTCCATTGGGCCTTCCACCTCCTCCTGTCAGGTCTATCCCACAGGCCCATCATGTTTGCAAATATGATGCACTCGCAGCAGTCTTCTCTAATATGTCTTGAAGGGGATATTCGGGCTCAGGGGTTTTGGCGGACTAACAGGGTCATGGTGGCCATGTATTTAGTCAATGTCCCTGGTCATCTTCGGTACTGAATGTCCCTGGGTTGTATTTCCCAGCCATAGGTCTCTCACTTGTCTTAGTGCTCGCTGCCTCTCCTCTTCCCTGTAAGTCTCTCTCTCTCTTTTTTTCTGTGGGTATTTAGCTACAGGGAGCTAAATACCCACAGAAACCAAGGGGTTTCCCCAAAAAACCAGTGTTGAATATAATGAAACGCCTCTTTTTGGTAGAGCCCCTGTGGCTCTCTGTCACTCTCGCTCCCTTCCAAATTCATTGGTTCGTGGCAACAATTATCTGCTCCTGAACTGATTTGTAGGCAAACACTGATCTGAGCACCGGGCCACCTGGTAGCAGCATTCAATAACTTAAGGTTTTAGCTAGTTTTGTGCTTTTTGTTTATTTTATTTTGTTTGGAGAGTTACAGTATTTGGCTTTTTAGTGATTTTAGTCTTGGGAACCCAGCCGTTGTCTTTAAAGCGTCACTGATTTTCTGAAGGCTTTCCCGGTGAAATGGCTGAATGTCATTTGCTACCTGTCCCTCGAGTAAAAGGGGCCAGGTATGTCTCTGGTCCCTGGTAGGCCAAACGAACTCATGCACCTGATGAGACTGGCAGTTTGAAGCAATATCAGTGAAATAACTACAGGGAGCCACTGGGACTACCAGAACAAGGGGTTTTCATTACATTCAGCGCCGGATTTCTGATTAACAAAATGAACCTCTCTCATATTTTACCAAGGTCAATGACAGACAGCATACATACTATATGGCAAGTATTCACTGTTACAATATAATCCTGTTGTCACCATGCTACATCTTACCAGAATCTGAGAGATCCCAGTACTCAACTCCAAAATGTAGTGTGTAAGGAATCTCATTTCTGAAGGTATCCAAAAACTTTTCTCGCACTGTTGATAACACAATCTCTTGTGGGTTCTGGTCTGTCACAACCTGCAAAAGGAAGTGTGTCACTGATTTGTCAATAATGGAAAAAAACTCACTAGAGGCTTAACAGGTTTTGTGTAATTCAAAATACCAATAATATTTATAAATATTGACTGTATAGAAAATAAAGGATTCTATTATGAACTAAAACCAAGATTTAGATTAGCCTTTAATATGGTATCGCTAAGCCATACTTACCACTCTCTAAAGTGAATTTGTAAAAAATATAAACACACATTTTGAGTTTGTGAAAAGTTCCTCTCTGGTGAGGCCAAATAACGCCTCCCAATGCACACAATAATGTGGTTTAAAATTATCAAAGATTCCTTCTTTACACTTAAATTCTCTTTCACTAACACATGAACACCTTCACTTTGTATTTTTTACCTTATAACTAAATATACATCCAAGCCACAAATCTGAAAATCAAGAATTGACAACGCTTTGGTCCGTCTTGGACCATTAACATTACACAACTTGATAATGGTCCTGGATGGACCGAAAAATCTAAAGGAGTCTAATGACTCTCTGTTGCTAGCTGCACTGACATATAATGAAACCATATCAACCCTAGGAGTCCTTAATGGCCTACCAGAGATCAGAGGCCAGAACCTGTCCTGCTTTTAAATACATGGAAGGAGAAATACTAAAGAAATTGTTCACGACTTTTATTAGACCAAAGCTGGAATATACAGCAGTTGTATGATGCCCATATCTTAAGAAGCACATCAACAAACTGGAAAAGGTGCAACGACATGCCACTAAGTGGCTCCCAGAATTGAAGGACAAGAGCTACGAGGAGAGGTTAGAGGCATTAAATATGCAAAAACTAGAAGATAGAAGAAAAAGAGGTGTTATGATCACTACGTTCAAAATAGTAACAGGAATCGATAAAATTGATAGACCGGGAACTTCAAGAACAAGAGGTCATAGATTTAAACTAACGAAACAAAGCTGCCGGAGAAATATACGAAAATTCACTTTTATAAACAGAGTGGTAGACGGTTGGAACAAGTTAAGTGAGAGGGTAGTGGAGGCCAAAACCGTCAGTAATTTCAAAGCATTATATAACAAAGAGTGCTGGGGAGATGGGACACCACGAGCGTAGCTCTCATCCTGTAACTACACTTAGGTAATTATACATACACACACACAGGCGGGACCAAAGAGCCAAAGCTCAACCTCCACAAGCACAATTAAGTGAGTACACACACACACACACACACAATTTGTTTGTACAATTTGTTCAAATTAAAAATGTATCTCCTTTTCAATGCATAAAACTTTCCCTCGACAGCCATTGTCATTTATTTTGAGGACACCATTACTACCCATTAAGTCATTTTAAGAATCTATTTCCACTTTACCTAATATTATCTCATATCAGCAAACACATTAATTAATAAACTTTATTTCTTTTGGTAAAAATGTACATACCTGGGAACTAAAAATCCAAGAATTGCTGTAGGCTCTGGAGTAGAAAAAGTCTCGAAGGTCATCAACACCTGTTCCATCTAGAGCAGAAATCATAAAAACTTGCTCAAACTTAGGCCAAGATTTACGATTTTGAATAAATGCACTAACTGTTTGCTCAGTTAGACGTACTTTTCCCTCTAGGACATCCCTTTCATTGTAGTGGCTGGTATTAAATGAAACATCGACAAGTCCACATAACGACTTGTCTTCAGACTTTGGAAGATCCTTTTTTTCTCCTCTGGTATTTATTTTAAAATCATTGCCATTATTTACAGAATCTGAATTAGAGCTTAAACAGTCTTCTTGATCTCTGGGCTTTGAACTGTTCTCAACTGCTTTTTGTATAAGCTTTTCTTTATCCAATGAAATAATTTTTTTTGTTTCAATATGAGATTTTTGACCACCAACAATACCTTCAGTTAGTAAACGGGTAATATCCAGTAGATTCTTCTTGCTCTTGGATTTATCAACCTGCAATATACAATTAATGAGGTAATTTCACAATACAATATTTGTTCAGTTCTTCTTTCCAAATAAACAGGATAAAATAAGTGTACCAGCCAACAAAAAGAGGTAGAACAAGTGTACCAGACATAAAAAACCAGCGTTGAATGTACTGTAATGAAACGCCATTTTCTGGGTGAGTCCCGCAGGTTCCCCGAAGCTTACTAGGCTGATATGCCAATGTCAGACTTTGGCATCAGTCATGTGTATGGAGTTCTTATGGGTCTACCGGGGACTACGAGCCAGAACCTAGCCCCCCCTCTAGAGAGGCAAGGGGAGCAATGGCCTATAGAAACCCCCGTGGAATTGGAAGCATTCTATGACTGCCATCGACCGGGTTAGGAACCCAGAAAGGTAGGCATCCCAAAACAAACCCCTATTCTGGTGAAAATTGCAACCAAAAGCTGAACGAGTGGATAGAACTCCCCAAACAAAACTGAGCAAACTAGCATGACGTCACCCGTCGTCGAGCCGCTGTCTGCGCAGCTTCCCCCGCAGCTTCCCCCCCTCTCCCCGGGAGGGGGAAGGGGTAGCCCCCAGACTTACCGCGCCGGCGATCCACACCCCAGTTCTGAGGCTGGATGTTAAAACATACGAAAAACATGAAAAAGCTTAACAAAATTCTGATAGAGAGAGAGAGAGATCTAGGGGTGGTTCTAGATAGAAAACTATTACCTGATGACCACATAAAGAACAATCGTGCAAGGAGCCTATGCTTCATTTTCCAATTTCAGAATTGCTTTTAAATACATGGATGGTGAAACAGTAAAGAAATTATACATGACCTTTGTGAGACCAAAGTTAAAATATGCAGCAGTTGTATGGTGCCCAGATCTCAAGAAGCACAACAAACTAGAAAAGGTGCAAAGACATGCAACTAAATTGCTTCTGGAACTGAAAAACAAGAGTTACGAAGAGAGGCTAGAGGCGTTGCATATGCCAAAGCTAGAAGATACAGTAGAAGAAAAAGAGGTGATATGATCACTTACAAAATATTAATGGGAGTCGACCAAACTGACAAAGAGCAATTCCTGAAACCTGCAACGTCAAAAACAAGAGGTAGATGGTTGGAATAAGTGAGAAAGTAGTGGAGGCCAAAACCATCAGTAGTTTCAAAGCAAAGGTAGGTAATTACATATACTGGAGTTGGTCACCATTGTTATACCTTTCATAGTGTGGAGAGACATCAGCCATCAGAAGAACTGTAGAGCATTATAGGAAAATAAGGTTAAACACATCAAACAATGACACTCCCATTTACCATACCTTGCACACCATGTAATATCATGGAGGATCAGGATCAACACCACCACCACACACCAACACTACTGCTTCATAGATTTAGGTGTTCAGTGTTCCTCTTAAGTTGCCATATACAAACAAAACTCTCTATCCCTCTTCATAAATTGCTACTACCTAGACTTGTTCTCCCACAACATCCTGTACACTGTACACAATTAATCCTCGCTTCGTTACACATTTGCCCACCATGTCCACCCCTCATCTTGGCAATCCATGCCACCTACTTTCAAACTCACCTTTTACCAATCAATATCCAATCATTCAAACTGACTAATACATCTCAGTAATGTCTCCTCAATCTTGCAACTAACTTATTTGTGGACTCCCAACCATTCCATAACATTTTCATTCTTTAAATTATTTCTTCTAACACTTTGTGTATATGCTGCTCAAATTATCTATTTATAATGCTCTAATTTTTTTTTAAGGTAATATCATACTAGTGTCTTGCATCTACACGTTTAAGCATTTTCATCCATTCATGCAGATTGCATCTATTTCTATGCTATGTTTTCATGTCGGGCTGTCATTACACCAGTCATTTTCCTTCCCTGCCTTTTTATTAGATTATTTTTTTATCTAATAAAAAGATATCTAAATTCAGATATTATCTAAATTTTTATCTAATTAAATTTTTTCCAACATTTGGAAATACAGTACAGTGCAGTAATTCAAACAACAGTAGGAATGACTAATCTTACCTTGTTGAGCACCAGAATGCTAGGTATAGTTGGGTGAAGGACCAAAAGTCTCAACACCGTGGGGTGAATGTCATGCCGTGTAAAATGGTTGGACACATCATGAACCACTGTTATTATATCGGCTTCTTGAAGTGATAACTCGGCTTCTGTCAACATAGAACGCTTCAATCCATGCCTGAAAGTTGCGACTTTTTACAACAAAAATAATATATAGTATAATACAAAAGAATATGAGCAGCTTCAAACATTATGAAATTAATATTACACAAAGAATAACGTTAGTAAACCTGCCTGCGTTAGTCTGAACATTCTCACACAATGTAAACACATGGTCAATACATATGCACTAACAAAGCCTAGATGCAAAAGGAACAAAGTCCCATGAAGAAAGTCTTTTGTACAATTTACAGTTCAGAACAAGCACAGAAAAATATTTATAAAAATAAATGTATTGTTTTTAATATTTGTTCTTAAAATAGAAAAGATGGACGACTCAAGACGAGTAGAACACCAAGAAAGGGAAACCGAGTACCCAAAAGAGCCACAGAGACAAGAAAAAGAACTGGCCCAAAGGCAGAGGAGGAAGGAAAGGAAATGCAAAAGGCAGGGCAGGGTCATAGGTGTCACCGACCCAACAGGCAGCATGACGGAGGCAGGACAGGTGATCGTCACCTCGAGGCAGGGGGCAACGAACAACCATCAACATCGCACAAGGCAAGACAGGGTAATGACGAATCATTACCCTGACAAATGACGAATCCATGGTACTCCTGAGCCTTACAGTTTTCCTGGGCCTGTGGGGTACATTAGCCCTACAAGAAACACAGACACTGGGGCTAGCTAAGCCAGTAAACCCTGTCTGTTGTAGGCAAACTGACAACCAGATGTCGCTGTGAAACCTCAGGGCAACAGAGGAGGACCACCAACACAACCTAGGCAGACCTCCTTTGCCAAAGTAAGCGAATATACTAAAAACAAATAAAAACAAAAGCCCCTGAAGCAACACATTCAAACAAACCAATTGCCAGAAAGAATCGTTGGCTGCCACTGTATACAGGCTGGGGGGTCTGGTGGCTGAGTGGACAGCACTCAGGATTCGTAATTCTAGGGACCAGGGATCGATTCCCAGTGATAGCAGAAACAAATGGGCATAGTTTCTTTCACCCTGATGCACCTTATCTTATCTTATCTTATCTAAATTACCTTATCCCAGAAATAAAAAGGGAAGCAATAACCCCTAGCTGACTCCAAGGCCGGACAATCACTGAGCAGCAAAAGACACAGCAGAGTAGATCGCAAGGAGACTTGTGGAAGGTAACTCCAAGCCCCCAAGGGCAGTACTTACAGGGCACCTAGGGAAAGCAACCCTAGGCACATGCAGCCCGAGTACTGAAGAAATTACTCCTGACTCGCACACCACCGTAGAGACAGCCCCACACCACAAGGCACAGAACCCAAATATGTTGGAGTCAGAGGCACACGACCCTGCCAGTATCACATCAGCCACAGAACTGCAGGGTGGATAGCCTGCGTGAAGGTCTGGGGCTCCCCCTTCCCACTCCCGGGGAGGGGGGGTTGTGCAGACAATGGTGCGGTAACGTGATGACATCATGCTCGTTTGCTCGTTTTAATTTGGGGAGTTCTGTCCACTAATTTGGCCTTCAGTAGCAATATTTTACCAGAATAGGGGTTTGTTTTGAAATGCCTACCTTTCTTGGCGTCTGACCCGGTCGCTGGCAGACATAAAATGCTCCCAACCACACAGAGGTTTCTATAGGCCATTGCTCCTCATGCCTCTCTATGGGGGGCCAGGTTCTGGCTCGTGGTCCCTGGTAGGCCTAGCACTCCATGCACTTGACTGATGCCAAGGTCTAATACATTCATATCAGTCCGGGGAGCCGACGGGGCTCCCCCCAGAAAGGACTCCTATGACTGAAGTAACCCAGAAGTCAAAAGCCATCTCAGGTAGATAGCTTCAGGGAACCACTAAGGGGCTCCCCCTCCTCCTCCAGAAAGATAAAGTACCCCTCTATTGCCCAATTGTATTGAATCCCTGAGTCTAACTATTTCACAAACATTACACATGAGCACTTGTCTTTTACATGCCAAAACTGTTTTTTTTTTTATCTTTGTTACCAACGACTGATGGAATCTATATCATCAAAAGCTATTTCTTTTTCAATTATATTTTTTTCATTTTAATGTGTTAAATATGGGGTAAATGCACACAAAATAACTTTACGGGGAAGCTATTCATAGCTTTAAAAAATGAAGACAAGTTATCAGTCAATTTTAATAACTCGAGGAACAAGACTAACATGCAGTAGTACAATACAGTATTATCATGCTGAGGAACAATATGAACTTGAGAATGAGCAAATTTGTAACGGTGGCACAGAGCTACTATGGCTAAGGTATTCTAAAATGCTACATATTTACTGAAGTCATCTACCAATTGTGTGTGAAAATAAACAGTTAAAAACAACATTTGAAATTTCTGTCATGGGTTTTATTAACAACTTAAGTAAACTACTCAAATTTAAATGATCAAAATACTGTAGTATTGAGTTACTATATTCTACAATAAAATACATTATTCATCAACAAATATAATTGCAGCAAATTTTTCAGTACAGTACTTTGTAATCTCCTCGCGCGAAACCAGTCCTGGAGTATCGAGGAAGACCAGCTGTGTGGAGAGTGTATTGTAAACAGCTCGGGCACGCAGCTCAGTTGTATGCACCTTGGACGACACACTGCACACCTGCCCAAGGAAACACACATTACAAGAACAATACATAAGCCTTTTCCAATAATGAAATCAAGTCTCAAAAATACTTTTCCAAGACATACCTAAGGAGAAACTTATTATTTTCTGGGGGGAGCCCCTTCGGCTCCCAGGAGCTTACTAGGCTGATATGCTAATGTCAGACTTTGGCATCAGTCATGTGTATGGAGTTCAATGGGCCTACCGGGGACCACGAGCCAAAACCTGCCCACCCACGAAGAGGCAAGGGGAGCAATGACCTATAGAAACCCCGTGTGGTTGGAAGCATTCTGTGTCTGCCATCGACCGGGTCAGGCACCCAGAAAGGTAAGCATGCCAAAACAAACCCCTATTCTGGTGAAAATAATGCTACCAAAAGACAAACAAATGGATAGAACTCACCTAAACCAAACGAGCAAATGATCATGATGTCACACATTGTTAAATAAATATATTGTTAACCATTCAATGTGTTCCATTCCTGTGGCCCTGGTGTGGGACTAATCTACAACTAGACATTAAACTTCAGGAGTTTCTTTCCTGAGGCCGGGCCTAGCACCTGTACCAGGTTAGGCCTGTTATAATAAATTGTATTACTTAAACTAGGCCATTCCACATAGATTCATTGTTAAGTTATTGAATTTCATAATATTTTTCTTCTGAATAAAATTATCCATTTACTTCTCACTCACAAGACATAACAGACACACTATTTCTCATATCCTGGTTCCTGGAAAGGCCTCTATCAGGCCCTCTGCATAGTGGTTCTGTTCAACCAGTCAGCAGTTTGTCATTGCTCTACAGAATGTAGATTTTACTGCTTTGATGGCCATCATTGCTATTTAAGCCACGGCTGAGACAGTGGCTATTTAAGCCACTTCTGGTGGTCGTTTCTGATGTTGGACTTTTGTGCCATGCTGGATATCCCTCAACCTCGCCATGTTTGTGTTGTTCTGTGCTTGGGTGTTTGGTGTGCAGCTGCTGTTATTTACCCCAAGCAATACTCTCTCATGTATGCAAACGAAGAGTCACACTCTTCAGTCACAATCGACTTGATAATGGTCCAGGACGTACAGAAACGTCGTCGTCTCTTTACTTTCTAGTGTGTAGCTTGGTCAACATACTCTTTTGTAATTATTCTCCAATCAGTAAGCCCAGTCTGTCTTTCTCCATTTTCTAGAAAAGTTGAACTAATCTAACGAGGCAAAATTGTGAACAAACTTAGGGAGATAATGAGAGGACCATCCAGAAATCAAGCACTAAAGGTAATGAGAGGCTTTTGTTCTGTTGGGCATCCCCAGTTGCACCAGAGAAAGGGGATAGGGTAGTTAAGAAATCAGGTGACCTGGGTTGCTGTAGTCCTGGGTTGCTGTAGCCATTTGGTTGTGGTCAATAACTTTACATTTAGGGTACCTGTATCTACCTGTGACAATGATGGTTTATCTTGTTTACCTAGGAATGCCTAATTATACTATTCAATTCAGTCAGTATTTAAAATTCATATCAACTGTCTTAGCATAACATAATCCATTATTTTACAAAAACTCTCTAGAGTATTTCAGTACCACTCTCAAACTTACTCTCCAACCCATGAGTTTGTTGATGAGGGTACTTTTGCCACAGTTTGGTACACCCACAACAGCCACCTTCAGAAGTCGAGCATCTGGAGGAGAGTCAACTTCCTTCTGCAGCATACACCCCATCTCCTCCATTGTTCTGGGAACCTCACGCTGGTATGCATTTTCCCAGATCATATCATCCCCTAGATAGATATAAATGATTGATTGGTGGCTGGTGATTGATTGGTGGCTGGGATTAACAGACACATCACCTTTGATATTTTTTGCCTACAATATTTGTGAACTGTAGTGGGGTATATGAGAAATGTATTCTTTATGTATTGTAAGTGGATGCAATTTAATATGTGAGGGGGAAAGTTAATTAAAATAGCACAATATAAAGGTACAAATAAAATGATAATAAATACACAATATGCTATTGTCACAATTAAAATGAATATTTATATAACTTTTCAAAATCAAAGACCAAGCACTACACAAGTATTTTGAAAGTTTGAAGCAAGCTAGCTTATGCAGGAATTACATATATTGTATCTGCATGAAAAATAAAATACAAGCAAAGAATACATTTATCACTCACCCTGATTATAAAAAAAAAATAAAAAAATAAAATCAAAATGTTTATTCAAGTAAAAGTACATACATAGTAGATGAGTTACAAACATAATGTTGGATTTGTAGATAGAGCTAGTACATACAATACCTAAAGCCACTAATACGCACAGCGTTTCGGGCAATGTTTTTAGTTTCAAGACGAAATCAATTGTGCAGTGACTAAGTTATATACCTTAGTGCCAACTCAACCTCTACCGAGTAATAGCTCAGCCCATCTTCAGACCAAATCCATTATCATGAGAAAACATTCCCACCCCAAACCACATGGATAAGTTATCTAGATATCTGGAAGGTCTGAAAGCATATTTTGATTCCAGTAATAGTCTCCATATAAACTGACAAATGAACTTTTGTCATAAACAGAGATTATTCTCAAGTTATAACTTTAATGTAACAGAAATAGTTGATTTAAAATATAAAAAAAATGTATACTGAAAATGTTTCCTTTGAAGAATTTGGTTTTCTGCAAATGGAATTCATGGATACACTGAAACAGTTTTCAAATTACATATTTCATATTATCATCTATAATACATTGTATTAACGTAACCAAACATAATGAAACCTAACCTAACCATCAATAGAGAGAAGATAATAACACAAATTATGTAGTCATTCCCAATCCAATCCCTTGAGGGGATCTCCCTGAAGACAAGTTGGATACTTAAACCCTTATTAAGATCGTGGAATATGGGGGCAACATTGGCATACAATATCATGTTAAATTCACTTTGACCAAACATACACAAACTATACATATTAGTAAATACAGAGATAAAATATTAATTAAAAATACTACTGATCTCTTTGTCAGTATTTGTTATCTGACCTGTCTCAGTTTTTAATGGACCTATCCTTTCCCTAATCTTTGTTCGATATAAAACATTATTGTTTTATAACTGATGTTAACATTATCTATCTGAAGCTGAATTGCATTTGTCCATTTGGTTTCAAATCTGCCCGAAACGCTTTGCGTAATAGTGGCTTTAGGCATTGTATGTACTAGCTCTATCTATTAATCCAACAAACTTTGTAAAATCTCTTGTATGTACCTTACCTAAATAAACATTTATTTATTTATTATTTATTTATTAATATGTAGTAAGTCTTTTCTATGTTTAGTGACAGTTTATTGGTTGTTTACAAGCATTGGGGGACGGCATAAGGACCTGACAGGAACGCTATGCATGTTAGTGATTATGCAAAGAAACTACAAATACCAATCTTAGGTAATTTCACAAACTCATTGTGCCTTCTTGTGAATAAATTAATTATTAATATTATTATTATTAATACTTGCTACAGAGGTCAGAGAGCAGCTCTACCTGTAACAGTGGCCAGAGTTCGAGCATGTGCCAGGCGTCGATAGACACCACTGCCTACTACTCGCAAGAGGCACCGAGTCATCATTGTCTTCGTGTGCTGAACTTTTAATCAAAGATAACCGTTCCTTCAAGGTTATAATACCAAAAATGAGGGTAGCGATATACACGGCTTCTTGTTGTGTTGACGTCCGTCAGCTGCTGCCACTCTCGTACATGCTGGCGGACACCACACATTTCGTACACATCACAGACCACTTCACACACAATACAGATAACATACTCCTTGTGAAGGAGGAAATGTATGTTTACCTCTCAGAATGTTTGGCAATATGTTTATTTGTGATGTGTGTCTATGTATATATTAAAACGTTGTACTGAATGGGGTGAGAATAGCTTGAGCTACCTCATCCCTTTGTGTGTATTTTACCTCAATAAACTTATTTCAATTTCAATTTCAATTTCAATTTCACAATACAGACCACTTCGCACACAAAATTGGTCCCTACCTTTGAAATTGAAATTGATAATGAAATAAGTTTATTGAGGTAAAATACATACAAAGGGATGAGGTAGCTCAAGCTATTCTCACCCCGTTCAGTACATCGTGTTAATACATACATATTACCAAACATTGAGAGATAAACCTTTCGTATATCAATGATTGGTCAATATTAACACCCCCAATATTTGACCCCAATATAATGCTTGTAATTCAATTTCTTTCTTTATTATGCACCCCATACTCATCCCGTGAGCGGTGGTGTAAAGGATTACAGAGGCACATAATCGGTTTAGGAACTGAACCCTCTAGTTCTTTGTCTTTGATGTCCAAAGGGATTGGAAAGGATGGGGGAGGTAGAGGGATGGGGAGATGAAATTCAGGAAGAGGATGCGGGTGTAGAGAGAGAGGAGGTTTGAAAGTTCGGTGGCCTGTCCACCATGGGTTGACATATGTGTGTGTGTTGTTTGTTTGGGTATGTGTTATGTTGGGTTGTCAGTACATTGGCTGGGGGGCTAGTGTTTGTGACCTTGCTGGTGTCCTAAAGCACTAGAGCCGATGGAGTTGGCTGAAGGAGGTTAATCTTAGCAACATCAGGGTAGTTACACTTCTAATACCACGACAAAGGGTTTTTTGGTTTTATATTTTTTTGTAGTAGTTTTATTTATTTATTTATTTTCTTTATTTTTTTTCTTTATTCTTCATTTGGTGTAGATCGGGTCCGGGATGGGCCACTCATCTGGGTCGTCTGGCAGGCCGCTTAGTATTTGAGGTCTTGGGAAGGCCTCATCATGGATGTGTCTGATCACTTTTTGTTGGAGAGTGATTCTTCCGATTGTGTGTGGTGGTTCGTGGATCTCGTAGTCGCTGGTGGTGTTTTCTGCTACGTAGGGATCTTCGGGGTCTGGGACATACATGTTCTTCATGCGGTACAGCTGTCTTCTGGCCAGGTAGCTGAGCCTGGTGTTCATTGGTTTCATGTTGAGCGTCTCGTAGATTTGGTCAGTTCTTATCCTGTCCATCAGTGTCAGGCCCTCCACAAAGCGAAGTGCTTTATTTTGTACTCGTTGGATCTTCAGCATGTTGGATTTGTTGGTGAGGTTCAGGGGGACGTAAGGGTATTCCAAGCTAGGCCTTATGATCATTCTGTACAGGTGGAGCTTGATATGGGATGGGGCTTGCTTGAAACGGAAGAGCCTCGCCAGTGAGCCCCGGGCCAGCGCTGTCTTCTGGGATACGTACTGGCAACACAATTCATATTGTTTTTCACTGGCAACTCTGCTGTATGAATATCATGCTTTGAACATGTAATTTACTTCATGTTCTCTTCCATCCTACCAAATTTCATGAGAATCTGAGATGATAGGGTTGAAAGTCTACTTTTGTGTGATGATTTGGCATGGAATGACCCCAAACAGATCATGCAACAGAGTTTGAAGGAATTGTGCATGAGTGCGGCGATGGTGCCAGGATTTCCCATTAAGAAAGGCTCAGGTTGTCACAACCTGACAACCAGGTTGTTAAAAGGCTCAGTTGTCACAACTGAAGTGGGGCCATTCCAGGTGACAAAGTAGTCACCATTGTGGATGTGGGTCTCAACCTTGCCAAGGAAGTGGGAAAGGAACTAGAGAGGATCAAGTGGGGGAACCAAAGATGAAGCCAGGTCAGATTTGGACTCATCGTAGCCACGGCTACAGAGCCCAATCTTCCATCACTGACTAGATGGGCCTGGTCATCCACCCAACAAGCCTGTATGCATCATCCTTTCACAAGTTTTGGTCCCCGCAGCCAAGGAATACCACCTACCAGGGCAGCAAGGGAAACCGAGAGCTGGCCAGTGCAGGAAGGGGCATGGCGTCCCAAGCGGTGCCTCCTATTTAACAGAGCAGTCCTATACCGATGTAGGAGCGTAGTCCTCTTATACCATTAAGAGGACTACTCCTAGAGTTAACATAGTCCTCCTCCTATACCAATTTAGACCTTTTTCTCATCCCAGCCTGAACACCCAACCAAACCTCAAGGGGTGGCCCTTCCAGCATATGGCCTGATGATCCAAACAGATGTATATGTTTTGTTATATTTTGCACATACTGTGCAATACCAGAAATGGGGCAGAAGGGACCAAGGCAACCCCCACCAGCCCCAGGGAGTTGTATGTAACCCCCATCACAGCAAGGCAAAACTCTTTATGGGGATAGTGATTAAAAATAGACAATTTAATCTGTGTTCTCTAAAGTTTATTTCTCAGATCACAGCGGCCATTTTACAGCATGGGTAGTAGTCATTTATAGTTGGAAGCATAAAGCTAAAGAGGAAAAAACCAATTGGGAATAGCTATGCCACATGCCACCAACGGATATACTGAACATATCCTAATTACAACTTTTATAAAAAATATGAAGTGTATGATGTTCACAACATGCAATAAAAAAATTAATGAATTGAAATACAATTACATCTTTTTACACAAGACTGCCCTGGTAAAAATCCCATACAAATGTGAATAAACTGTTAAATTACTGTAATTCTTAAATACAGTTCCTTAATCTTGCCCTGTACAAACTATATATAAAGAAAAAAGTGATAGATTACTTTGTCATCATTAGCAAAGATATCTAGAGCACTATTCATCATAGAGTGGTGTTTGGTCTCCTCCAATGCTCATGTTAGCAGGTGAATGGATGGTTTTAGGTGTTGAACGAGCAGAGCGAGGAGTAGCACGTGGGTTGTCATAATCATGGTAGGGGCGAGGTGTGCGGTCATCATAACGTGGAGTACGGCGAGATCCATCGTCAGGATATCTGGGACTAGAGGGGTATCTAGAGTCACGATTATCAGAGTACCGAGGAGTTGAGCGACCACCATCATGGTGTCGTGGAGTCATCCTTCCACTATCATGTCCACTACTCCCACCCTTGGCTTGTACCCAAGCAGCTGCTGCCATTTTCCAGTCCATTTGTTCTGTTCGGCTACTAACTGGAGGGCCAGAGCGAGATGGCTGAGGCAAATGTCCTGTAGATGGACGATGTGAGGGAGTTCGGTTACCACTACCACTATATACAGGGGTTTGTGATCCACTATAACGAGGTGTAGTGGATGGCCCAGGGGTGGCATATGGTGTCATAAATGGTGTCTGACCTGAAGGTGTATAAGGGGTATTAGCATAGTTTGAGTAACCCTGAGAAAAACCTCCAGGAGTGTTGACACTATACGGCGTATTGGTGGCTGCCTGGGAGAGGTTATGAAGCATGTGTGGATTTAAGTTCTGAGCAACTTTCTGGATTGTGGAGGCATCAACACCCATAAGATTTGGTGTTGTGCCACCCATGTATGGTGTGCGTGTGGACATCATTCCTGGTGTTGCACCTGGCAATGCTCTACGGAAATTTTGCTTAAACCATTTTAGTAGTCCAGCAAGGTTTGGATATTGCATTCTTTGCCTAAACTTGAAACCTTCAGGAGTGACAGTTACAAATTCATGGATCACTTTCACTCTTGGTAAATATGACAAGAGAAACTTCCCTGGCAAATCCTTTCTTGGTGAAAAGATATACGGAATTGTCTTCGGGTTCTTCTTTTTCTCTTCTTTCAGTAGCTCAGCTGCTTTCTCCTTATTGCCCATGATGGACTCTTTATAATATTTATATTCAAGGATTTGTCTTACATTACTGGCCATGGGTGATATGTATCTGGCAATAATTTCATCCAAATCCTCAAATTCTTCATTTCCAATCCATAGCTTCTGACCAAGAGAGAAGTCATTTTGCTTATCCTGTTCCAGCACGTCGATGTGCTGACATATTCCTTCTGTGACTTTCCAGGTAGCAGTAAGATGATTAATTCCTTTACTTGATGGTCGTATGATGACCTCTCCTTGCTCCAGTTGCTGCATAACCTTTTCTGCTTCATTATAGTCAATGTTTCTAAAAGATGGATGAGCAATCACTCGCTTTTGATACTGAGTCTTCTTTTTGTCCATCTTTTTCCTGTCTACATTCAAATCTTTCTCTTCAGCTTCATGGTCATAATAGGCATCCTTTGGAACCTTCCACTTGTTATCTCGGTCTTGTAGGTCTGATGTTCGGGATGTGAGCTCAACCGAAAACTTCTCGGGATCAATTTTCATGATACGGCAGAGAACAAGACCATCTCGTCTCACTCTTTCTGCTGGATTTGTCACCGTTTTATCCGACAAATTTTTTATGCTAATAAAACCTGATATCCCATTATCTAATCGAACTCTAATCCCTATGGCTTGACCTGGACAATCACCAGCATCAAAATGATTCCACACTTCACTTAGTTCAGGAAAATCATTTTTTAGACAGAAAGGACACTGCCAAAGACCTGTGTCTTCATTTCTGACAGGATTGGCATTATCCAGTTGATCACCACGGGGTTTGCGATGAATAAAGTTTGTGACCGAAACCTGAACAAGCTTACCGACATAAAAAGTTTCTGGCGACTCCTTAGTCAAGATGTTGAAAACTTCTTCTGGAGTTGGAGACCTGAACGGTAACCTAAAATCTCTGTACCTATGATTAAGCTCATGTCTAATATCGTACAAAGTTGTGTTCTTCTTACCAAAGCCCTGATTCTGTAGTTCAGTAGCAAAAGCTTCAAGGTCAAGCTCACTGAGTCTCTCTGGTGTTTCTAAGATTTCCTCCAAGGCCTCTGCAGGTTTACCCTCTTCATCCTCATATTCTAGTGCATCAACAGCCATTTTTCTAGCCCAGTCATAAGCTTCTGGGTGAATTCTGGTAGAATCTAGAACCTCTATATAATTATCACTATCACCCAAAGCATTGGTATCAATCTTGATAAATCCTGCACAGTTAATGAATACCTTAGGACCCATATGGAAGTTGACAACTAACTGGTTTCTATTTTCTAGACGTTGATTATTCTGCTTCATATTCTTTATAAGCAGGTTGGCCTTTCGTGGTCCTAATCCACAAACAAATTGGACCAAGTTCTGTGTATAAGGATATGCTACAGCACGATTCAAATCTACCCCAACTTCATTTGTGCGGTTGACAAATTCAGTGTACAGAGCATCAAGTAGCTCTGTAGGGTTTAACTGATCCTGTAAACTGTGGAATTTAATGTTAAGTAATTCTTCATCAGTATTACATAGCTGTGAGAATTCAATCAATGGATCCTGAACACGTCGACCAACTGATATAGCCTGTCGTAATAGTGGAGGGTAGTCAAGGAAGTCTGCTTCTCCTTTTTTTGACATTGCATAAATATGAGCCAGGTCATTGTCAATGATTTCTGCATTTATTTTAGGAAACTGTTCTTGTTCTTCAAGATCTTTGAGGATTTGAATCAAGTCTTCCTTAACCATGAGAGCTTCTCGAGATTGTCCACATATGGCAATACAATGTGGTTTACGGCGAATTATAAAATCCTGCATGCGCCTAATATCGCTTTCTTTAGCCATAGCATCTCTTTCATTGTAAGCATTACGCCGTTTGAGCAAATGTGGGAGACGAATATATTCACAACAATCGCCATCAATGTCAATGCAACAACCAAATGCTGCTTGGGAAAGGTCTGGAACAAATGCAATAGAAAATACTCTGAAACCTTTACTAGTATCCCAGTCATCTTCATCTTCATCAGAAAAGTCTCCGGGATTATAGGGTGCAATTTTAATCCAGTTATAGAGTTTACTGCAACACTGTTCCATCACATGATCTTTTGATTCCTGAACCAAACGTTGAGTGAGTTCCCTTTTAAGATCTTCAATAATCCGTTTGAAGGTAAATTCAATTGCCCGGCCTCTCAGGTCATTCCAGTCTTGGACAACTTGGGAAAACTCATCCTTGTAATACAACTGTTTCATTTCATCAAGATAACTCATGGTTGTATTCCCTTCAATGGTATCAGACAAGCTAATTGTCAGCAGTTTGTCTTCAACACCACATTTGAGACGAAGGAACTGATCGCCCTGCAGATCAGTGACTGGTTTATCTTTCAAATATTTAAGTGCATAAAGTGAATGATGTTCATCAATGATCTTCACACCCTGTGGGGTGGGCCTGCTGCTGATCCTGGCACGTTCAAAGTATGCCTCTCTAACTGTACGTCGTACAAGGGGTTCACAAGCCAACTGCCAACCAACCATCCTAACAGCTGCTTCAAGGACACGCTCTGGGGTGCTGCACATTCTGAAAATACAGTTTTCATCATACTTCACAGGTAATACTTAATAAAAATACCATTAGTTTAAAAACGACATTATACCAAAAATGACATTAAACCAAAATACGGAGTATGCGGCATGACACAAACGGCGTCAATAAATAAAAAAAAATTGTAGAACTTCCACTTATTGTCCGAATACTATGGGACTTTTTTTTAAAACGCGTGACAACTTCTGCCCATTCTCTGTATACCCTGACCCCGCCGATGTGGGCGCCCACACGGAGGTTCACTGTTCTCATGACCTCACTCTTGACAGTCATGGCCTTCTCTCGAGTCGAAAAGTTTCCCCATTCTGGTTATTTTATCTCAAGTATTTGTTACCGGCTTTATAAATGGTGCAAATAGAGCTTCCAGATGAATATTGATCAAGAACAAAGTCAATCCATGACGAAAGCATTGAAAGAAACACGTATGAGGGAAAAGTTAGAGTTTTCGACAAAAGTATAGAAAAAGTGAGATTATATGTTCTTATATGCCAATATCCCTTTACAGCATTCTATTGCAAACAATTTGATACCAAATCGAACGGCGTAGCACAAAAATTGAGGTGAGAAAGTTGAAAAGAGTATAAACATTTTTGTGTGGTGGTGAGCTCTCGGCTGGTCTAAAGTAGTACAGTATAGGGAAGTGAGACTTGTATAATTTTGTATGCAAATATCTGTTTACAGCATTCTGTTGTGAACAATTTGATACCAAATTGAATGACATACCATGATAATTGAGGTGAGAAAGCTGAAAAGAAAATAAACATTGGAGAGAAGTTGTGTGCTCACGGGAAACGCTCGGCTGACCTTTCGGTTTGCAGTGGGTCGCCTGCCGGGCCAGCGAAAGTGTTAAGGATTCATAATGCTGATGTAACATATGTGTGAAGCTACCTCAGTGGCTAGCAACAGGGAGTCACTGTTCAGCCCCTCCAGAAACAAAAAATATAAATAGCTTAACATAAAATACAGAAACTCATGGTACGGTATATACAGCTAAATCATTCAAGCGCCCAATTACTTACTTGGAAAGGTGCTCCTCAGCTTCCTTCGTGGAATCCTCTGGGCACTGCTCAACATCAAAGCGCTGATAGTTATCACGGAGGTTCTCACCAAACTGCTCAGGAGTTAGACCAAATTTCTTTGTAAGTGTCTCTGAAAGTTCAATTGAATTTGGAATAAATAAATAAAATAAATTAAATTTAAAACAAGTTAAAGGTCAAACTTTATGATATTTGAAATCCATAATATGGCATTTCAATCACACACTTTTTTTAGAGTACCACATATGCAGGTGAACATGTCGATCCGGCGAATAGGTCGACCCCAAAAATTTTGAGGTGTAATTCAGGTTTAGGCCTATATTTGCCAGATAAAACAACCCCCTAAATAAGGCAGCATCACTTCCCCAGCTCACCGTATGGAAAGAAAACACTACGGTATATCATTAATATACGGTAACTTAACGAATATTTACCGCACAAGGTTAAGGTGCTAGAATTAGTTCGTTCAGCAGCTATGTCTACCTCTCTTGCCTATGCTAAACTATTGCCCAAGTTTGTTTTGTTGGTATCAGTCATAGGCTACACAAATAAACATGAATTACATAGTAGAAACAACATGGCATTCAAAAATATTACAGAAATACTGGCAATATAGAATGGTAAGATCAAATGCCAATACTGCTGCAACAACTTCTATAAATGTTTGATGGAAGAGACAGCCTGTATGATAGTTTTCCCCATGATCCCATAGCTCAACAACTGGCTGCTTGGTGTTGGTGGTGCCACTGGTATGCCGATCAGCTGTTCTCAATGGCGAGATTGCAGGGCTATGTTTTCTACTACTGTACTGTAGTACAGTATTAGTATGTGGTAACCATTGTGATATTGTACCATTGTGTAGTGAAATTTGTTTTCCCGATAATGTAGTTGAAATTTTCCGTTTTTTCCTGATTTGTTTTCTTTTAAAACATTTTAGTTGCGAGTGAGTTCTAACTCAAGAGCAAATCAGCCTCACCTAATATTAATAATCCTACGGTAACCTACCCTATGAGTTACTGCAAGTCATCGATATTATAATCTCTATGTTAAAACGACTTACCAACCATGAGTTTCAGTAGGAAATAATTATGATGGGCTGCAGGAGTTATGGAAAGTGGTGCACGTGTAAATTGTTCACATTTTATATTCGACGGACAAGTTGACACCTGGTGTTGGAGTGAGATTTTTAGGCTTCAAATGTTGATTTATACACCGGCATATACAGTATATCTGTGCATACTGATGTTCTAGACTTTTTGTGATATAAATATTACCGACAACCCAATGCATCACTGCACATCAAAAAAAGGTAATACTGTATAAAAAAATACAAATATAATCAAATATGTTCAATGTTTTTTAATGTTACTACTAGGTGCAAAATTTATGGTGCTAGGCTGACCTTAGATTGTGGTTACATTATCATCACTCACAAGGCCTGCTTTTATTGGCTCCAAACTGTGCATAAACGTGTAGATTGTTATACAGTATACAGTAGTAGGCAGCCTTCAGTCTCGGGAGACTATGGAGTTGCGCTCTGGTTGCTTTCCAGGGCGCAAAACCTGGATAAGTTGATATGGAGGAGAAGCTATTACCCATGCAGCAGGTCCCCTCCCTCTCCAAATTGCTGAAATTAGCCAATGGAAAGGCAAATGCCAATGCGCATGGTTCCAGGACCGTCGCAGGAACTGCCAGAACGAGGTCAAAGTCAACAACGAACTGCCTTAGGAGCCCCAACTCCGGATAATTCCTCAAGGTTGACTCCTGAAGCCTTTCCCAAGAGGGGTATAGCCGCAAGGCAGCGTTAGTTTAGAATCAGGGCTTTCCTTCCCCCTAGATGTGTTGCCTTCCCAGACTAACGAGTCCCATCTACCCGGAATAGATGTATATAGATTGTTTTATATACTGTATAACAATCTATACAGTATACAGTATATAGATTGTTAATATAACATGTATACAGCATAATAATAGCAAAAATATAAGTCCAAATAATATAATAGGCACATATTAGTGATGTGAATGTTTTGTGTGTATTGATATTATGCACAATATTGTGTATATATTATATACACTTCTCAAATTACACACTATTGCATAATATAACCCACAAAAAGCAGTTAAAAACAAGTTAGTGACACTGAAATAAATTAGTATAAATATATTTGCAGCAACTCCTGCCTGGCCTGAACGACCTCCACAGGGTGCCTCGTTCATCAGAGCTCATGAATCAGTGATGTCATTACAATTTTCCTATCTCTGCACCACAGCTGAAGTTTTGCTACATACATTTTTTTTGTTCTTTTAGTTTTCTGTGATCAGGAAATACATTTTAACATTATTAGAAAGAAAAATATTTTTGCATTTACTGTTTTGCACCACCGAGTTGTCATTAAACAGGCGCACAGTGCAGTGGTTAATATTCCCTGTTATACCTTTTATATATTTCAACCATGTTGCCAGTTACTCTTCATCTTTCTAGAAAATGTACAGTAAACCACTCTTCATATGGGTGGTTTCTAATTCCTGGGATTAATTTTGTCATCCATCTAAGTACACATTCAAGAGAATTTATGCTTACTGTATAGTATAAAGGACAAAAGTGAACTACATAATCTCAATGTGGCACTAAAACAAGCAAACGAGAAGATACTTACCAATACCTGCTTTCCGAAGAAGTTCATACTCGTGTCTTCGAACAGCTTTTTTCAAAGCTTCGGAGTCTTCCTCGGGTTCATTATTTTCTTCCTCCACCTCTTCCTCTATTTCAGTCTCCACTTCTGTTTCAACTTCCTCTTCCTCTTCTTCCTCATCTTCCTCTTCCTCTCTCTCTGAACCTTTATTTTTTTGTTTATTCGCACTTTGCACATCTTTTCCTGAATCAACTTCCATTTCTATCTCCCCATCCTCAATGACAGCATCATTTTGGTCCCTTTCAGCATTGTCACTTTTGTTTCCTGAATCACTTTCCCTGTCCTTCTCTGCATCTTCAACCTCACCTTCCCCTGTATCTTTGTTCACAGTTTTTTCTGCATCTTTGTCACCAGCTTCCTCTGCAACTTCAATTGCAGTTTTTTTAGCAACTTCATTTACATCTTCACTTGTGCTTTTCTCAGCGTCTTCACTTGTCCTTTTCTCAGCAACTTTGTTTTTACCTTTCTCAGCATCATCATTGTCATCTGCCTCTGAATCTTCATTTTCGTCTATCTCTGCACCTTCGTTCCCATCCATCTCATCATCCTCACTTCCAGCTTTCTCAGCATCTTTATTTCTATCTTTCTCAGCATCTTCATTTCCACTTTTCTCAGCATCTTCATTTCCACCTTTCTCAGTGTCACTATTGTCTTTTCCTGCATCACTGATCTCTTTCTCCTTATTCTGGCTTTTCACTGTATCAACTTCAGCATCCCTTACTGATTCATCATCTATATCTCGTTCAATTTCACTACTATTTTTGTTTATGTTGTCGTCGTCCTCATCTTCATCTTCAATGATCAGATTTGTCTTCTTCTTTTTCTTCTTCTTCCTCATTACTTTTCTCAAGACCTTTGGAATAAAAAATCATTAAGAACACTATTCCTATGAGTCATCATAACAAAAATATGTGTTCTATCAATGAAGCTGATGATAAAGGATCTATATATAGCCCGATAAAAAAATTGTTGGTTTTTATTCAAAAAGAATAAACAAATTTATAATTTTAAATACAGCCATTATTGCTTGAGGTAGTCCTTATTACCAGTGTAAAGGTTAAGTTGCATTACATCACTTAAGCACCATCGCCAAAAGACAGTACTGTGTGTAGATTTGACCATTACACCTCAAAGTAGAGATAATTATCACATTTCCATGTGTAAATACATTTTTGTTTTATGTTCTAATGTTATTGAATAAATTTGTATGTTAAGCACATGATGTTTTAAGAAATCCTTTCTCCCTCATATTACACTTTTGTCAACTTGGTCCCATAATAAGATCCTCTGCCATATACTACTGTATCCCTATTTAATAAATTCTTTCTTTTTGATGAACTAATCACTCTGATAACTAAGGCAGTGTTTCTGATGTTACAAATATTTCACTCAGAAATGCACAATGGCCATGAACAAGTGCACAATCTCAGGACGTGCCAGGCGACCACGTCAGATGCAAAGAAGTCTTTGTGGGGTGGCCATCCCCATCACTGCCACCAGCACTACAGAACCTGGAATTAGCTCAAGCTATCATCATATGCATACCAGATACTGTATGCAGCAGCTATGATCTGATTGGCACACCACCCAGCTAACAGGTCGCCCACAAACAGGTCACCCCAATGGTCCTGTGGACCATGGTTGCCCAGCAAGTCAAGGTGTGATCAGCACAAGTTCTCATCATGCAGCTAGCCCTGGCCCTATTTCTACAACTCTGGCACTTCCTGTTCAGCTGTACCCACTTCCAGCTCACCCCTGGATATCTTGTCCTGAATATTGAATAAATAAATGAATGATTACTCTGATCTCCCTACACCACCAGGTAGAGATCAGGCACGACCTATATCTGGCCAGATCCCAAAGATTTTGTGCAGTTGCTCTAGGCATTTTATGTTGTTAATAATTACTGTAAGCAACATGTAATGTCTGTCCTAGGCCTGTTCTAGTCTAGCTGCACCCATTAGTGGTCCATCATTAAAGTAACCTAGGACAAAGATTGGGTACAAAGTACAGCTGACACAGCAACATCAGAGGCCAAGACCTATGCAGTTCCCCCCCCCTTCCTGCTGAGTGTCCCATGCCCTCTGTGAGCAATCAGTACATACATAGCTCAAGGAGACCCAGGATATGCACAACAGATTCCAAGTGCAGATGAGCACAAAAGTCATCTACTACAAGCACTGCCAACAACAGAGGAAATTGTCCATGGAGCTGCACAAAACCCATGTCCTGAAAAAGAGCAGGAGCAAACAGGCAGCCAGGGAGGGGTAAAAGAAACACCTGCACCACAGTCAACACCTCATGCCATTCGAGTATGTGACAACAAAAACTGCACCAAGCATGAACAAGAGATTGTCTGCCAGCCAGGAGGACTCCAGAACCTCGTAATGCATCCAGTACGGAGAAGTAATACCAAACTCAAAAGAGAAAGAATCCATTGATGAGGCATAAAACCTGGTATAAGCCAGGTTTCACAGAAGGTACATAAACAGAGCCACCCAAAAAGAAGCCAATGTTTATTCTTTTACTGAATTTTCTATAGGAAAAGTAACATCCTATTAAGACAAGAAAAACCACTTGTGTTATCCATTTACTTGAGACTTGTGCATTTGTTGCCTGAAGTTCAGAGATGAAATAAGTAAATAATATGAAAATGCTTTTAACTTAAAATGGCCATTTTTTTTAATACCAATCTTCCTAATTGTAACAAAGATAACGAAAGATGCAAAGGACTATGACTGCACTAAAGGTAGTTCCACATATTTTTGTCTAACCTTTCCAGTAAATTAACGTTTATACTGTATTGCTACTTGGTAACTAGTGCCACAAATCTATTTCAAAACCAGCATTTAAGAATAACTTTCACACACCTTAACAACCCTGGTGACTCTTGTTGTGGTCCTCTGTTCTCTGCGCTTGGTTTTCATATGGTCACGCATTGCTGGCTGATCTTTGCCATAGTACAACAGGAAGAATTTGTAATAATCATTGAACTGTTCTGATGTCTCAATCTCCTCAATTCTGGAAAATAAAAAAATTAAGTTTATAAGTGCTTAATCTTGAGTATCCAGAAAAATCAGACATACAAAAAGTAGTACATTTTGAGCTGGAGACTGTTTAGGAAGAATGTGTATTGGTATAGCAAAACTATGTGAAGGAAAAGTGGACTCAATCAAAAAAAAACCTGTGCAGTAAAGGGAGGGAGTATGGTAAAGGGAGGGAGTCAGTAAAGGGTTTGATTGGGAATGTTGAAGAATAGAGTATAAGGAGCGAAGACGCAACCGGGGGACACAGACACCATCTTGACCTGACACGAGGAATGGCGACGACCAGTCCTTGCTTTCCCGGGGGATTTCTTCTGCCATACCCTAATATAAGCCACTGGATTGTATTAGCAGGGGATGCAAAAAAGGGTAAAGTACACCGACAGTCTACTGAGCAGTTTCTGAGAGAGTGTCCAGATTTCCTAGGGATTTATATACGTGTGACACTGGCTGACAGACGTAGTGCTGGAATGCACAGTTTCAGTTTTTGACTAAGAGCCATAGGGAGACCAGAACCCTGTTTGGGTGATAAGATATCAAGTTTTCCTTCAGAATAACCTTGAGTTGTAAGGAGTGAATTTATCTCGTGTAATATTTTGTGTCTGTTTAAAAATATAACTTTGTCATCTTCTTTCTAAGCTTTTCCCCAATTTCTTGAATTCCAATTGGCTCAAATAAAAGACTATTCCCCTAGATATTAAAATACATGACAGCCCCGTGACAGGAAGCACAAAACATCCATGAGGTAATGTTATATAGTAGCTGCTAGGATATATAGAGGCCACAGCAAACCTCCAGTCAAGTCTTTCAATGGGCCACAGAAAATAACGTGATATATAATGTGATAAGTTCCAATTATCGTGCCATGGAAAAAAAACAAAAATATAAAAACAAACCACATAAAACACAGCCAATCTACATTATTGAAAGAAAATCAGTGTTAAATGTCACATATTGCCAATTTCTGGGTGAGCCCCGATGGCTCCCTGAAGTTATAATGCTGATATAGTGCCAAACTACTATGCCATCAGTCACGTTCTTTTAGTGCCTATCATGGACCACAAGCCAGAATTCCCCCCCCCCCCCTCCCTTTTAGTGAGGCACATAGAGCAGTGGCACTATGGTAAAATTGTCAGTAAATGTTAATCATATCCACCACCACTGGGGAAGCACCCACAAAGTCAGCGAAACAAAACAGATCACTGCTGCTTATAAAAAATATTAATACATAGGCATTGGACGAAATGTGTTACAACTATGCCAACAGGAACTGTAAACTTCCAGGAATGGGCAGACAAATGGCAACTAGATTTCAAATAAGTGTGAAGTAATTAATAATTATTTAAAATTAATGTAAAGTAATTAGCTGGTGAGACTCAAATGTATGTTGAACTTTACATATACTAGCCATTCAAAAGGCTTTACAACATGCAAATGCTGAACATCAACCACACAGTATCATACATACATACACCCTCATATCCTTTGAAAACAGAAGAGTAAGGGGGGAGACATAACCACCTACAAAATTCTCAGGGGAATTGACAGGGTAGACAAAGAAACAACTCTTTAGCATGGGTGAAACATGAGTAAGGGGGACAGGTGGAAACTTAGTACCCAAATGAGCCACAGAGACATTAGAAAGAATTTTTTCAGTGTCAGAGTAGTTAACAAATGGAATGCATTAAGTAGTGATGTGGTGGAGGCAGACTCCATACACAGTTTCAAATGAAGATTTGATAAGAGCCCAGTAGGCTCAGGAATCTGTACACCTGTTGATTGACAGTTGAGAGGTGGGACCAAAGAGCCAGAGCTCAACCCCCACAAGCACAACAAGGTGAGTACAATTAGGTGAGTACAGATTTAGTGCAAGAACAAATGTTCTTGCATTAATGTTAATGTACACATTTGATGACCATGACCTCAATGTCAAAGTCCTGGTAATCCCGTCATGGATCTTTGGCATGGTTGATTCAATCTGTTAAGCCCAGCACTCGCCTTGTGCAAGTTTGAAGGGACATCCTCTTCTCTACCAACAACTTCAGATGTAGGTTAGAGCTTTGTTACAAGCACTCATCAGGCCACATAGGGTCAAGCCTGTTCCTTCTGTTGCAAAGTATGGCACCAATGCTTGCAGCTGTGTTGAATGCCCTGAGGAGGATTCGGCTCCCTCCGGGCTCCGTGCCCTGGCTCAACTCTGTTCCCCGATGATTTATTGCCTGAACCTAGACGAAAAGGGTCACTTTGATCCAACACCCTTTGGCGCTGGGCACTTCGAGCAATTCGGTTTCTAGTTCATCAGATTTGGTTCTCTGATTAGTTCGTGTGCGGAGTGTGTCCAACGTTCTTGTGAACAGGTTATCTCCTTCCATTCCTATGGAGCAGCCCTTTGACAGTGTGACCTTCTGTTGGATCACAACATTCATTGTAGTGATCATTTCCTGATCACAAGGCTATTGCAGTGGATGTATTTCAACAGTACTGGTTGAGGTGCATTTGCTTTTTCTACTGGTTCAGTTGTTGCTCCAAGTTCTTTCCATTCTTGAGTTGTACTTTGGGAGGGGTGACCCTTCTGGCTCCTTGGTAACCAGCCCTGCCTTGGTTTCTGGTACTTCTAGTCTGGTGTTCAAATCTAGGCATTTTTCTGCAACATAGCCTCTCAGCAGATCTGCCCAACAATGTACTGTACTTCACTGTTTCAATCGTCTCCTCTGCAAGTCTGGAATTTTTAACATATCTCTCACCAAATGGGTGACTGATATGTTTGTGTCCCACCTGCATCTTTCCTCACAGCAGCAGTATGAAATTGTATGGCACTCACTTTGCCACTCTCTCTCCATCGTTTTTCTTCTGTTTTGGTCAAGGTTGGTCTGTCCTTTCTATCTTGGTTGTTTCTAGTTTGGCATCTCATGCCTAATATTGTCACCTCTTATCACTTAGCGTTGGATGAGCCACAATTCCTTGAGTTTGGTGTCAACTATTCCTTGGCGCTGTTTCACACGTTGTCTCTTGCTTTTTTTTCTCTCCAAGCCAGCTCATGCTCCTCTTGTGCGGTTCTGGTCTCTTGACTAGATGTTGGTCTTCCTCATCTTGACTTGTTTTATGGTTTCCATTCGGTTTGTAATATCTTTCTAAAAGCTGTGTTTTGGTTGGCTTCCCAGCCTCTGGTTGGGAAGCTTCAGGCTTTTCTTCGGAGGTAGGGGTTTTGTTCCTTTGACCCTGGTAGGCAGTTTGAGCCTTCTCCTTTTCTGATGAAGAATGAATCGGTAAGCTTTCTGAAGGGTCCTGGATTGTACCTGGTCCATTGGCAATTGGTGCTTCGTTGGCCTGGCTGGGGTAGCATCACTTGTGACTGGTGGCTACACTACCTACGGGTCACCGGTTTTGCGTCGGTGGATGCCTTATTGGTTGACCCAGTTTTCTTAGTTCCCTGCTCCATGTCTCATTTCCCAGATTTTCCGTAGTCATCAAATCTTGCCAATGAAGTCTACTTTCGGGCCAATGATGTTCGCAAGTATGCTGGGTTGGCTGCAGTCTTCTCCAACATGTCCTGGGATGATATTTGGGATCGGGGATTTTTGGCAGAACAAGATTCTGGTGGCCTGGTATTTGGTTAATGACCAAACAACAATGAACAAGACCCAGTGCGTCTTGTGTTGCCTTAGGCCCATCTCACGCCCGTGGGCCAGATTCACAAGTACTTACGAAAGTGTACATCATTCCTCAATCTTTGACGGCTTTGATTACATTTATTAAACAGTTTACAAGCATGAAAACTTCCCAATCAACTGTTGTTATTGTTATAAACAGCCTCCTGATGCTTCGGAGCTCATTAACGGTTTAATAATTGTAAACAAAGCCGCCAAAAATTAAGAAAAGATGTACAGGTTCATAAGTGCTTGCATATCTGCTTCATGAATCTGGCCCCTGGATTCTTCTTCTTTGTCCTAGTGCATGCTAGGTCCACGGTTGTTCAACACCCTCCCAGCAAGCATAAGAAATATTGCCGGAACAACCATGGACATCTTCAAGAGGAAACTAGATTTATTCCTCCAAGGAGTGCCGGACCAACCGGGCTGTGGTAGGTATGTGGACCTGCGGGCCACTCCAAGCAACAGCCTAGTGGACCAAACTCTCACAAGTCAAGCCTGGCCTCGGGCTGGGCTTGGGGAGTAGAAGAACTCCCAGAACCCCATCAACCAAGTATCAACCAGGTATGCTGCCTCTCTTCCTCCCTGGTAAGTTCCATTTTTGTTCTCTGTGGTTAGTTAGCTTTAGAGAGCCCCCGGGGCCTCACCTAGAAACCCATGTTTGAATGGAATGAAACACTTCTTTTTGGATAAGCCCCAGTGGCTCCTTGACTCCCTACCAGGTTAGCTGGCGAGCTATTCATCAGTTCCAAATCTTAGTAAGGAAGACAGCTGGATGCAGAAGCCAGGCCTCCACATGGTGACATTCAGGACAATGAGTTTCACATTTTAATGATTCTCTTGTTCAACGTGAATCATTTGTAGAGTTGTTTAGTGATTTCATGACTTAAGACTTTGTTATCCCTAGTTATCAATAAAGCTTTACTAACTTTCTTGGATACATTCCCTGTACAGTGGCAAACTGTCTCTTGCTCTCTCTGCCTCTTGAGAGTTCAAATTCTGGCTGTTCCCCAGCAGGCCAAACTGAACTCCTGCATCTGATGTAACCCATTTTCATGGAACAGTCTCAGTGAGAAATCTTCACGAAGCCATCAGGGCTCATCCAGAAAACATGTTTCATTACATTTAAAGCTAGGTTTATTATATACTGAAGTGTGCCTTCTCACCTTTCAATGTCCTCTTCCTTGAGCATGCGCATATTTTCTGGTAGTGGTGCATCTAGATCCTTCATGATGAGGTCACCTTGGTATTCTCCCATTGCTTGGAATCGTGCCCTCAGGTTCTCCTTACGATACTTCAGTTGACACCACTGAAAAAATTAACTAATGAACTATTGAATGATTAATGATTAGTACTGTACCTTTTTAATTAACTACTTAATTGTCATCCAAAATTTTGTTGGACAGAAGTGATATAAATGCACATAAAATGACCATAAAGAAAACTTGATAATCCTGGTCATACTCTAATTATTAATGGAAAAATATTCAGCATCTAGGGAGAAATACCTAGTTGACAATCTACATGCTGGCTCTTTACACCTTAAAGCTGCAACATGCTTTAAAATTTATACAAAACTAATTGGTTGCAGTTCAAGCCTCTGCTCCGTCAAAATTAGGCTATTGTTCAATAATTCTACTGTACCTTTTAAATAAAAATGCATTCCACAAATGCTGATTATCTTTAGTTTCTAACTAGTACAGTAATTATAAAGAAAAATAATGCATTCAGATGCATGAAAATGAAGAGCATAATTCCCGATTTTCAAAGTACAGGATAAGGTGATGCCAAATTACCAAAAAGTGGATTTTTCAACCCAACCATCTCAGATCATCATGAAATTTCCAACCCATCCTCCTGTTTAGATAATATGTTTTGTAACCATGTGGATCATCATACATATATATTCATCTATAGACAATTTTAGATTGTAGAATTTGGTGCTACTGTATTCATTTTATGAGTCCGGGAAAATAAAGTAAAATCCCAAACTTAAAATATTCGTAGGCTTAGTATAGCACATATATGTACTATATTAAACCTCAGATAGTGTGTATTAGGCCTAGAATGGTTAGGTAATTAAAAATACAAAATAATTTTGTATTTTATTACCAACAAATACAAAACCTTTTTCTCAGTCTGTCTAAATTCAATAGTACCCAATTCTACTTTGTAATTGTTCATTATGTCAATATATGTATGATGGTCCAATGTAACACCATAAATGATTTTATTAAATTCACTACAGGAGTAGAGTCAGTTCACACAGGAAATTGTGTCACCAGCAGTGTGCAAAAACTTTATTCCTCTGCTACTGACATTGTAATGGTTAGGAAAAAAGAAAAAGGAAATGGGAAGGAAGTCTGAGGTAGAGGAGAAAAGGTGAAAGGGAAAGTGTAGAGATAGAAGATGGGATGAAGGATTGACCTTGGAAGAGAGGAAGAAGGTGGTAGAAATGATGAGCATAATAAGTAGAAAGAGCTAGAGCTAGAGCTTGAGTTTGGATAGACAGAGGTAGTGCTGCCACCATCCATTCATATATTTACAAGACAAGGAGTGGAACTCGTCTCTTTTCAACAGTTATTATGATAGGTGTTAAGTAACAAATGAAAGCATAAGGACCAAAAATTTAATTATCAAATCTGAATCTTTGGTAAGTAATCTTAAGTGCTCTGTATTAGTCTGGGGCTTCAGTCGTACGGAGTTCTATGCCTACCGGGAACCATGAGCCAGAACCTGGTTCCCTCAGAAAGGCAAAGGAAGAAATGGCTTATGAAAACTCCACTCTTTGAGAGTATATTCATGTCTGCCATTGACCAGGGTTAGGCACCCAGAAAGGTAAACACCCCAAAACAGATCGAACAGAGCCCAAAAATTCCCCCCCAAGAAAAACAAAGTAAAAAAAAACAAATCATCGTCATCCCAACACACCGTTCATTCGCCCCCCATCCCCAGGAAGAGGAGGCCCCCACCCCACCGAACCGGCCGCCAGTTCGTCGACTGAAGCCTGCTGAGGCTGACATCTACTCTGGCTGCCATATCCTGTCAGGATTTTGGTCAACAATTTTTTTGGTTGACCTTGCAAGCAAATATTTTCTATTTTTTATCACATTAGAAACCTTGCTGTATGAATATCATGCATCACTGAGGGCTAAAATTTTGCATACGTATGTTACTTCATGTACTGTAATATCCTACCAATTTCATGTAAATCCGAGATGGTATGATTGGAAGCTGTGATTTGGCATGGAATGACCTGATAGCATTAGACACTATCTCATATAAGTTTATATTTAGAACATATTCAATGCAGTACCTTCTCATCCCAATGATAGACTTTCCATAAATCATGAATGTTTAATTCAGGTTGGACCTCCTCCTTCCTATAAAAGGCAATGAATGGAACTTCACAGGTGGAGTTCCTCATCAAATCCAGGGCATTGTAAATTTTCTGGATCATATTAATATCACGGCGAGAGCGCTGCCTTGCTTCTTCACGACCCTCCTGTACAAAATAAAATATCTCTGTAGTATCATTTATTAATCCGGCACTACTACTTCTTTAACATGATTTATAACAGAACTCCTTCAAAAGAGAATCAATTAAGACCTTCAAAATGTGAGAAAGAAATGTTAAACTATACATGTAACTAGAGTACTACATTGGTTGTCTCACATTTTACTATTGCAGTATACATGCTGTATGAAGAGAATGTCATAAACTAATGAGATATGTATATGCATATGCTTTTTATTAATCCTTTTCAACAAAAACAAATTAACAACCTGATTGGAAATAAATGGCCTGAAAAATGCATGATGATAAATCCACTTTGCTTCTTGATCCAGTTCCTTGTCTGTAGAGCGATCGTCACCTTCTCCACGGGTACGACTCACAGGAATCTGCCTGAGCTGGAACCTCTCGGGAATATCCAGCTTCCGGATTTCGTGATCTTGATCAGTCAAATGTCCGCGCTCTAATTCACTCGGTTCAAACACCTGAAAGAATCAGTTATATTTGTATGAATAACCAATCTTCCCATATACTTATTACCGTTATCCTCATCACCACCACCATCTCATTTCCCACTTTCATGGAGTTGGTTAGCCTTGAAGCCAGGTACTGCAACCAGTTAGGCTATTTAGTATCATTTTTCCCAAGTGTATGATATGCAAATTTATTTATATTCAGGTCCCCAATTATTTCTAGGACACAGCCAAATTAAATAATAGAAGGTGCCACCCTGCCTAAGATTCTAAGCCAAGTCTTCTTACTTGAGGTAAATGTGAGCAAATAATTAATCAACAAAACATCTTAAACAGTAAACTACTCCTAAATTCAATCTTCACTACTTCCGTACAAAGCCTTCCTTTGTCATTCTCGGTACATGCAGGGGTGTTCGAGTTGTTTTCTTTGCCTATTAAGGGAATGCCAGTAACATTCTAATTTGCAATTTTCTCTCTTTTCGTAGTTGCATGTGACTTGAGCATATAGAGCTACTGTGCCTATTTTCTCAAGGCACTGATTTAGATTTATATTAGCTATTTGTTCTTCCAAGTTTACTTCTCTGAGGTCTTGCTTTATTAGTTCTCAGTTAATCAGTTTATTATTAAAATTGAATTTGCTGAATTCACTTTAACTTGTATTTGAGACTAGCTGCCCTGGTCTATTGCAGTATGTTTGTCTGAGCTTGCCCTATTATACTTTCCCCCTTGGGATTATACCTCTTATTCCATTAAAGTGGGAAGTGAGAATAATGATAATGAATGAATCATAGAATGTTAGTACCCATCACCAATCTCTACCCCACATATCCATATAAAATTAGTTGGATGTATTGTACAATTATCACCAATATAATAATGTAAATATAGTTCATCTATATTCATAAAGCATAGTAAACTAATTAATCAGGTGAGGCTGCTGCCTTCATTCTCTCTCTCTCTTACCTTCTGCTACACACACATTTTGACTGTACAAGATCTATGACCAATCTCCCAACAAGATCTAAACAAAAAATTCCTTTCATTTTAAACAGATGATTTACCATATATTCATATATTTTCTAAGGTCTCAGCAGTTGATAATACCATAATGATAATTACACATCTTCAACACAATAATTATGAAAAATCTTGCTCCTAAGAACATACCTCATAGATGGTCTTCTTGACTTGCTTCCTGCGTTCCTTGCGGCCTCGGCGATGCTCTCGACCTTCACCACCTTCTTCATCCTCCTCATAGTCGTCATCATCATCCTCCTCTTCATCTTCACGCTCCTCCCAATCTATGACAAAACAATTGACTAAAATATTACAACTTAAAACATGAAAGGGGAATTTACATTAGAGAAACTTTTTTTGTTATACTTTTGAGTCAATATTATAGCTATTTATAGTTGGCCACAAAAACTCCTACTGTGCAAAACTCCAAGATGCAAAAATTTTTATGAATGCAGTTATATCACCAAGTGAATATGTAAATACAAAATTTGAAAAGTATATATAAGCCTGTTCATGTAAGTTAAGCTTTTATTATTAAACTGCTATGCAAGTATACTATATATTGTATGTTAATTACGTAATGCCTTCTCTTTAAGTCCGTGTATTACAAAAAGTTCTAACAGATGAATAAAGCAATTTATATACTATATATACTGATCTATAGGACCATCCTTTTCCCCGGTAATATATCACCCTACTTCCAAAGGTCCAAAGATTACACGTTTCATTGCTGCCAACTGAGTTGAACTTCCATGGAACCCACAAAATTATTAAATTTTTCTTGAGTATATATGTACAAGCTTATAAATGACAATATTTAATAAATATTAATATTTTGTCATATGAAATAGGAATAAAAAGTATGAGACTCTGAGGAAGCTGTCTCAAGAGTGAGAACAGGAAGAAAGGAAAACCATTGTGAATCATGGAAGTGAGAATAGTTTGATGAGACATGCTTAGTCCAGCACATTAGCATTTAATTTACATTTTAATATACTGTAGTAAAAAAATACCTTCATATTGTTCAAATTCCCCATAATCAAAATCACAACCGAAGATATCACGGGCAGCCTCCAGTCCTTCGTCTTCAAATACTGCTTTCCTCTTCTGTTTGGCAATTGGCTTTCCTTCGTCATCAACAATGAAATTCTCTTCACCATCAGACTCTTCCTCCTCTTCCTCTGATGCATACGTTTCAGGCTGCTGTGGAGGGTGGGGAGCCGAGGCCCCTTCTTCCTCCTCATCCTGTGATACCAGATAGCAAGGTTACCAGATAATACAATACAGTATTAGACCAGGTAGAGAGAATCAAAGAACTCATAACATTTGAGCATTAATTGAATCACAAGAAAGTAACAATTGTACACATAAGAGAATAGACAAAAAGACAATTCTTAATTAGCTAAAATATCACATAAGGAATAGGTGTATGCAATTATGTGTTGACATAGGAAGGGCATTATGAGAATGCATAGTTATACATATATTGAGGTCTCCGAAGATGGTTCTGCAACATACCCTGTGCGGGAAGGCAGGAGTATCTATTTTCATTACACCAACTAATGAAATCAACACACTTATAAAAACAAAAGTACCTCAAAGTATAATGGTAGAAAATAGACAATATATCATTATATCAATGATATAATAGACATTATATCATTCTAAACCCTAAACCACCCTCACCAAGGAAACTTCTAAAAAGGAAATAAAGCAAAAAGATAACCTGTAAGGCTTTATAGAGCACCTATCCAACGCAGTGTTGAAAGATCGCTCTCTGCCGGTGAAATTCAAACCTTATTGTTTGAAGAACATAAGAGTCATAATATTGGTGAAGCTAGGCACAATAAGGACCTAACAGAAAGGTCGGATGCAAGTGATACAGCACCTATGAGGACGATACAGCGAGCGTATCCAGTTGCAGCTCTGAGTGCCACCCTTGCCCACCTATGCTATCTCCAATTTATATAGATGATACACAGATGAATTGTTTTCTGCGTTCAGTGATGATGCATCTGATACAAGTAGCATAGATGAACAGTGTTAGCGGCGTTCATGGTGTTATTTTCCATAGATATTTTCAAGAATAGCTGAATTTCTTCTTGACTGACGGACACTCTTCGAGGCTGGCTGAATCTCTTCCTGTGTGGGACCTTACAAAGCGATCTTTTCAAGACTACCTTACAAATAGGTAGATCTTAAGATCCTAAAGATCTTTTCCTATAATCCTTTCAAGATTACCTTACGCTTTACAAGCTTGGCTACATACCACCTACAGGTACTAAAGCCAAGGGTGTACATGAGTGTGTTATTTGCAAGCACAAAGAATGAAGAAACAGGAAGTGAAAATCTATCTGTACCTGGTGCAACAAGAGCGAAGTCGCGCTGTGCACCATGGACTACTTCGTTGATTATTACTCACTTCCGAAGTAGTGTGTGTAATACAGCGTGTTACTGTGTAGTGTGTGTGAAACTGTACATATTGTAATTTTAGTCAACTTTTAACAAGTAATAAAGCAACAACAAACATATTGCGGACACATTACTGACACATGTATCATAGTTCCATGGAACATTATGAACGTTCTACTGTAAAGGACACAAATATGCATCATATACGAAAAAAACAAAAAAAAAAAACATTGGAAATACATAGAACAAATAATTGAAAATATATTTGTGGCAACACCCGGTTATCTTGAAATGAATTCAGGGCTTAGCATCCCCATGGCCTGGTCCTCGACCAGGCCTCCTTTTTGTTACACACCCCCAGGAAGCAGGCCGTAGCAGCTATCTAATTCCCAGGTACCTATTTACTGCTAGGTAACAGGGGCATCAGGGTGAAAAACATTTCGCCCATTTGTTTCCGCCTCCACCGGGGATCGAAGCCGGAACCTCAGGACTACGAATCCGAAGCGATGTCCTCCCAGCTGTTAGCCCCAAATACTGGTACATTCCTACACACACACTCCACAAAAACATTGTGGAAAGCATTGGACTAGTGAGGGCAAAGTTGTGCCACAACCCAGTGATGGCCGCCTGCTTACCTTGTGGCAAGCTAAGTAGATTCAATATAAAAAAAAAAAAAAAAAAAAAAAAAAAAATTATGATAAAGATTTTACATGATGAACCAATGATCTAGATTTCACCGCGTCTTCCATGGAATTCTTTTATTTTTAGATTCAGAGGAAAAATTGTGAGAGCAGATTTAATCTGGATTTTTGCAAAATCTGCTATATAGAAGTCCAGATTTTCAGGGTGCCACTGTACTGTGTGAAACATACTACAGTACTGATCCAATTGACAATCACAAAAGTATACTGTGCAGTTATATAACTGAAAACTACAAACAAAAATCAACATTATTTTGTGTTTAAACAAGTAAAGCCTTACTGTAGAATTCTATAAGTATTACTTAACCAGATAAATTATTCCATAAAAATTAAATTTCAACTAAATCTCACCATTTAACTAGCATTACTATCCCACTCCAAGGACTGTGATGTTACACACCTGGTGAAAGATAAACATCAATAGAAAATTCACCAACTTACTATCTCCTCCTAAGGATGCCAGGTTGCAGGGGAAATAAGAAGCATGGAGTTTAAAATCATTTGACAAACCAAACATTATAGCACTGAAGGTTTTATAAGCCACTAATTCATAATTATCACCTTACTATATTATACGAGGGACTAAGATTTAATTGCCTATCTAAAGTATTAAGTGGACATGGATATTCTCCTCTCACAAAAGAACATTGTGAGAGGAGCGTATGCATTGCTTTTTAACTTCAAACTTGCTTTTAATTATATGGATGGTGAAATATTGAAGAAACTGTTCATGACTTTTGTCATACATATATATAACATGTAAATATAGGGTAATAAAAGCACAAACAGTATTGTGGGAGGAGGAATTTTGGCGAGTAAGGTGTTGAAGGAGGGAGGAAGGTACGGTATGCTGTCTGGTGTGTGGCAGCTACTCAATCAACCAAATTGACAAAGAGGAATACCTGAAACCAGCAACTTCAATAACAAGAGGACACAGTCAAGCTAAGGAAACAAAGATGCCAAGAAAATATTAGAAAGTTTTCTTTTGCAGTGGTAGACAGTTGGAACAAGTTAAATGAGAAGATGGTGGAGGTCAAAACGGTCAGTAGTTTCAGAGCGTTATACGACAGAATACTGGCAAGACCGGACACCACGCGCATAGCTCTCATCCTGTAACTACACTTAGGTAATTACAATGTAGATATCACTCATTTCATATGTAGTATAGGCAGTCAGCATTTGAAATTCATTGAGTGAAGATGAAGGCATCACTTTAATTTTCCAACTTAAACAGCAAATACTGTACAACAGAGCACAAACATCAATTAAATTAAATGTGCACCAGGTGCAAAAAGCAAAGAGCCAGAACCAGAATCTGGTTCTATGAGACAAGGGAAGATTAAGAATCGGAGATTTACCACAACAGATAGCATAGAAGGAACAAATCATACAACTGCCAGAAAAAAATGCAGCCCAGGTCACCCAAGGTTTCCACTACAACACTTGCTTAGGGCACAACATACTTGCAGCTTAAAGGCCACAGTGCCTCTCATGGGCCCCATCTACAAAGTATACACTTAAGCTAAGTGGCAATTGCTATCCCTGAAATGTGTTCTGCCTGGGGACAGTTTTTGTTATTTTCTGTAGTCCTTCATGAGTGCATTGCTTTATTTCAATAGCAGCCATAATTCTGGCTGAAATTGAATAGGTTTGAATTTGAAGTTAATATATTGAAGTGTTTAAGATACTAAACAGAAACCAATTAAAAAGTAATCCCTACTGGGGTATCTATAACGAACATAATATCACAAAACATCAACTTTAAAAACACTGCTCATGCATATAAAGTGGTACTATATACAACCTAAATTCCAGTACACACAAAAAGATTTACTGCACTTACATCTGAACCTTCGAAGATCTCTTTTCGAATCTGACCTTGCACATCTTCCCCTTCCACATCTGAGTCTTCATCCACAATTCTCTTCAAACGCTTATATTTTTTCTGTGAACCAAAAATTTAAGACATCTATAAACAAAGTTCTAGAACAACAAATATTGGAAAGATATAAGCATGTTCAAGATATTAATAAAACTTTTGTCACTTAGTTTAAACTCTTATTAGATATTGAGTACCAGTAAATTACAAACAAGCTCATGACGACTTACAAATAATTCAACCTTTGGTTATACCCTGGATGCTGAAACTTATTTAGGTAATCATAAGAGCAAATATTATATTATATAGTTATATTATGTATTATATAATGTACATTCATGTATTACTGTGTGTATGTACTGTATATTAATTATCGATGAAAACTACATTACCTTTCTGTCGAGTTTCACACCAATGTTTTCCTCGATGAGATCAATATCATCTTCATCGAGGTTGTCTGCTTCCAGATCGTCGTCGTCATCATCATCCCGCCGTTTTCGTTTGCCTTCAGTTTCACTGTCTGACCCTGACCCCCCTTCATCATCCTCTTCATCATCGTCATTGATAAAGTCTTTATTTTCTTCACGAATTTTCTCTTCATCTGTCAATAAAATACCAGCAGTGAATGTAATGAAACCTCTTTCTGACTGGGCTTCGTTGGCTCCCTGTAGCTAGTTTGCTGAGGTACCTCAACACACTATTCCCATTAGGACAGAGCCAGAACCTGGCCCTCCTCTCCTCCTCACAGTGGTGTGGAAAGGAAGGAATTTTTATCACCTTCACCAAGGAAGCAAAGTAAAATGAACAAAAGTAAGGTTCACAGATAGAAAAGAAATGAAGCACCAAATGATCTACCCACAAGTTAGACTGAAACCACTATAATATTCACTCTAACCCTTAAACTATGCAAAACTGCTTATGAAGTTTTGAGTAACTGATGCAAAAGTGTGCAACACTGCATGTGCAGTTTTAGAGTACTACGCAAGATTTAAACGGCTCGCGGATACATGGGGTTTACATCACCTTCCTCAGGACCTTTGTAAACAGACGCCATTTTTTTTTTTAAATTGTGGCCAACATTCCTGGATGTGAGAGCCTCAGTACTCAGTGAGCCACCAAGGCTGGCACATGCAGCATGAGCTCACAGCATTGCTGCTCAGTTTGTGACCACAGCATCGCCTAAAAATGCCAAAAATATATGTAACTGGTATTATTTAGCGATGATAGTATTACAGACAATCCCTGACTGATATAAATGACCAGGATTCTGATAATAACAGGATTGTTGTGATAATTTGCGCTGTGTTGTGAGAGGAGTAAAGATGAGGGTGGGAGGGCTGTAGCGTAGTCTGCCGAATCTGTGTGGCCACCTGTTGCTGTCTGCACTCATTATACGTGCTTAGTCGTTCGCAATGGTGAACAAAACATGCAGATACTTATATATAATGTTTGTATATAGCGAATAAAAGCAAAAACAGCATGGTGGGAGGAGGATGTGGGAGTCAGGTGAGGTGAGGGAGGGAGCAGCGGCCAATGGCTAGCTGCCTGGACCCGGATTCACAAAGCAGTTACGCAAGTACTTACGAACATGTACATCTTTCCTCAATCTTTGATGGCTTTGGTTACATTTATTAAACAGTTTACAAGCATGAAACTTGCCAATCAACTGCTGTTACTGTTATAAACAGCCTCCTGGTGCTTCGAAGCTCATTAACTGTTTAATAATTGTAAGCAAAGCCGCCAAAGATTGAGAAAAGATGGACTGGTTTGTAAGTGCTTGCGTAACTGCTTCGTGAATCTGGCCCTTGGTGTGTGGAGGCCACTCTTTGCTGCCTTTTGATTCATCATACCAACTTAGTGGATCGTTATGGTGAACAAAAATGTAGATACCTATATATAATGTGTATGTATAGTGTAATAACAACAAAAGGAGTATTGGGAGAAGCCATTTTGGTGAAGGAGGTGGCGACATCTGATGACTTGTCATGCTGTGTAAGGGTGGCCACTATGCTCTTTGGGCACTATACCAGCTTAGTTGAACAGTTATGTTGAACAAAACATGTAGATACTTATATATAATGTGTGTGTATATAGTGTAATAACACCACAAACAGTATACTTGAAGGAGGAATGTTAGTGCATCTGGCCTTGAACCATTGAGGGAGGGAGGGAGGGAGCATTAGTTGTGTGTAGCCACTTGTTACTGTCTGCCGTGACCGTACAAGATTAGTAGTTCGCTATAGTAAACACAAATATAGATACTTATATATAACGTGCATATATAGTGTAATAACAGCAAAAGAAGTGTTGGGAGAAGCCATTATGGTGAGGGAGGTGGCATCATCTTCCTGACTTGTCATGCTGGGTAAGGGTGGCCACTATGCTCTTTGTGCACTATGCCAGCTTAGATGAACAGTTATGGTGAACAAAACATGTAGATAATTATATATAACATCTGTATGTAGTGAATAAAAGAAAAAACAGTATGGTGGGAGGAGGATGCTGGCGAGTGAGGAGTTTTTGAGGGAGGGAGTGGTAGCGAGTGGCTGGCTGGCCACTCCTCGTTGCTTTTTTGACTGAATATCAACTTAGTGGTTCGTTACGGTGAACAAAACATGCAGATACTTATATATAACCTGTGTATATAGTGTAATAACTGCAAAAGTATTTGTTAAATGTTTTATGAACATAATATTTTAATCAATAATATGCACACCATAATTTTGAGTACAGCGATGATTCACACATTTTATTATATAAATATATCACATTACAGACTACTGAATAATATTACTGCAAAAAACTAAGAAAAAACCAATCAGAGACATTGAAATAATTAGGTAATTATATCTTTGTGGCAACACCCGCCTGACAGCTGTAGCGGAGCAGAACTCCTCTGACGCTAGCTGAGTCAGAGCCTCTTTTTTTTGCCAGACTTCCCCACCCTATTGTGGCCAAAATATGCCACTTACGATTTTTTTAATATTTTCCCGTGATCAGGGAACACAAACAGGTCTATAAGAACAAAAAAAAAATTAATTTTTTTTATGCGCCTGTGGCGCATATGCCCGTGCCTCCCTTGTCTCATCACAATCGACTTGATAATGGTCCAGGACGGACAAAAACATCGTCGTCTCTTCAATTTCTAGCGTATCGTTTGATCAACAATGTAATGGTTGTAGTATATTTCCATATACAGCATTAATATTAAGCAATTTAAGCACCCATGGTTGAATCAAATACATGCTATGCGCCTAGGCTAAATTTTATCATCACTTACCATCTTCGTCCTCTTCTTCAGAAGAGTCAGCTACAGCAGTTTTAAGTTTCTTCAATTTTTTTCTTTCATTTTCTTCATATTCTTCCTCCTCCTCTTCACTCTCCTCTGCTTCTGAATCAATGAACTGTGACATGGTTGATGGTCTCTACAGTCTTAAAGAGAGAAGAATATTAATCAGTGAATATATACACATTAACTTTTCTAACAGCCCACAGCCTAAAACATATTATGGAAAAAATAAGATAACTGGTATACAATGTAGATAAACTTCATACAAAATGCTAAAGTAATATCAGACAAGTTAGCAATTGAAAACTCTTAACTTTGTTTGCTGTAACCCTTCAGCTGCTCAAGCGATTTCAGCATGAAACACTCATGTGCACATAAAATAAATTGCTCTCCAAAAATTATTCGTTCTTGTGACATTGTTAATTAGCATCCAGGAAGGGAAAAAGTCCAAATGAAAAGTCTCTATCTCTCTCAGGTTTTAGCCGCATTGGGCAGAAGTTAATACCAATGAGGCAAGTCCTCTATGGTCTCACCATAGCCCGTGCTACTTGAAACTTTTGATCTGAGTTGCTGAATCTTAAACAACAACAACGAAATTAGGCGAGATGCCACACGGGAATAACTTTGTCTATTTTCATTGTTTCTCACTTAATTTATGTAGTTATTTGTTCAAACAAGTTGTAACAACCACAAAATCAAACAAGATTTCTGTTCCGTTGGTAAATCAGGATGATTTCCCGGTTGCAATTCTTTTAACCATGTCATAGCTCAGTTAATTAAGGCAGCGTCTGGGATCCTCTAGGACGTAGGTTCGAACCCTCGTCGCAACCCTTGTGGATTTGTTCATTTGATGCATCACGCTATTGTGATTTCTGTGAGCAATTAAAGTACAGTATGCTAATATGGCTAATATAGCTAGCTAACCAGTTCTTAGGAGGATGGTTGAAATTTGAGTAACTTGATTTACCTGTGACCAGATATGAGTTTCTTTACTCTCTCAGCCTGGCCTAAGGCAAGGCTTCCCTGGCAATTGCCTGATCAGGTGGGCTAATTTGTTGTTAGTGGTCTGCAAACCCACCTTGCCATCACAACGTGGCAGATCAGGCACTTCCTGGAAGCAGTGAACAAGGTGTTAAAAAATAGAGAAAAAGACAAACATGCCAATTCAACATCACCACGACACTTCTATTTATAGATCCCCCCTCTGAAATCATCCTCAATAAAACCAGAGGTTTGCAAACAATTCATTGTTTGAAAAAATGTATTTGAAATGTATTCAGAGGTATGCCACCAGACTGGTCCCGGAGCCGAGAGAAATGAGCTACGAGGAAAGGCTAAGGGAGCTGAACCACACAACCCTGGAAAACAGAAGAGTAAGGGGAGACATATATAAATAAAAATAATATAAACATGTTTATTCAGGTAAGGTACATACATACAAGTGATGTTACATTAATGGATTGATATATAGATAGAGCTAGTACATACAATGCCTAAAGCCACTATTACGCAATGCGTTTCGGGCAAGAAACATGATAACCACCTACAAAATTCTCAGGGGATTTGACAGGGTGGAACACAAACAAGAGAACACAGGTGGAAACTTAGTACCCAGATGAGCCACGGAGACGTTAGAAAGACTTTTTTCAGTGTCAGGGTAGTTAACAAATGGAATGCATTAAGTAGTGTTGTAGTGGAGGCTGACTCCATAGACAGTTTCAAATGTAGATATGATAGAGCCCAATAGAGCCCAATTTGAGTAGCGACATCTGCAAATTTGCAGATGATACAAAAATCGGTAGGGAAATTAACACGGAAGACGACTCACTATCACTTCAAGTTGATCTAAATAGGGTTTTGAAATGGTCAAAAGATTGGCAGATGCAGTTTAATGCTGATAAATGTAAAGTTCTGAGGCTAGGTAATGATGATAGAGTTACGAGATACGAGCTGGATGGTGTTGAGATTGCGAAGTTGGATTGCGAAAGGGATCTGGGAGTTATGATTAGTATTTTGTGGAACCGCGTAACGTAGTGGAGATGGGGTCCTTGGATTGTTCCAAGCGTGGGTTGGACATGTGTATGAGTGGGATTGGGTGGTTATACATAGGAGCTGCCTCATATGGGGCAATAGACCCTATGCAGTTACCTTTATTCTTATGTTCTTAATAGGCTCAGGAATCTGTACACCAGGAAGAGTCTGGACTGTTAAGAAGTCATGGCTCCAGAGTGGGGTCTGGGGCCAGGTGGCCAGACGGTCGCCAGGTCGAGCCCAGATCCGTCAACATACTCTCTAGAGATGAAGTGGAAAATATGCTTAAGGAGCTAAGTAAGAATAAAGCAGTTGGTCCAGATGGAGTTTCACCATGGGTTCTGAGAGAATGTGCATCTGAGCTCAGCATTCCATTTCACCTGATCTTTCAAGTATCCCTGTGCACAGGAATTGTAGCAGACGTGTGGAAACAGGATAACATAGTTCCAATCTACAAAAGTGGCAGCAGGGAAGACCCCCCTCAATTATAGACCTGTATCATTGACAAGTGTAATAGTGAAAGTACAGTATTGGAAAACTAATCAAAACTAAATGGGTAGAACACCTGGAGAGAAATGATATACTGTACATGTAATATCAGACAGACAGTATGGTTTTCGATCTGGAAGATCCTGTGTATCGAATTTACTCAGTTTCTATGATCGAGCAACAGAGATATTACAGGAAAGAGATGGTTGGGTTGACTGCATCTATCTGGACTTAAAAAAGGCTTTCGACAGAGTTCCACATAAGAGGTTGTTCTGGAAACTGGAAAATATTGGAGGGGTGACAGGTAAGCTTCTAACATGGATGAAAAATTTTCTGATAGAAAAATGAGGGCAGTAATCAGAGTCAATGTATCGGACTGGAGAAATGTCACAAGTGGAGTACCACAGGGTTCAGTTCTTGCACCAGTGATGTTTATTGTCTACATAAATGATCTACCAGTTGGTATATAGAATTATATGAACATGTTTGCTGATGATGCTAAGATAATAGGAAGAATAAGAAATTTAGATGATTGTCATGCCCTTCAAGATGACCTGGACAAAATAAGTATATGGAGCACCACTTGGCAAATGAAATTTAATGTTAATAAATGCCATGTTATGGAATGTGGAATAGGAGAACATAGACCCCACTCAATCTATATATTATGTAAGAAATCTTTAAAGAATTCTGATAAAGAAAGAAATCTAGGGGTGGTTCTAGATAGAAAACTATCACCTGAGGACCACAAAGAATATTGTGCAAGGAGCCTATGCCACGCTTTCTAACTTCAGAATTGCTTTTAAATACATGGATGGCGATATACTAAAGAAATTGTTCACGACTTTTGTTAAGTCCAAAGCTGAAATATGAAGCGGTTGTATGGTGCCCATATCTTAAGAAGTACATCAACAAACTACAAAAAGATGCAAAGACATGCCACTAAATGGCTCCCAGAAATGAAAGACAAGAGCTACAAGGAGAGGTTAGAGGCATTAGATATATGCCAAAACTAGAGTATAGAGGAAAACGAGGCAATATGATCACTACGTACAAAACAGTTACGGGAATCGATAAAATTGATAGGGAAGAATTCCTGAGGCCTGGAACTTCAAGAACAAGAGATCATAGATTTAACTAAACAAAGCTGCCGAAGGAATATAAGAAAATTCACTTTAGCAAACAGAGTGGTAGACGGTTGGAACAAGTTAGGTGAGAAGGTGGAGGCCAAAATCGTCAGTAATTTCAAAGCGTTATACGACAAAGAGTGCTGGGAAGATGGGACACCACGGGCATAGCTCCTATCCTGTCACTACACTTAGGTAATTACTGGAGACGCATGCCATTTGAGGATGATGAAGGCAGCATGCTATTTACCTTCAAATGTAACCTATGACTGGAATAACCTCCACCATTGTAATGGCCCCCACCACTAGAATGTCATACCAACCCCCAATGTAACTTACTCATCAATTTAAATGACTCCAAACTTATAGACGTGACATCAATTGGGGGTACTGGAGTGAGGAGCACCACCACCACCGCCGCCACAGGAACCACTACCCGCCTACCTTCCACTCACCACACTACTACTGCCACGAGTACTCACCTCTCCACTAAAACTACCAAACACTCATCATCCTTCCAACGTGAACAACTGTAAAACGACAAACCTCCTCGAACCCCGTGACTGGCCACTTACTGTGACCAAAGGAAAAATTTACCAATATCAGACCGCTGTTTGGAGAACGGCAAGAAACTCTTTGTTATACGTTAAAATACTTACAGTTAACCTGTACTTTACCTATTCTCTCTCCACTGTCTCTTCCTGAAGGCTTGCAACGATGCAGAAGCACTAAGAGAAGACGTTTTCACTTACCTAACGTGTTAAACAGAGGGCGAGATTGTTTTGGCCGAGGGTAATATGGCGGACGAGTTCCGTCAGCGTTCATTACTGCCCCAATACCTCCACTTTCTTCCCCACGCGCACCATACCACTACTAACACTACAAAATATACCACAAAATTAATATATATACTAATTTACTTCCCAAAACTACAGGTGTATCTACAACTTGGACAGTTTTCTGTTAATAAAAATGCAGATATTCCTCGCACTAAATTATCCACATTAATGAAAGTTGCCAATAAATTTATAATAATAATAATAATAATAATAATAATAATAATAATAATAATAATAATAATAATAATAATAATAATAATATTATTGTTATTATTATTATTATTATTATTATTATTATTATTATTATTATTATTATTATTATTATTAAAATTAATATAATAATAATAATAGCAATAATAATAATAATAATAATAATAATAATAATAATAATAATTATTATTATTATTATTATTATTATTATTATTATTATTATTATTATTATTATTATTATTATTATTATTATTATTATTATTATTATTATTTAATAAGAATGTGTGAACGAAGAACATACGAGTAAGTCCACTCATGGATGTCAACCAACAAACTTTGGCAAGTTGGAGAAGGTACAAAACGAAGTCATGAGAATAATCTTAGGATGCCCAAGAAATGCTATGATTGAGAAAATGAGGATGGAAGTGAATTTGAAGAGTTCAAAGTTCAAGTTCAAGTATGTTTATTGAGATTAGCAATAAATACACCTCAAAGGGATAGAGTAGCTTAGGCTATTTCTACCCCCCTCATTTGAAGAGTATTGGGGATAGAATTTCAGAGGTAAATGTAGCCTCTGCCATTAGATTAATGAGAGGTGGGGGAGTTAATGAATTAATCCTATTCAATTCAATTTCTTTCTATATTATGCACCCCATACCCATCCCGTGGGCGGTGGTGTAAAGGATTACAGAGGCACATAATCGGTTCAGGATCTGAACCCTCTAGTTCGTTTAGCTAAGCAAATAACAATCATTAGAAGGAAGAGGCTGTTACTTCTCACAACGTGTCAACTGAACTTTCATCAAAGGCTGGAGTGGACGGTTCGTCTGGCTAAGGAGCGTTGTGAATATGAACCACTCTTCAAGGAGGATGCTCACCGGCCCTACATAACAAGATTAATTGATAAAGGTTAAGCCACCCAAGAGGTGGCACGGGCATGAATAGCCTGTAAGTGGTACAATTTTTTTCAGTAATTCTTTTCAGTACTCTGAGGTCGCATTTAATCGTCAAGCTGTTATCACGGGGGAGGATGCTGCTTGACAGTCTTTATGAGGGTGTCCAGCTGCTGGACACCTTTTTTGACCAGGAGAGTGGCTGTGTTGATGGCTTCAGAGTGGCTGTGGTGTGTTGATGGCTTCAGAATGGCTTCAGAGTGGTTGTGTTGATGGCTTCAGAGTGGCTGTGTTCATGGCTTCAGAATGACTTCAGAGTGGCTGTGTTGATGGCTCTGTTGATGATGTGACGACTTATATTGAATTTTGTAACTAGCTCATCAAGATTGTAACTTGCTTAGCTAAATGAATTGTGGGGTTCAGTCCCTGAGCCCATTATGTGCCTCTGTAACCCTTTCCCCCTTTCCACTACCTCCCACAAGATGGGTATGGGGTGCATAATAAATGAACTAAACTAAACAAAGATGGCTGCCAAAGCTCAGTGAGGTGCAGAGTCTGCAGCCAGCCCTACGACACAATAATATGCATCGATACACACAAGGCAAACCACCCTGTCCAGGCAAAGTGCCCAAATTGCTCCAAGGCACATCACGCCTGGAACTTGAAATGCCCTGAAAGGCTCAAAAGGCTTCAAACGAACCCCACCACGCCTACAGCAGAGCCGAAGCTACATAACAGTTGGGACAGAAGACAAAAACCCTGCGCCTGAAAGAGCCTGAAAACCCTACTGCTGCCAGCTTCCTCAGCTGTATGAATTTCTGCTTCCTCATACCCTTAATCACTTGACCTACTAGAATCACTGATAGTACCTCCGCGACTCTTGATCACATCTGGACCAACCTCTCCGCTTACTTCAGGGATAATCATCGATAGCACTACAGACCATTACCCCACATTTCTCCTAACAAACATTAACAAACCACCTCTAGAGACTTCCTCATGGAGGCCACGTCACCAAACTCCAACGACAGCACTGCTCAGCCAAAGTCGCAGGCATAGAAAAAATGGAAAACCTAGAGGTCTACACTAATCCCACCAGCTCCATAACTGGTATAGCCAACCCTTTAGGCTGAAAACCATCATGAAGATCCCCATCCATCGCCAGATCTCTAGTATCAGTCACTGATACAGACAATGGCTCCAAAGAGCCTCCACTTACGGGCTCACCATAGCCCGTGCTACTGGAACTTATTGTTCCGAGTAGCTGAATCTAAAACAACAAACAATCTTTGCAAGTCACCACCGCTCCTGTGCCAGGTAAGTCCACTACGAGCTCACCATAGCCCGTACTACTTGGAACTTGTTCCGAGTAGCTGAATCTATAACAACAACATCTTTCCAAGAATCTAATGACTCTCGTTATAGCAGGTATAGCATGTACCTCAGTCGATTAAGGCAGTGTCTGGGATGCACTCGGACGCAGGTTCGAATCCTCGTCACGGCCCTTGTGGATTTGTTCAGGTAATGAACTAAGTTTGGCAGCTTCCGCCCATTTAACTACGGGCTCACCATAGCCCGTGCTACTTGGAACTTTTTGTTCCAGGTAGCGAATCTTAAACAACAACAACGCTCATTTATTTATGAGCCCATTTGCAATTCCGTGCAGATCCTCAACAAAATTATGCTTTTTATCCCTTCAAGTTCAAGTTATCCCTTACTTTATTTACGTCTTGCCAGATTTTCTTCAAGATTCTGTTACTCCCAACTTTCTCAGCAAACTCCTGTCAATACTTGCTCCTAAATTTCTTTCTCTTCTCCCCACACAGCCTAGTAACTGCCAATAAAGCATTCTTTCCTTCCTAAGTTCTACCATTCTTATTCCAATATATTCCAACCTTTATTCTTATGTTCTTAAACTGTAAGTTGAAAACACGTTACAACTTTGATGGCCTATAACTCCCAAACGGTAAAGATATTAAACAATTACTAATGAACAAGTTTGTTCCCTATTTGAGGGTAGTAAAAAAAGTTATATGTATTTTTTCATAGGGACACTCTGGGAGGTAATACACTCAATATTAGATACTGTATTTGTTATTTATGGCGGCCATCTTGGATAAATGACGTCATAAAACCCATGAACTTGAACTTGAACCCCCAAATTTTAAGGTAAACACCCAGTACCATACCTCTGTATACCGAATACAGAAAGGGATCCCACACAATGACACATTCATTTCATAAAAAAACACGGAATATATGCTCCTCTATTATTCATCAATCAACTAACTTGATTCTACCTCTGTGCGTTCATTACTGCCCCAATATCTCCACTTTCTTTCCCACACGCACCCTACCTCTAGTAACACTATAAATTATACTAAATATATATATATAAATAATTACTTCCCTAAAATTGTAAATGTACCGGCAACTTGGGCAGTTTTCTGTTAATAAAAAAAACCCAGATATCTCTAGCACTGATTTATCACAGTAATGAAAGTTATCGATAATTTTTGATTCCTATTTGTCTTAGAGGGTAGAGTTAACCCGTAATTTATGAGGTGAGGGTAAAATATCACCACTGTAGAAGAGAGAGAGAGATAGAGAGAGATAGAGAGACAGAAGAGAGGTGCCGTCGTCTGTCAAACAGCAGAGACGCGGAGCACAGCCACCACGACCATACAAACTCTGGCCACATTTGTTCCATAAAATGCCTTTCCCTGCCCCAGTCTAGCAGGTATTACCTCTCCCTCTCTCTCTTGGTCTTGACCAATGTTTCGTTATTGTGGCCGTGAAGCACCAGTACCACACACACTGGCCATTTGCACGATTTAGGATTGTAACCCAGCCCCAATAGGATTACCCATTTTTTTTATTTCAATGTAAACAATTCAAATGGTGAATATGTATATCAACAGCAGGTGTGCAGCAGGTGTGTGTTTGGGAGGAGAGTTGTAGACGGGAGGTGCCCAGGGCACTAACTCCAACTCTACCCTCAGGCATAGACAAATTGATGCCATGACAACTGTTGTCATTCAGTTATCATATACAAGTAATACACACTTTTATGTGTATTAAGATGCAATAATTGCATGTCACTTGTACAAATGAATAGTAGGCCATTATATAGTGCAGTTGTCAGCCTACTAGATTTAGATACTGAAATAGGTTTTAATTAGTTTGTTATATCACCATAAACAGTAAAATGCCTTTCAGTTGGGCTCTGCTAAAGGGGGGGTGGGGGGGAATAGGTGGTGGGCACTGGAGCCTTGTGAGTAGTAATATTGGGGTGTATTACAAATAACAGTATTACAATTGGGTGAGTTACGGTATGAGTTTTTTACCCGAGTGGCATGTAACACAGATGTTTGTGTTACATCTGACCTTTTGAAGAAATTGTCTGGATCAACATCCTCCAAATTGTTCAGTACTTTAAGTTATCATGAGGTCATGCCTGGTTTTCAATATTGTTAGCTCTGTGGCCCTCAACCATTCCTGGTTGACTTAGTTCTGGAATTAGCTTTTGTTGCACTTTCTCAAGAGCAGCGATGTCCTTCTGAAGATGGTCTCCATGCTTGGCTACAGTAATCCAAGTGAGGGTGCACCAGAGATTTATGCAGTTAAATCACTACCTTCTTTTCCTTAAAGTCAAAGGTATGCTTGATTATCCCTAGGGTTTGGTTAGCTTTTTTTTTACTGCTGCTCCTTCCTATTGTGCAACTTTCAGTGAATGTATATTTTGACTAAGAGGTCCTTTTCTTCATCAATCTGCTGCAAGGTAATGTTATTAATTTTGTTGTTGTGATGTGGGTTATGCCCCACGTTCAGAATCTTGCGTTCAGAATCAGAATCCACGTTCTCGATATAAAAACAATTTGCCTGCCTTCTGATCATTTGTGGAGTTCATGTAGATCTCTCTGTAAGGCTTCAATATCATTTTCATTTCCCAATATATTATACATCTTAGTGGCATCTGTAGATTTGATGATGCAGTTTGTAATATTCTCAAGCCACCAGCTTCCTGACTTTGTCGAGACACACACACAGGCTGTCTGTCCCTGACAAAACAAATTAATTATTGTGTATATGCACAGGGTTCATATCCCTGACAGGAATTTACATACAAATTATATATGTAATTTACAGTACAGTGTATACTGATCTCATTGAGACCTTTAAAATACTGATCAAATTGGAAGATATTTATCCAGAAAACATCTTTGAAAGTTTCAATGTATCACAGGCAAAAGGCAATAGCTTCAACTCAGCAAGGCACACTATATGACATAAAACAGATTTTTGTTTTGTTTTTAACCACCTGGTAATAAACCCATAAAATTGCCTACCCACTGAAACCATAAATGTCAAGATGGTAATTTAAAATTCAGCTTTGCAGTCAGCTCATAACTCATTGGACCGAAGTTAAATTCTTGTTTGAACATGTTTCCTTACCCATGATAACTGTTCATCCAGCAGTAAATTGGTAGGTATCTGAGAGTTAGGCAATTGGTGTTGGTCGCAATCTAGTGATTTTCAGTCATTGGCTCTGAGGACCTTGATTAGCCAGGCAGGTTTCTTTCTCTTGCAAAGGGAACTATATAAAAAAGAAGCTTGTCTTTTTGTGGAAGTCACATTTTATAGGTCTGGCAAGTAAGTACAGTATAGGTCAATTATTGAAAAAGGTAATGTGTAAAAAATTTGTACTGTATAAGTAATTAGTCATTGGGTTTAATGAACTTCGTACATTTTTTTGTAGGAGCTAGCTGAATACACTTCTGGAGAAGCTGGTTTACTTCAGTATAATAATGGTGAGTACAAGATGGAGTGTTGGTAGGTTTCATAGTGTAATTGTACTTCACAAATAATGTATATATATATGTACTGTGGTTCATAAAATTCTGAATGGTGCAGTGAATTCCCTAGCCCAAAGATGATATACAATGGAAGATACCCAACCCACACATTTGAAAATATGGCACGTAATGATGTTTCAAGTCCGTCATGGACCTTTATCAAGTTATGTACAAAGTATTTAGTTAAATGCTCTAAAATTAACAAACATGATCTGACTTAGCTTTAACCTCTCTAGGCTCTCTGCTTTCTTTTTTGTTGTTTTCTTCTATCTATATTTTTACCTCTTTCTCTCTGCCAGTAGGCTTCTTGCAGTTTTATTGCTATTACCTGCTATAGTTTACTTCTTCCCTTTCACTTCATTTTATAGTTATATATAGATTTTTTCTATCACGTTTTCTCTGCATGACTTGATAATGATCTAGAATGGCCCAAAACAATGTCACTTCTTTTTTTCAGAGGTGTGAGTTGGATGTCTTAAATTTCAGCCACTTTATTATGACTTACAAACTGCGTACAGTGGAAGGTTTCTTCTCTAGTTAGTGTCTGGTGTCTTTTACGATGTAATTTTGGTATCAAAATATGCAGAGAGAGAGAGAGAGAGTATACAGTACCAGTTTACTTTACAGTGCTGTAATTTCAAAAGTTTGTTGAATTTAGTACTTTTTAGTTTATTAATTTTTACTTAACAAACATTTAACCTGTCCTTGCATTTATAGTTCAGTATTTTAATTTTGTATAATACAGTATCCAGTATTATTGTTTCCTTGCAGGCCACAGACCAAGAATCTCTACGCGCTTTAGAAGCATTAATGAATGAATTTTTTGGCTCGTCAACCACGAACTCCAGGAAGAGAGACATTGAGACAATTTTAGGAAACTTTGGACAGCAGCGTGGTGCTTGGAAACAATGTCTTTATTACGTGGCCCATACTCACAACTCTTATGTGTCTATGTATTGCCTCACAACCTTAGAGGTACAGTAAAGTAATTACTTCGGTTTTATTGTTAAGATTCATTTATGAGATTTTAGAAGGATTTTTGTTATAATATTTTAATCACAATAATTTTATGCTAAATTGGCAAAGGATGCCAATTTTGTAGTTAATGCCATTAAAATTGTTACCATTATATTTTAATTGTTCTCATTTCCATGTTAATAATTAAAATGATTTAATATTCTATCCTAAAAAATTTCACATTCTCCTCTGTTAGCACTGTACTTAAAATGTTATTATTAATTACATAACCTTTGGTGTGTATATGTAGTATACTGTGGGGTGAATTGAAGTATTTAATTGATCTTTATGTTGCTGTTAATATTTTCTAATACGTAGCTAATAAATTTTATTTTAGCATAACAACATTCTTATTAACTGTGATCTCCACACTGGCATCCCAGAGCTTATGCACTGGCATCCCAGGGCTAGTATAATCTCAACAGACCTCTTGGACTTTCGCATGGCTTACTGGGAGTAGGGACCAGAATCCTGCCCTTCCCTCACAGGGATGGGGGAGCTGAGGGTGTCATAAACACCACACATTAAGGATGAACTCTGCCAAAAAGACTGGCAGAAGGTGAGCTCTGTCTTGCAGGTGTTTCTGAGTTTCTCAATTTGTCCTGCTTCAGTCCTTTCTGTTTGCTCTGGCACTTCTTGAGGATGTGGACTAGTGGTGCCTCAATATTCAGTTACCTATGCTTTTTGGAGCTCCTATTGGGATGACCACATGGCACATTTGCACATGGCTGCAATCTTTCGTGCCTGGGTCCTTGTTGAGGTGCTTGCTGAGCATCTCTGTGAGGATGTGGTGTCGCTTGGGTCCACTCCAGGTGTGGAGGCCATGAGGCCTGTGGCTCTAATCCTCATTAAGGCAGCGTCTAGGATCCTCTCGGATGTACAGTAGGTTCGAACCCTTGTCATGGCCCTTGTGGATTTGTTCCTCTGACTTGACACACTTGGCTAACACACAAAAGCAATAGTAAAAACACAAATACATGTACAAACTTGTGTTAACATAAAAATAAGGGTGACACTGAAAGTATTTACACATAAACACTACAACCTGTACATGATGCAGCTGGAGGCAAGCATCGCATTGAGGCCATAATGTTGATTCCCTGAGCACCTGATAGAGACTGACTACTTGACCAAGGTCATGAGTATTTATACCCTGATGGTGATGTCACATCTTGTGTCACTGATACTTGGAGCTAGGAACCAGCAGCGAACCGTATAGATGTAACAAGAAGCCGGCGAGTCTCGAGCCATACACTTGCCCTGGGTCTCTGCTAGGTGGTTGAGCTCAATACCTGACATTACATGAGGTATGTATCATGGTGAATAATGAAGGTAAGATGGAAGAGGCAGTTTCCTTGGCTATGCTGGGGAATTATGTGACAAGATTTATTAAAGTTTAATAATATTTTAGTTTTAAGCTGATATTTTCATATTACTGTACGTACTGTTATTACAGACATGTTTTAATTTCCCAGAACATAATCAACAAGCAGTGGGTAGGACTCATGCCAGACGAAAGAACAGAGATACGCTCCACCTTGTATCGATTTGTTCTTGAAAATCATAAAGTAGCCCCTTATTACATACGAAACAAGTTGGTCAAGCTCGTCGTGGATATTGCTCGTCTTTCTTGGCCACATTTCTACCCAGATTTTTTCACTAATGTCTTGTCTGTAAGTATTATAAGCATTTCTGGAAGGAGCCCCATCAACTTCCCGGAGCTATCCAGGCTGATATGCTAATATTAGACTTTGGCATCAGTCAATGTGAATGGAGTTCTTAGGCCTTCCGGAGACCATGAGCCAAAACCTGGCCCCCCTCAGAGACCCACGAGGAGCAATGGTTTATAAAAAAAAACCATGTGGTTGGAAGCATTCTGTCTGCCATCTATCGGGTCAGGCACCCAGAAAGGTAAGCATCCCGAAACAAACCCGTATTCTGGTTAAGAAATTGCTACCGAGAACCAAACTAGTGGACATAACTCCACAAACAAAAACGAGTATGACGTCACCATATCACCGTGCCACCATCTGTGCAGCTCCCCCCTATCCGGGAGGGGAAAGGGGAGAGCCCCAGACCCCTCGTGCCGGCTACAGCTTCCACCCGGACTTGGGGGTGTTGGTCACTTTGATCTTGGTTTAGTCTGCACCCCCCTCATCCTTGCCCTGCTGTGGTTCGATCTGGTCCTTCCCCCCCTTCCCCTGCTTCCGGCTCCAAAACATCTGAGGGTTTTGGGGTCAGGGCAGGGTTTAGATAGTATTGAGACTTGGACGGTCTTGAATGATGCCCCTTCCGGGCCGGCAACGGAGGCATTCGAGTCTTGCCTCCCTGCCGAAGCGTCTGGGTCTGACCAGTGGGCCCCCCTTTCTTCCGGCTTCTATGGCTGTGCCGGCCTCTTAGAACCGGTTGTTTTAGAACCATCATCTTATGCTGAATTCTATCGCCTCGTATCGTGCAGAACTGGCAGAGCTCCTCTCCTGCGCAGCTCCCCCCTTTTCCCTCCTGGGAAAGGGGGAGCTGTGCAGACGGCGGAGCGGCAATATGCTTACGTCATGCTCGTTTTTGTTTGGGAAGTTATTTCCACTAGTTCGGCTCACACTAGCAATATCTTAACCAGAGTAGGGGGGGTTTGTTTTGGGATGCTAACCTTTCTGGGTGCCTGACGCAGTCAATGGCAGACACAGAAAGCTTCAAACCACATGAGGGCCTCTATAGGCAATTGCTCCTCGTGCCTTTTTGAGGGGGGCCAGGTTCTGGCTCGTGGTCCCTTGTAGGCTTAAGAACTCCATTCACACTGACTGATGCCAAAGTCTAATATTAGCATATCAGCCTGGATAGCTCTGGGGAGCCTTCGGGTCTCACCCAGAAAATGGCGTTTCATGACATTCAATGCTGTTTTTTTTTAATATTCTGATAAGAAGATTTGTTTGTACTGTACTATTTTTTTTTTTTTTTTTTTTAAACACGATATTAAATATATATTTTTGTGATGGGTTATGCTTTTTTTTCATATTGAAAAAATGTGCTTTGCAACAATTTCTCAATTACCCAGGACTAGACAAAATAAGTATATAATGTAGGGCTGTTATATTGTGAACTTTTATATGCAGTACTCGTTTTCAGATTTTTGTATAGTATATTATTCTTTCATTATTTTATGGTTTATGCATACATGCATAAACCATGAAATTTACCTGGACTATGTTCCAGGGTTTTTCTTCAGCCTTGCGGCCCTCTTACAGTCCAGGTGTGTTTGTATGACTTGGATTCATCAAAGTTGCTATTCGTGGCACACAAACCTACGTTCTCACTCGTCTTGGCTATCAGGTAGCTACTCTGGGGCAACTTATTTCATGGTTGAAATTGTATACCACCAGTTTTTATACATGAGCTAATTTACTGTTAAGAACATCCATCCCTAACTCTTGCAGCTCAACTTACTCTTGTATATTCACTAACAGAACCCACAACCGCTCATTGAACTTCAGCATGATATGGCCTACTAAAAGGCCGAAAAGCTGGTAAAAAACCTATATAACTTCACTAACAGAACCATATTGCAGTCCAAGGTTCTATAATTGTGTTTTAATCTTAAATTAAAAGTAACAAATGTGCATTTTCAAGAGATGTACTGATTTCATAAGTTCTGTGAAATCCACTTTGTTTCTAAGTAATTATAGTATGTGTTTGCATTGTGTTGCAAGATGCTGTTCCTAAGTGTACTGCTACTCCTATTCCATGCACTTCAGATGGTTTTGATCATAAACGTTGAAACTCGGGGAAGGTATATGACTTCAAGCTCTTCTTACAAGAAGTCTCTCCTAGGAGAGGCTCTCTGCATCTTTGATGAGAGTAATGTAACTACTCCATTTAGCAAGTGAACTTATCAATTGATAGCTTTTGATTTAATGTTTAGAATCTTTCTCAGAGATTTCAAGTTCTGTACTTTCAAGAACTACAGTCTCTTTTGAAGGAGTACCTGCATCATTTATAAAAGAATTGTACATATTAGTTTGGCTGTAGTAAAGATAAAGAAAATTGAACTTGTTTGCTCCAGGTAGCAAAGTGAGGAAAGAATGAGGACCACCCTCTGTTAAGACATACTGTACAAGGAAAAGGTAGGGTAAACATGTTATGATTAAGTGGCCCTCAATCAGTATTAGAAATGTGTTTCTAGGAAAGCTTTTGAAGAGCAAAATTAACTTACAGTAATATGGGATGAATAGTGATGCATTCCAGGAACCTTCAAACATCCACATTTTCCCATTTGTCTCCCAGTAAAAAAATTTGCCTGAACATTATTACAGAATAATTTCACTGACCATTTTCAGAAGCTTTCTAAGCCTGCAGCAGTGAATAGTGAATAATGGAGTATATTACTGTACTATAAAAAAAATATGGTTTTGAAAATTTTGTTTTCAAAATATTTAGCTAGGTGTAGCTGGTGGGCAGTGCAAAAAATCGTGATGGTGGTCACAATGTGACCCCTGACATGCTATTCCCTCTTGAATTCTGGCGAACCCCAACCACCTTATCTGTCCCACACCCTAGACTATTTCTGTCTCACGCCTCAAGCATGTGTTTCCTGCATGCTTGAGTGTAGAGAAACTTATACCATTCTTACCTGAGGGGGGAGGGGGGGGGAAGTTTGAGCGTCTTAATGCATGCTTGTTCGCCCCTACTGCTTTCTCAAGATGTTGGCCTTGTGCAGCTGCATGTGCAAGTTCCTACCCTTTCGGCGTCCTTGGTTGCTGAGGATTTGCTCGCCCGTGAGCATTTGGCTTCGGTCTTTTGCTTCTTTTTCCTTCTCGAGCTATCTTCAGCCTGGCTTGAGAAGGATGTGGGGGCGTTGAGTGCCGGGCCTTCATCTTGGGTGCTGTCCTCGGTGGCTTGGGCGTCGGCCACGCTGTTGAAGCTGTTTGCCCCTATTCTGAAGGAGGCAGTGTCTCTGTTCTTGGCTTCTCGCTTCGCATGCCGTCAGGCTGTGCTCGCTCTCTCTTTGGAATTTGCATGGGCCCTAGCTCTGAGGTTTTTGTCACCATTTTGTCTATTGCTATTTGCGGAGTCTGCTGTCACGTAGTTTCTGCAGGTGGCTTCGTCTAGTTGTCGGACTTATTGGTTTTCCGGGGCGGCCATTCTTGGTCTTCTCGGAAGAGTCGTACCAGGGCTCGGGGTTCTACTAGTCGAAGTGGGCCATTGGGGCCAGCTTCTGAACCGACGTTGTCTTCGGAGCCGGTGTTGTGTGGTCGGCGCGATGATCGCTCTGTTTGTTGCCCGGCTTCTCATAAGGGGTGTTGGCACTTTTGTGGTTTGCCCCATTGGCGGGGCGATGGGGGGGGAGGCTCGCTATGTTTTCTCGTGCTTAGTCCCACGATTTGTGGGCGTTTTCGATCGTTCCATTCAGCCTGTGTTGGCATTAAGCAGCTCCTCCCTCTTTGGGGGCTTGGGGCTGGTGGGGCAGGCTTCTTTCCCCTGCACTTTGTCAGGAAGCGCAGGGAAAGTGCACACTCTCGGAGTGGGTGCACTGGAGTGTGATTGACACGACCCCGTCCCTCAGATGGGTTTCCCGCCCGTTTCCAGTGCCGAAATGGGACTATGCAGATCTGAGGATCATTCTGGACTTGTCCCGTCTGAACCCCCTGGATTTCTTGCCCCTCCTTTTGGATGACCACTCTATCTTGGGTCTAGCTTCTTTTAGAGCCATGTGCTTGGATGATGTCCCTGGACCTCAGGGATGGGTATTGGTACATTGCTATTGATCTGGGGTTTAGGGACTAGTTAGGTTTCGCGGTGATACCGTAAACCCCTAACTACAGGGGGGGTTTCCAGGGCCATTGTTCCCTGCACCTCTCTGAGGGGGGCCAGGTTCTGGCTTGTGGTCCCCAGTAGACTGAACTCCATAATGCCCTGGTCTAATGTATCACATATTTGGTTATTATTGGGATCATCTCAAAGCTCTCCAAATGTACTCACTAGAAAGAGATATCAAATAATATACACATGGAAAATACTGGAGGGCCAGGTCCCACATCTACACAGTAAAATAACAACATACTGGAGTAAATGATATGGAAGAAAATGCAGGATAGAACCAGTGAAGAGCAGGGGTGCTATAGGCACAATCTGAGAACACTGTATAAACATCAGAGGTCCATGGTTGTTCAACATTCTCCCTGCGAGTATAAGAAATATTGCTAGAACAACCGTGGACATCTTTAAGAGAAAACTAGATCATTTTCTCCAAGGAGTGCCAGACCAACCAGGTTGTGGTGGATATGTGGGCCTGCGGGCCGTTCCAAGCAACAGCCTAGTGAACCAAGCTTTCACAATTCAAGGCTGGGCTTAGGGAGTAGAACTCCCAGAACCCCACCAAGCAGGTATATTAGTCTGATAGATTCAGGGAGCCTCTGGGGCTCACCCAGAAAATGGCATTTTATTACATTCAACGCTGTTCTTTTGACTAACAGTATGCTATGTTAAATTTCATCAATATGATGATATTTATATGTCATCTCTTAGTAAATAAAGACAGTGTGCTGCTAAAACAGTTGCTCAAAATCTTTGTCGATGTAAATGTCTTTTTAACACTTTTGTCTGGTGATCACGCATAGTTCATCCAATTTTTTTCTCATGGATGTAAGCCAATCACTTTAAATTGCTCACAATTTGATTCCATAATGAGCGACATAGCGCGACAATTGAGGTCAGAACACTGAAAAGATTATGAATACTTTTGTGGCGATGAGCATCAAAAATTAAAATATTTGTTAAAATTCTATTTATTGTTCGATTATTATGGGACTAGTTTTCAAATACGCGCCTTTAGATTGCGAACAATTTGATACCAAAATGAATGAATGTCATTATTAGTTAATTAATATTGTCAGAACGAAATTAACGAAATTAATATCAGAACACAGGAATATTGTAAATACTTGTTGCGATGAGCGTCCAAAAATGTAAATATTTGTTAAAATTCCATTTCTTGATCGATTATTATGGGACTATTTTTAAAAGGCACACCTTTAAAGTGTGAACAATTTGATACCACAATGAACGACATGACTCTGAAATTGAGGTCAGAACATGGGAAAGAGTACATGTGTTAGTATAGGTGGCTGCTGCACGGACAGCTCGTGGGAACTACCGGGCGCAACTAGGGGTGGGTTGGGGGTGCATGCGCCAAGAGCGGGAAAGTGTTAAGTGCATAATATTTTTGTGCTCTAGTAACTTGGAAGTCGGTAGGACGAAAATTGTTTCATCTGTTTCTCTGACACGACTAATATGGCTATATTGGAGGGCAATATTTTTCGTATTGATCTCTCTTAATATATGTAAGGAAAACTTTAGTTAGATATTCTAATACACATGTTTATGCTCCTTAGCTTAGGTGAGTTTGATACTTTGTGTAAAATTTCTGTTTTTGGCATGTGATTACCTATTGCATATCCTCACTGAGAATATCTATTAGTTGACTTTCAGTATAACCTTATTCCTTTTCTTGAATATATTTGGTTTTATATTTCTTGCCTAAAATACAGCACTTCTACCATATAACACATTTTCAGTAAAATTATCCTGCTTGGTTTGCTTAATTGCATTGTTAAAAATCCCTGTTGCCTTTGATTTATTTAATATATAATACTATTGACTATGCCTGTTGCATTACAAAATTTTAACAAATCTATGATACAATAGTTAAAACTATGCATCATTCTATGGGCTTACATATGGTCTTAGAAATTTATTTTCAAGATTTCTGGCTACTGTGTGTTGTAATTTCTTATTATTTTGCATACCAATTGCTCTACATAATTTTTTGTGGAGAGCCCCTTCGGCTTCCCAGAGCTATACCGAGCTATAATCGATGGAGTTGTAGCCTACCAGGGACCACGAGCCAAGACCTTACCCCCCTCAGAGAGGCATGAGGAGCAATGGCCTATAGACACCCTCATGTAGTTGGAAGCAATCTATGTCTGCCATCTACCAGGTCAGGTACCCAGAAAGATAGGAATCCCAAAACAAACTACAGATGATTAGAAATTGCAAACTGAAAGCCGAACGAACAGGTAGAACTCCCAATCAGAAAACAAGCAAACAAGCATGATGTCACCACAGCCGCCGTGCCGCTGTGCCGCTGTCTGTGCTACTCCCCCCTCCCCAGAAGGGGGAAGGGGGAACCCCAGATCTCTTGCGCCTGCCACCCAACCCCAGTTCTGAGGCTGTTGTGTTGAGCGGTGGTCGATTGACTCGGACTCCAGCCTTTGAGCAGTGTTGTGCCTTATGGTGGTCCTCTGCTGTATGGTGGTGTGCGAACCAGGTGTACTTCAAGAATTACTGAGGCTGCATGCACCTAGGGTTGCCCTGTAAGTACTGCCCTTGCAGTTTGAGTTACCTTCCACAAACTGTTTGGGAACTGCCTCCACAGCTCGCCCTTATGGTCTGCTGGGGTTTTTTCCTACCACTGTTTGGTCTTGGGTAGGAAGTAGTAACATCGGTGGCTGGGGCACAAGGTACTATGCAGCTGTTTTATAATACGCATAGTGGCCGGTTCTGTTCCTCCTGGAGTTCCTCCTTGTGCTTTTACGGGGTGTTTTTTTTTTTTTTTATTTTGCTTGGTGTGGTCATCTTGAAGGGCATCACAACTAAGTTTTTTATCGTTCCTATTATCTTAGCATCATCAGCAAACATGTTCATATAATTCTGTATACCAACTGGTAGATCATTTATGTAGACAATAAACATCACTGGTGCAAGAACTGAACCCTGTGGTACTCCACTTGTGACATTTCTCCAGTCCGATACATTGCCTCTGATCACTGCCCTCATTTTTCTATCAGTTAGAAAATTTTTCATCCATGTTAGAAGCTTACCTGTCACCCCTCCAATATTTTCCAGTTTCCAGAACAACCTCTTATGTGGAACTCTGTCGAAAGCCTTTTTTTTTGGTCCAGATAGATGCAGTCAACCCAACCATCTCTTTCCTGTAATATCTCTGTTGCTCAATCATAGAAACTAAGTAAATTCGATACACAGGATCTTCCAGATCGAAAACCATACTGTCTGTCTGATATTATATCATTTCTCTCCAGGTGTTCTACCCATTTAGTTTTAATTTTTTTCCTACATTTTGACTATTACACTTGTCAATGATACCGGTCTATAATTAAGGGGGTCTATAATTATATATATATACTGTATATATATATGTATATGTATACATATATACATTGGGTCGCATGTTGCAGTCATTAGTCTCGACTTCGAGTTGAGGAGCAAGTGGCGGCCGCCTCCCGGATAAGTCCTCTTTTACTTTATCTTTGGTTAGGTAGCTCCGGGGAGCCGAAGGGGCTTTCCACAGAAAACCAGCATTGAATGTAATGAAACTCCATTTTCTGGGTGAGACCCAGAGGCTCCCCGGCATCTCTTCCTCCTTTTGGTCGACGGTTTTTTGAGTTTTTGATATTCAGCTCCTGAATTGGGGTTGGGTTGCAGGTGTGGGAGGTCTGTGGCTCACTCTTCCCAGAAAGGGGGAAGGTGCGCTGACAGCGGTGCGGCAGCTGTGGTGACGTCATGCTTGTTTGCTTGTTTTCTGATTGGGGAGTTCTGCTTGCTCGTTGCGCTTTTGGTTTGCAATTTCTAACCAGCTGTAGTTTGTTTTGGGGTTCCTCCCTTTCTGGGTGCCCAACCTGGTAGATTGGTAGATGACAGACATAGACTGCTTCCATCTACATGGGGGTATCTATAGGTCATTGCTTCTCGTGCCTCTTTGAGGGAGGCCAGGTTCTGACTTGGGTCCCCAGTAGGCTAGAACTCCATTGATTGACTGTTGCTACGGTCATACTATATACTGTATACACATCAATCCAGGGAGACTCCAGGGAAACTCTGGGTCTTACCCAGAAAATGGCATTTCATTACATTCAATGCTGGTTTTTTGAAGTAATGAATTTGGTATTGCCTCCTGGTTTTATTGAGATATTGATGCAAGCAAAATGCCTTTGAATTTCATTAAATAATTTACCATTTCAATTAATGATATACAGTATACAAATTTTGACTTAAAGTTGTGGTATGATGAGAAAATAGCTAATAGTTTCATATTATTGCAGTTATCTAGAAGTCGTGACACAGTGGTGCTATGCATTGTGTTTCTTCAAACAATTAGTGAGGAGTTAGCGTGTCCTCGTGAGGAACTGTCTTATTCCCGGCGCACAGAGCTGCGGCGCTTGTTGTCCCAGCAAGTCCCAACAATGCTTACTCTTCTTTCTGGTTAGTAGTGTTCTACCTGCTGTAATATACTTGAAGATTTTATTACATTCTCAGTACGTTATTCAGAAATAGCAATGCGGGGGCTGTATATAAATACAGTACGTATATTTCATCATGGTGGCCAATTAAAATTTATATACTGTAATGTGTTTAAAATTAGATGGGAAAGTAGACACCCTTGGGCATTATCTTATAGCTATAAGGGTACTGCATATTGTTACCCCAGTTTAAACGTAATATAAAATTACGGCTTATTTTATTAATGTCACAGAGTCCATTGCCCACCCAGGACCACGAGCCAGAACCTGTCCCACTCAGAGAGGGGCAGGGAGCAATGGCTTAAAAGCACTTTACATATAAAGTATGTCATAATTGCCATCAACCTGGTAGGGCAAACAGAAAGATAGGCAAATCGAAACAAACCCTTGTGTGGTTACACTATGCAATTGGTGTCCAAAAATGAGCATAATATTTCCCCCTAGAAGGAAAACAAACAAGAAATACTTCATGTAACTAGGCCCCTTCCCCCTCCCCCCACACACATACTGGTTAGTACTAAAACCCCCTCCCAAGGTGGGAGGGGGAGCCAGCAGCCCACCACCTCAGTTCTTGAACTGATGTGTTGGCATTTGAAGGTCATCTCCAGCCTCAAATTAATGTTCTGGATTTTTGCCCTGTGCGGCTGTTCACACAGGGTATACTCTTTTCAACTTTGTTACCTCAATTCTGGTCCTAGGTTTTTCATTTTGGTATCAATGTGTTCGCAATGAAATTCCCTACAGGAGTATTGTGAGATTTTTTTCTATGCCTACCTCCCTTAGGAGGTGGACCTCAAGCATAAAGAACTGCACACTGCAGATATGTCTACTCTAAGCATGAGACCAATAGAAAAAGGAAAAGCGGGAGCAAACCGCCAGGCTTCCACCACAAGGGTGAAAACCTGTCCACTTGGACCGCTGGTTCCTCCTAGTTAAAAAGGACGTTAAAACCAATAAAGGGTAACCGACGGGTTCTCACAATCAACTATTTGTATTTAATGTGGTGCTATGAATTGGAATTCAAATTTCCCAAGAACACCCGTCATTAAAAAAAAATCACATTGCACCAATCGCATAAAGCAGAACATGGGTGGAAAAGAATGGATGAAGGGTTAACATTAAAGACCGTTCTCTATAACAAAACAATTTATTTACAAGAGACTAAACTACTGCAACATCGAGTTTACGTTATGTTAATGTCCATCAAGTGGCACTATAACAACAGCTAAATAGCAACGACTCCGATCCATTGCTGTGCGGCTGCATACTGAATTAACCTGAACAAAGGTGTGCCCACTGACGACGCAATATTGCAAGCAAATAATTCACAAGCCTAGTTTACATAACAGTGAGTGATTCGTTATTTTAATGTCTAGCTAGTGGCACTTGCAACACAGCTATTCAACAGGCCCTCAAGAAATGACAGCAGTCTCCATCTTGCTGACACTTCAGGCTGACTATATGAATTAACTGAACAATGATGCCCACTGATGACGCAAGCTTGCAATCAATATTGTCACGGCTTCACGGTGAACAGATACTATAATCACAATCTTACGGGTCCTCCAACTCTCCAGGCGAGATACGCACATAACTAGGTGGGTAGTCCAACACTGTCTTCCCCTATCTCAACCTAATGTGAACACTCTTTGCAACTCCCTGCAAGAAGTTGCAACTGTAAACAGTAAACAAAGCCCGGCAAGGTGGGATTCTGAGACACTTCGCCAGTAATCCCCAAGTTACTTTACTCGTCTCCAGACGATAAACATTGCTGGCTCCTCGTTACTTTTTGACTCATAATAGCAACTTAGTGGTTAGTTATGGTGAACAAAACATGCAGATACTTGTATATAACCTGTGTATATAGTGTAATAACTGACAAAGTATTTGTTCACTGTTTGATGAACATAATTGAATCAACAATATCCACACCATATTTTTGAGTACAGTGATGATTCACTCATTTTGTTATATAAATATATCACACTACACACTATTGAATAATATTACAGCAAAAAACTACGAAAAATCAATCAGACATTGAAATAATTAGGTAATTATCTCTTTGTGGCAACTCCGGCCTGACAGCTGGTGAGCAACAAACCGTCTGAGACGCATGCTGAGTCAACGCCTGTTTTTTGCCAGACTTCCCCACCCTATAGCGGGCAATATATGCCACTTACAATTTTTTTTATTATTTTTCCCATGATCAGTGAACACAAATTAACAGGTTTAGAAGATTTTTTTTTTTTTTTTTTTTTTTTTTTTTTTTTTTATGCGCCTGTGGGTGACACGCTAAATAGCCATGTGCCATACAAGGGTTAACACAAGTCAACTTGTTAACAATAACTCAAAGTTTCTTAAATTACATCACACTTTACTCTTTTCAAGTACACTACAGAGCACCACTTGGTTTCTGAACCCCTTGGGGACCCGTCGGTTAACATGTAAGTTCATATACGAGAAATGGAGGAAAAAAAAATATAAAAATGTATGAAAAACTCTAGGGGAAAAAAGTCGACAGGTTCATAGCATAAATGCGACCATATTATGTTTGTAGAGTACTGATGGTTTTGGCCTTGATCACCACCTCACATGTTCCAACCATCTACTGCTATATTTGCAAAAGGGAACTTTCTAATGTTATTTTGGCAGTGTTGTTAGCTTAAATCTATGACTTCTTGTTCTTGAACTTTGTGACCTCCAGTGCTTACTTCATGATGGAAATTCTAGTTAATGTTGCCGTATATTTTATATGAGCACTGTGATCCATGGTGTAATTAACCATGTGTAATTTTTTTCCCTATTTAATAATGTTGCTTGCATTTACAGGTTTATTGGAGGGTGTAGTTGAGAAGCACAAAAATGCTGTAACTGCCACTCCTCCACCGTCCCCAACACACACTCACGGCCACTCCCCAACTCGATCTGGCCTCTCATCCTCTCCAATACAAACAGGTGAAGAAGTGCTTCTATGTCAGGAGTTAATACAGTGTCTGTACAGTATATTATTAATGGAAGATATGGTTCAATCATTATGCTGCCACTTCATAAATGTTTTTACTAGTGGGTTAGTTGGAATTTTAGTACAGTAAAGTATTCTTTTCTCGGGAAGTCCCAGTGCCTCCTTGAAGCTATCTCCATGAGGTAACTGCAGATGTTGAAGCATTTGGGACAACATGTGTTGAGTCAGGTGCAGGTGGTGCAATGCAAGGTTTCTTGGAAGCATTTGCAAAAGACTTTAATTAATTGCTAATAACTCGTGCGAGGTTTGTACTACTGCCACACAGCATTATCAACACTCTCCCCTTTTGCTTTACTTACTACCTTTCTATTATGTATTGACTCATCCTTTTCACTTCTAGAGAAATAGTAAAAAAATCATAGGGTTACCTTTAAGAGAATAAAAAAAACAGCGTTGAATGTAATGAAACGCTATTTTCTGGGTTAGCCCCGGAGGCTCCCTGGAACTTATCGGGCTAATGTGTTATATTAGACCGGGACATTAGCTATGGAGTTCAGACCTACCAGGGACCAGCGTCAGAACCTGGCCCCTTCAGAGAGGTTTTAGGGAGCAATGGCCCTGGAAAACCCCCTTGTGGTTGGGGTTTTTTCTTATCTGCCATTGACCGGGGTTAGGCAACCAGAAAGGTAGGCATAACAAAACAAACCCCACATGGTAAGAAACTAAAACAAAAAAAACGAACAGAGAGGTAGAAACTACCTACAATCCCAAGGAAACAAGTAAACATCACACTTTACTGCTGCGCCGATTGCCCACAAAGCCCTCCCTGTCCCGAGAGGGAAAGTGGGGGGCCCGAACCTCACCGCGCTGGCTGCCTAGCACCAGTTCGTAAGCTAATGTCAATTGGGACAGACACTTCTCTGGCCTCGGTTTCCTAGGCGGTATTTGCTTTCGTGGCATTCACTGCTGTGTGTTGTGTTGTGCAGTGGCCAGGTATTTCTCATCAGTACCAGGGCTGCATGTGCTTAGGGGCTTCCTTCCCTAAGCACCTTGTGAGTACTGCCCCTCCGTGACAGGGCTATCTTCCCTGGGGCGTTCGGTAACCATTCCCGTAGAGGTTCTTGCTGCTCGGCATTCGCCCTTGGGGCCAGCTGGGGCTTGGGGGGGGCCTTTGTTTGGCCTTGGGTAGGGACTGGTTTTGTGCTGGTTAGGGCGTCAAGGTGTCAAGGTGTTGCACGACCTGCCACCTATGCAGCGACCAGTTCCTGTTGCCTCTGGGGACGGTGTACTTTGCTGGGATTTTCTATTTTGGATAATTTTAAGATGCTAGAACTACTGTACTACAGTTAACTGTGAATGATCATATGGATGCTAAAGAGAAAAATGATCACTATATATTTGTATGGTCTTGTATTGTTGAGTATTAAGTGATTTTTGTTTGTTCTTCTTCAGGTACATTGCTGAGCAACATGTTTCACAACCTGGAGAGTGGCACTAGTACGCGTACAGGTTGGGTGCTTCCTCCCTTGGACGTGGAGAGCGAGACTGTAGCATCACTGTCACTCAACTGTCTGACACACCTCTTCTCGTGGATTCCTCTCTCCTCCCTCATAACTCCACATCTGCTCAATACTATTTTTCTTTTTGCCTCTTTAGGAGCTGATCCACAGGTGATTGCCCCATTTATTGTTTTTATTTAGCTGATTATGTTCATTTATTTACATTCATAATCACTGGATGACTGCATACATCATTTGACATATAAAGGGGTGTTCTGAGGTCAATGTGACCAATATAGCAATAGATGTGTTTCATTACATTTATGTATAAGATCTAGTTTCTCATTGCAAATGTTTATACTGTACCTGTAATTACCCAGCTTTGACATTTCTGACTATTGTTACCCAATAAATGATAAATCTTGTTACAGTATCCATAAAATTAATTAGAAGGATTTTGGTGCAAGTGGCATTATTACTCGTGGAAAAAATATTTGATATGCAGTATACATTTGATAGTTTTTTTAACTGTAGAATATTTAAAAATATCTTTGAATCTGATAGCAAAAACCTTATAGAAGCACTTCTATAAAATTTCAAAACTTTCTTTAACCAAGCATGCATTTAATTATGAATTTCTGCATATCCAAGGAAATATATGGAATTTACTTTAAATGTATTTCTGTGGGAGCCTTTTGTTGGGTCCCTGTACCCATATCATTAAGATTGGTCCATACCACCAAGTCGCATCAGTCATATTAGTTCTCTTTGGCCTAAAAGAGACTAGAACCAGAACCTGGGTCTCCCCTCACAGAGGTGCAGAGAGCAAATGACATTCCACCATTTAATTGAGAAAGCATCCGGAATGTCAGTGAAGCTTTACAGACAAGTGCTGAGTTCACAAGAACTAAAGCCTCGAAAATGCCAAACAACTTCCCAAAACGATTGAAACGAAACAAGATACTGTAATTCACTCAAAATTTGCTTGAATTCATTTTTACTGATTGTGTCTACCAGGCAGCTTAGGGCTCAGTCCTCTGCCAACTTGCTGGCTAGATCTGTTGCTAATGTGTTACCCTGTGTATCACAGTAGTACTCTTGTTATCATCTTCGTGGCATGTCCCAGTGCTTCTAAGCTAAGTGCCGGCCATCTTAGGACTTGTCCAGTAGGGTTAATTTGCCTGTCTATCATTCCAGTATAGTTTTAGCTTTGCAGGCATGCTTTCTATCTGGTGTTATTTTTGTACTTAGCTTTTTGTGCTCTGAACTGTATGCACCCTGGATGTTTGATTAGCGCGACCCTTGAACTGACAAGAGTAACTTTTCTAGTGTGTTCGGGAGTTTGCCCTTTCAAGGCTTGGCCATCAGAGTGGAGTACCTTTCCTTGGGTATTTCATGGAGTTTTCCTTCTTATTTATTTACAGGGAAGTATTTTGGGTATTTCCTTCTTATTTATGTGCAAGAAGGTATTTTGGCTTGTGAGAGCACTGAACATTGTTTTTTGAGCATTACATTCTTGCAAATACCTGTCAATGATACTGGTCTGTAGTTAGTTTCCTTTCTATCCCCTTTTTCTGGGGAGCGCCTCTTTGGCTCCCCGGAGTGATCCATGCTGATATGGATATATTAGACTTTGGCATCAGTCAGTGTGAATGGAGTTCTTAGGCCTACTGGGGACCACAAGTCAAAACCTGGCACCCCTCAGAGAAGTATGAGGAGCAATGGCCTATATAATTGCACATGTGATTTGGAGCATTGTATGTCTGCCATCGGGTTAGGTTACCAGAAAGGTAAACACCTCAAAACAAGCCCCTATTTTGGTTAAGGTGTGTGTGTGTGTGTGTGTAATTACCTAAGTGTAGTTACAGGATGAGAGCTACGCTCGTGGTGTCCCGTCTCCCCAGCACACTTTTGTCATATAATGCTTTGAAATTACTGACGGTTTTGGCCTCCACCACCTTCTCACTTAACTTGTTCCAACTGTCTACCACTCTATTTACAAAAGTGAATTTTCGTATATTTCTCCTGCAGCTTTGTTTCGTTAGTTTAAATCTATGACCTCTTGTTCTTGAAGTTCCCGGTCTCAGGAATTCTTTCCTATCAATTTTATTGATTCCTGTTACTATTTTGAACGTAGTGATCATATCGCCTCTTTTTTCTTCTATCTTCTAGTTTTTGCATATTTAATGCCTCTAACCTCTCCTCGTAGCTCTTATCCTTCATTTCTGGGAGCCACTTAGTGGCATGTCGTTGCACCTTTTCCAGTTTGTTGATGTGCTTCTTAAGATATGGGATTAAGATATAATCTTCTTAAGATATAACCGCTGCATATTCCAGCTTTGGTCTAATAAAAGTTGTGAACAATTTCTTTAGTATTTCTCCATCCATGTATTTAAAAGCAATTCTGAGGTTAGAAAGTGTAGCATAGGCTCCTCGCACAATGTTCTTAATGCGGTCCTCAGGTGACAGTTTTCTGGCTAAGCTCCAGGTAGCCTTCGGGTCTCGCCCAGAAAATGGCGTTTCATTACATTCAACGCTGTTTTTTTTTTATGCATATGTGTCATTATTGCATGAATAAGTTTATTAATCAGGCTTTAATTATTTGTATTAGATGAAGTCAAAGATTTAAAATCTTGTGTAATGTTTAACTTATTCATATATCTTACATATTTATTTTCTTAACTAGCCCAACAAGCTACACAATGGCTCTTCAGACAAGAATATAGTGGCTGGGGAGTCTCTTGGCGTCCTTGCCATGGGGTCCATCAATGAGATCATGAGCAAGAATTGTGTACCACATGATTTTGAAGAATTCCTTTTGCAGATGTTCAGAAATACATTCCATCTATTACAAAGATTAGTGAGAGATGAGCCAAATACAACATCACGACTTCAGTTGTTGGATCCAAGGTTAGTGGGTCTTCCTGTGATTGTGTTAGTTATTATAATGGTTCAAGGGTAACCCAGTTTACTATGTGAGAGATGCATCTTGAGTCAGGCAAAGGAAGACTAACATGTTCCTGGTGTATTGTGTTCAGGTTGGTGTGTCACTAAAGCTTCCAGATAATCTAGCCATATTATGAGAATTTATCACACATAAACAAACAAGGCTTATTTTCTAACTAGGTTGTTTGGATTACTTTAAAAATTATGTATTTATTTATACTGTATATGTATTATTTCAAAAGCTGCACTGCATCATGTGAATAAATCTTGAATATTTAGTCACTTATATGACATCCAATGTTAACCTTTGCTAATTCTTTTGAGATACATAAACTGCATTTTACATCCTAAGTTGTCACAATTATTGATATATTTTCCCCTTCCAGTTATCTAGATAAATTTACAGAGTTTCTGAGGCTGTTTGTAAGTGTTCACCTAAGAAGATTTGAAAACAATTCTCAGTTCCCTGTCCTTGAGTTCCTTGGACTTCTTTTTCGTTACACCTTCCACCAGCACTGTGTTGATGCATATTTCAACTGTCTCGATGTATGGAGCATCTTTTTAGATCACCTGCTCTCCAAAGTTCAAGGATCTCAAGATTACACTGGAGTAGGAAGGTGAGGGCACTGTGAGACAATTTTCTTTCATTGATGCTGTTGTATGTAAACATATTTTGTGATTTTCTAGCATTGGCTTCAGTGTTTTTCCCTGAAAACCTTCATGTGCTGCCTTTTCTCAGAGATAAGTATTTTTGCTGCAAATCTTTATGGAATTTTATATACTTCATGACATTTATTTTTCATGTGCCAATGGTTGTTTAAGAATAATGTTTTTTTTTTTTTTTTTTTTTTTATTATAATTTTCTACCACAGACATGGCCACACATTTACAATGCTAACCAGCATATAAACATTTTCTTTTGTCCTCCATGGACAGGGTTAGAGATGTGTTAAACATATAGTTCAAGGGTTTATTGAACAATCAGCCACAGAAGGTGATTCGGTGCTTTTAAAATGCTAAGCTAACCTACATACGTAAATACATAGATACTACACAGATTTATGTATGCCCTACATAAAGTGTTCGATGTGTCTTTTACATAGTGTCATTAATGTACATTTACAAAGGTGAAATGTAATTCTGATCAGCTTCCATATATACTTTATATCCATACATATACATACACACACATACATACATATATACACACACATGCATTCACATACATTTATCTCATTTACTCTGACAGGGTGAGATAGCTGATAAAGAAACTAGTGTGCAATTAAGCACTTAATCACTGAAGGTGATTAAGGTGCTTTTACAAGCTCAGGTTATATAGTTACATCATATACATGCATTGTATAATTGATATATTACATGGTCAATCTTGGATACAAGTCCAATATATCATCAAGAATAATGTGGTAACAGTGACTTTATTTATTTATTAAATGGTAATAACAGCCTCTGCGCAAATTAATAATCAAAATGTTTTTTTCCTTATATTGCTGCCATATTTAGCATACAGTATTTTAAATGTTAAATTTATTTGTGATAAAATCTTGACAGGTATGAGGATGCCCTGATATCCCTGGCTCGAGGTATTCTCCACAAGATACAACTAAGACATAATCAGGTCAGTTTTACAAAGTTATAAAAGTGATAAGTAAATGCTGATGATAATAATAATAATGATTACTATGACAAGCATTTAAAGTGAGTATACTATGTATGTACCCACATTACCCTGTGACAGAATACTCTTTTTTTTCTGTGGAGAGCCCTTTGACTTCCCAGAGCTATACTGGGCTGATGTGTGTATGTTAGACTGTGGCAACAGTCAATCGTAGGAGTTCTAGGCTTACTGATGACCAGAGCCAGAACATGCCCCCCCTCAAGAGAGGCACGAGGAACAACTGCCTAAAGTCACCCCCCGTGTAATTGCAAGAAGTCTTTGTCTGCCATCTACCAGGTCAGGCACCCAGAAAGGTAGAAATTTCAAAACTACTGCTGGTCAAAAATTGCAAACCGAAAGCCAAACTAGTAAGAAGCACTCCCCAATCAAAAACAGGAAAAATAGCATGACATCACCACAACCGCCTCGCATCCGTCTGCGCAACCCCCCCTCCCTGGGAGGGGGATGGTGCTAGGCTTCTCTCCTCAGTTCAAGAGGCTGTTGTGTCGGTGGAGTTCGATCGACTCTGGCTCCATCCTTTGAGCAGTGCTGCTTAGTGGTGATGGTGTTCAGTGTTGGTGGTGTTTGAACCAGGAGTAACACAAGAGTATTTGGGCTGCATGCACGTTGGGCCACCTTCCCTAGGTGCCCTGTAAGTACTGCCCCTGTGGCCTAGGGTTATCTTCCCTGAGCCGTTCGAGGAACAACCTCTACGTGGTTCTGTTGCTGCTCGTTGATTGCCTGCCCTTGGGGTTCAGCTGGGGTGGTTCTTACTCCTGTTTGGCCTTGGGTAGGAGGTAGTTTTGTCGCTGGTTGGAGCGTGAGGGACTGTGCTGCTGTCTGATATACACATAGTGACCGGTTGTGTTCACCTGAAGATGTTGTGCTGTTGCCAGATTTTTCTTTTGTTTCTGTTTTGTTTTGCTTGGGGGGAGGGGGTGTCTGCCTAGTGTGGCGGTAGGACCACTTGTATGATTTTGTTGGCCCTCCACTAGGTCCCCGTGCTTGCACACGTCGCAGGGGTTCAGGCGTTAGTTTGTTTGCTTGGTAGCTCTGGGATAACTGGTTAGCAGTACCTCACTTGGGCTTCCCTTAGCAGTCAGCCTAAGGGCACTGGAAATCCCCATTGGGGCTCAGTGGTCCAATGTAGGAGACCTCTGAGTCCCACCTCGCCTTGTGCGCCTTGGGTAGTTAGCTCCGGGGAGCCGTAGGGGCTCCCCCCAGAAAACCAGCGTTGAATGTAATGAAACGCCATTTTCTGGGTGAGTCCCGGAGGCTCTTCGGATTCCCTCCCTCCCTCTGGTCGGCGGTTTTTCGCGTGTTTTGATATCCAGCCTCAGAACTGGGGTGTGGATCGCCGGCGTGGTAGGTCTGGGGCTACCCCTTCCCCCTCCCGGGGAGGGGGGAGCTGCGCAGACAGCGGCGCGATGATGAGTGACATCATACTAGTTTGCTTGTTTTTGTTTCACCAGAATAGGGGTTTGTTTTGGAACGCCTACCTTTCTGGGTGCCTAACCCGGTCGATGGCAGACATAGAATGCTTCCAATCACACGGGGGTTTCTATAGGCCATTGCTCCCCTTGCCTCTCTGAGGGGGCCAGGTTCTGGCTCATGGTCCCCGGTAGGCCCATAAGAACTCCGTACACATGACTGATGCCAAAGTCTGACATTAGCATATCAGCCTGGTGAGCTCTGGGGAGCCTCCGGGAATCAACCAGAAAATGGCGTTTCATTACATTCAACGCTGTTTTTTTTTTTTTATAAAGTTACTTAAGTTACCCCATTGGATGCCATCAGTTTTGAGGTATTGGAATACTGTGTGTGTATTGTGCAGTATATTGAAGCTCCCCCTTTTAAATGTAATTGCTGTAATGTAATTTTAAGATATAGTTATTATATTTTGAGAGAAAGTGTTTCTCAGTAGACTGGATTCAAGCTAAAGATTTCTTCAGGCAGAACTTGAGGAGCTGGATCATGAAATCTGTGAGGAAATATTGGAGAATAATATACATCACTATGGGGAATTAGGAACAAGTGAAGAAGTGTCAGAGTGGCATTCCTTCTTCACCAGAAACTTGGAACTTTTAGCCAAAATTGCCGACCTTCTACCAGATCAGATCTTTACATTGGTGGTAAGTAATAACCAAGTCTATGTTTAGTAATAAAACATTCCCTTACCACATACATTTTTACACATTTATATATTAATAAAATATTGAACATTATTTTAAATCTTTAGATTATTTTACTTTTGAAAACTGGTGTTATGATTAATATTTAGTCTTTTACTGTTTATTAATATATTCTTTATCGTGTACAGTAAAAACTGCTGTTACAGGTAAAGTGTTCATACTGTATATCAGCTAACCTTTTTCAGACTATCATTTGCTATGAAATAACCTATTACCAACAATTTAATTTATAGCAAATTCTTGTCAGGTGTTTACTATTTAGGACCCTAAAGTCCTGTGTTCTGTTTTTTTCTGGGTGGTCTTCCTGACCCTTTGGTTGTGGTTTACAGAATCTCCCTGTTTTGGAGTTCTTGGGCCTGTTTCTCTTTTGTGTCTTTTTTAAGTTTTGGTATTTTGGTTGAACTGCAGATAGTTTGGGTTTCCCATCTCATCACTGCATTTCCCAGTGTCAGAGAGTGTGGTGATTTCCCATTTAAACAAGCACATTCATAGTTTCAAAAACGTGCACTCCTCTGCATTGTTTGATCATCATCTCAAGTTGGAGTACCATTATGTTGAGTGTCTCTGGATAGCATATCACATTTGTAGCTGAGGTAAAGTATGTGGGCACCTGTACAATGTCTGAGCGACGATATGAGGCAAGCTTTATTCATCTTGTGTATTGCATAGGTGATTGCCGTCATGTTAGAAGCCCAGTCCAGGTGCAAGGCAGGAGTTGCCACGAATGTATTTATTCAAATTTATTTCAGAAGTTTTTATTGCAGAAGTTTTAAATCTTTGCTAGACCTAAAAACATCCCCTAGTTGACATGTGCACCACCAATGAAATCGACCCTCGTTGATAAGTGCAGTAAAGGGTTAAATGACATCCACAGCTCTATACATAATCATTTAAGTGACGTCCATCTATCCCATGCCTTATATTTGTTCAGATATGACTTCCCCAATTGCTGTCTTAATTCAAATATCTGATCATTGTTATCTCCTCTTTCTTTAGAACCCACCTTGTTCATCACTGAATAACTGTATAATATATACAAATTTTGTCTTTCAGTATGAGCCATGGAATGAAGCCACAAAGATTTACCTTACCCTTCAGTCTAATATGATTGAGCAGAATGGTCGTCGCCGACTCAATATCTCAGCAGAGCACGAGTGTCCACGTTTACATTGTCTCCTAAGAGATTTGTCATCCTTACTACAAGCCATTGGCAGGTTTTCGTCACTCTTTTTGGGAGAAGAACTGCCTAAAAGATCAACCACAGCAATTCAAGTTATTGAAAAGTAAGAGTGAAATAATATGAGTGTAAATGATTTCCTTAGTGTTGTTGCTCAGTACGAGCTTAGTCTCTTATTTTTTAAATCTAATCTCTGAAAGGGTCATACTTTTTGTTTAATGATGTACTATATAATTATGTTTCTTGCATGGTATGCTGATGTTATGTTTAAAAACTATTGTATAATTGTATACAGATATATTTAGCGTAAGTTAATGATCAAGAATGTTAGTCGCCAAGTTATACTCGTGCTACCCTAATTATCAAGATCAATGGGTACTTCTGGGTGTCTGGATAACTGAAGAACTATGTTGTGTAAAGTCATTGGAGCGAAGTCAGTCTAGCTGTGAGGGATCTTTGGGCATCTCTCTACAACAATAATGTTTAATATGTAACTTTTCTCAAATTATATTTAGTGATTTTTGTTTTAAGCTATTTTTGCTTTCCATTAAGAATGAGGAAGGGAAAAAGGAAATTAGTAACCCTGAAGAAAACAAGTAAACGATCATAACTTATATTAACACCACATCCATGATGTGGTGTTAAACAAGAATATAATATTCCGAGGTAAAGATGTACACAAGTGGATAAATTTTAAAGTTTTATAATTATTTAATCCCTTGGTTGTGCAAGCATTTCAGGAGGCATTCTGTGTGTGCACAAGAAAAAATATTACACAAAGTTTGTCATCCTATATTATTAAAATATCTGCTCTAATCATTGGAAAATTTCTTAAAAAATCTTAAGTCGATTACTTAGGGTGTAGTGAAGCTATTAAATCTTGATCACTGATGAAGCCGATTTCATTAGACAGATGTTTCTATGATCATTTATCAATTTTATTGATTCCCATTACTATTATGTACATAGTCATAATATCGCCTCATTTTTTTCTCCCTATTTTCTAGCTTTGGCATATTTAATGCTCCTAACCTCTCCTTGTAGTTCTTGCCTTTCAGTTCCGGAAGTCATTTAGTTGCATTTCTTTGCACCTTTTCCAATTTACTGATGTGCTTCTTAAGATACGGGCACCATACAACCGCTGCATATTCAAACTTTGGTCTCACAAATGGTGTGAACAATTTTTTTAGGATTTCACCATTCATGTATTTAAAAGCAATTCTGAAATTGGAAAGTATAGCATAGGCTCCTATCACAATGTTTTTTATTTGGTCCTCAGGTGACAGTTTTATATCTAAAACCATCCTTAGATCTCTCTATTAGAATTTTTAAAATCTTTTTCACATAATTTGTAGGTTGTGTGTGGTCTGTTTCCTCCTATTCCACATTCCAAATCATGACATGCATTCACATTAAATTTAACCGCTGCATCTTGCTACAAAATGTCTGAAGGTTTTAGAGTTGGGGCAGGGTTTAGCTAGGGGTTTTTGCTTGGGCTGATCCAGTGTTTGCTCCTTCCAACTATGGTGCAGAGGTAGTCGAGCTTCATGCTCATGCCGAGTCTTCTGGGTCTTTCCAGCTTTCCCCTTCTTTTGAAGCCTCTTCCTGGGACTCTTCTATCCCAGGTAGTTGGTGTGGACAATGGTTTGCCCCAGGGCCCTCATCTGCAGTTCCCGGGACTTTGGGGGAGTCCGACTGAGGCCCTTGGGTCCTATTTGATCCTTTGTGGGCCTTAGTACCTAATGTGGAAGATCTCCTGTGGTAAGGGTAGGGTTTTCTTATCCCTCTACTTGTACGAGTTGCATTTAGGTGCAGTTTTCCCAGGGTTTGTTTCTGAGTGCCTTGGTTCTTGGGTATCATCCTTCTGGAGATTTCCTTCTTCCCAAGTTGCCCAGGTAGAGGCTTTTGAGGCCCTATGTACATTCCTCCTGCACAACCCAGTTTACTCCTCAGTTATCTTCCTTCGAATTCTGTTCTTACTTCCATTACCGGGCACGATACGAGGTCCAGAGTCATTGTGTCTGGCAGATTGTCTCTTTTTTTTTGCTTGGGGCTTGGTGTGGTTTCTGTCACACCCGTACAGTGTTTACTGTGTTGCACATGTTTCTGAGGGGTTCTTTTGAGTCCATCAATGGTCCTGCCCTTTCCCTGAAGGATTTCCCTGCATTTCTGAAGGATTTTGATTTACTGCATTGGGTGACTTTGAGGCCTGATGTTTGTACAAGTGTTTCAATATGTTGAAACTATTTTCTGTGCATTTGGTAAGTCTCATATAGCAGTGTCTTTCCACCAAGGTCCATCTCACTTTATTCTATGATAATAATAATACTCTTGGAAACCCTGACACTGTGTGTACTACATACTTAAGTTTTCTTACATTTTGTTACAGGCTAGTTCAGATGGCAAACTACAGCACAGGCTTGAAACTGTTTGAAGTAGAAACTGCAGTAGATGTTCTTCATTCGGACTTTATTGAAGTGTGAGTATCAATCATATTTTTGTTTTGGTTTTTGGAGCTGTAACATTAATTTTTTTTTTTTTTAGACAATAACCTGCTGATCCCCTGGACAGAATCATGCCATCAAGGCAGGTTGACATTGTGTACTGGCCTTGCTTTTATCTTTCTAAATGCTCCTTCCAGGTCATATCCAAGGAAGATATTATGAAAAATAGGAAATCCAGTTCACGATGACCTCTAGAAGGCACATTCAAATAAACTTGATCCTCTTCTAATCGTCATTGGCATTACAAGAACCACCAAGCATAGTTCTCACTATCTGCTAATTGGTCTTCTCCTGGTACTGGCATGGGCTGGATTTTGCTATTTGGCAGGACTTAGCAGCATGGTCTTTTCGCTTTCCATTTTAAGGAGGAAGTCTGCTCCTTGGCATTGATTGCAAAGGTGGGGCAAACTTGCTTTATGGTTTATTGCCCTGGCCTTCATGCATTTTTCTTCTTCATCTTTGAGGTTCATGCTTGCTAATTTCTGCCTCACAGTCTGAACAACTGTTCTTGTTAATGGGCCTATTATTCCAGTGCTACATAGGTTACCTCAGTTGTGCAATCTTGCCACACAATCTTGCCACACAATCTTGCGATACAATCGCTCCTTGTATATATACTCTACATCTTGGATCAGGCAATTCAGTGGTCACCTAGTCACCTCTAAACAAATAATTACCTAAGTGTAGTTACAGGATGAGAGCTACGCTTGTGGTGTCCCGTCTTCCCAGCACTCTTTGTCATATAACGCTTTGAAATTACTGACGGTTTTGGCCTCCACCACCTTCTCACCTATTTTGTTCCAACCTTCTACCACTCTGTTTACAAAAGTGAATTTTCTTATATTTCTCCGGCAACTTTGTTTCGTTAGTTTAAATTTATGACCTCTTGTTCTTGAAGTTCCGGGTCTCAGGAATTCTTCCCTATCAATTTTATCGATTCCTGTAACTATTTTGTATGTAGTGATCATATTGCCTCTTTTTCTTCTATCTTCTAGTTTTTGCATTTTTAATGCCTCTAACCTCTTTTTGTAGCTCTTGTCCTTCAGTTCTGGGAGCCACTTAGTGGCATGTCTTTGCACCTTTTCCAGTTTGTTGATGTGCTTCTTAAGATATGGGGCACCATACAACCGCCGCATATTCCAGCTTTGGTCTTACAGAAGTTGTGAACAATTTCTTTAGTATTTCAATATCCATGTGTTTTGTAAGCTTTCGTATGATGATGTTTCCTCGACAAAAATGCCAGAGGATGAGTAATTAAAAAGAAATAATTATATTTCTGGTAGATAAACTAATTGATTTCCATCATCTGTGCTTCTTTTTGTTCATGTATCAAAATTTAGCTTTCCCTATTTAGCTGACTATCCCATCTTGAGGTTATCCTGAGATGTTTTTGGGGCTTAGCGTCCTCGTGGCTCGGTCCTCGACCAGGCCTCCTTTTTGTTACACACCCTCAGGAAGCAGACTGTAGCAGCTGTCTAACTCCCAGGTACCTATTTACTGGTAGGTAACAGGGCATCAGGGTGAAAGAAACATTTTGCCCATTTGTCTCTGCCTCCACCGGGGATTGAACCCGGAACCTCAGGACTACGAATCTGAAGCGCTGTCCACCTAGCTGTCAGGCGTCCATCAGCTAAATCAGTTAATAATTTTTAGCTGACTATCCCATGTTACTTTTAAGATTAAGATGTTACAGTTTGTTCCATATTATTGTTATACTGTGCTTAATATCTTTTCTAAGCCTCTAAAAAATTCTAATCATATTTGATTGCATCGACTACAAGGAATACAGTATACTTTTCATGCTAAACTGTCTTACTTCAGTGTCATATTCTAAACTATATTTCTAATGATTAATGAAACTACTTTCAACACTTTAATACCAGCTCTTGTCATTAGCTGAGAAATATTATCATCTATGATTATGGAGAGTTGTGATTTTATTTTGTGATGTTCAGTTCCCCATGTTTAGTTATTAAATTTTTGTTACAGTCATGCTCAAGTTTTATCCACTTTGAGAGCTTGGGTGCATTGGCTGTCTCAGCTCTATGGGCAGCAGTTTGTGCAGGTTTTCCCTGGAGGGACACAGACACACCAGCATCAAGATACCTGCCATACAATAAACAAACAGATGCTAGTTGCTGCCACCAATGTTCTGAATGTTGGAGTGAGTAGATTTTTCTGAGGGGGAGGGAACCATTTGAGGGCCCCTTGAGGGCCCCTTGAGTCTCCCTGAAGCTCCCTGAAGCTATTACACTGGTTCATTGCCATACTACTAGATGCCATCAGTTGCAGAGTTCTTATTGGCCAGAACTTGGTTCCCTCAGAGAGGCACAGGGAGAGGTGGCATTATGAAACCTTACATTTAAAGTTATTCGTGTTTGCCACCACCAGGGAAAGAACCCAGAAAGTCGGTGAAACAAAGCAGGCCACTGTATGGTTAGAAATTGAGACTGCAGCCTCAAAACGGCCAAAATAACTGTCCCAACAACATACACAAACTATTAAAAATTTGTGAAACTAGCAGGTGCTAAAATGCACCACTCCCCTCCTTCATTTGGGGGGGGGAAGCTGGTTGGCAGGCCAGGCCAGCCAGCTTCCTCCATCACCAATTCTTATTCTGATGTGTGCCTTGTCATCAGTTCTAGTCACTCTGGATGCAGTTTCCTGTTTTCTTTTGGTATATTGCATTTGAAGCTGATCTTGTACACGTTTGTGTAGAGTGAGCCAGAAGTTAATGAGTGCTTGGAGCTGCATGTGCAGGGTTTTCTTTAGTGATGGTCGCTCATACAGCAAGTCTGCTAGGTTCTTGGTGTGGCTTCTGTACTGTTCACATTCTGTGTGTCTGATGTCGTGGTCGTCAGTCTATCCAAGTTTCTTGGTCCCACGGTATGGACTGTCGACACCACTTCCTTCCTCTGGCTTTGCCGGACATTCGGGTGCCTGGACGTTAATTTCTTCACGTTAGTGTGGTCTCGGCGTTTGCCTCCTTGTGTGATGTTGCTCCCTGACTGCAAGACCCTCCCAGTCGCCTTTCAGCTGGACTGGTCAAGATGGGGATGATGCGTTTGGTATTTTTGTTACTTCTGCTTCGATTTGCAAGCTGTCTCATGCGTTGTTTCACCTCCAACCTGCTCATGTGCCGCTTGAGCCATTCTGGTTCTTGGATTGGGTCCTCTCTTATCTGTCTTCTCCTCGGTTTGTTGTGGCCTCTTCAGTTCGGGATTGATTTTCCAAAGCTCTTTTTCTTGTTGGCATTGGCCTCTAGGGGTTGGGTCATTGAGCTTCATGCTCTCCTCGGGCACAGGGGTTTCTGCTCTTTTGGCAAGGTGGTAGGTGTGTTCATTTGCAACTGTCTCCTTCCTTTCTGATGAAGAATGAGACTGCTGCATTCCAGAGGAATCCTTAGGTTGTTGATGCTTGGTTGGTCAGGCCGGGGTTGCATCATGTGTTGTGTCCTGTTGCGGCTCTCTGCCCGTTATTTGCTCGCCACGGCCTCTGTGGCCGGGGATGTTCTTTGGGTTGATCAGGTTTATCTTCTTCCCCTGTTCTAGGGTTCGGGTCTCTCAGGTCATCCGCAGGGTTATTTGGTCCAGCCAGCCTGCAGTCTATTCCCAAGGCATAGGGACATTTCTATCATCATCATAACTGGTGGTGGAAGAGGCTGGCTTGCCCGGCCTGCCTCTCTCCTTCCCCCAAACGAGGGGGTAGGTGGTGTATTCTATTGCCTGCTAGTTTCACGAATCTTCAATATTTTGTGTACATTGTTGAGGGAGTTCTGTTGGCAGTTTTGAGGCTGCAGTCTCATTTCTAACCATACAGTGGTAATCTGTCTTGTTTTGCTGACTTTCTGGGTGCTTTTTCTGGTGGTGGCAGACATGAATAACTTTAAATGTAAGGTTTTCATAGTGCCACCACTTATTGGTTCCTGGTAAGCCAATAAGAACTCCTCAATTGATGGCACCTAGTAGTATGGCATTGAATCGGTGTAATAGCTTCAGGGAGCCGCAGGGGCTCACCCAGAAATTGGCATTTCATTATATTCAATGCTGAATTTTTGGTTTCATAACACAAGAGATATAAGTTTCAGTGACAGTTGCCACTAAAAGTTGAAAATGTTAGCTATTTGAGAATTCACTCAGATTTCTGGATGATATAGTTATCTCATTCTCTGTCCTCATTATTTAGGCTCCTCCACTCATCGTAAATTGTGGAGTCCAGCTACTGCTCTCATTGTCTGTGATGGTACGGTCTCCTGTGGCACTCGAGATGAACCAGGTCCAATCTTTGTATGTGCAAGCCCCATCAATTTCCTCAGACATAAAGGTATGTTGTCCTTTTTATTACAGTTTAGTATTTTACTGAGGAAGTAACTTTTTACTGCAACATGTATCCTCAGTAGAAATAACAATTTAGATTAGACATACAATTTCAAACTAAACTAGGAAGTACAAATATTGCATTGTAGACAAAGATTTGTATTTTTTATAATCATCTTTGAAATCTGAAGAATTTGTAAAATAATTACTTCTGTGCTAGTCCCTCCAATGGCTCCCCTGAGTTAAAAGACACTGACTCAGAAGAGCTTCTAGGAATAGTTATACCTCTGACAACTTTTATATGCCTACTTGGCACACAGGAGCAGAATCTGGTTACTCACAAAGTTAAAAGAGCGTACCACAGGTAAGGTTTGGGAACCACTGAGGAACCAAACCCACAAATACAGTAATCCCTGTGTTGACCCATACTGGTACTGTAGTCGAGTAATGGGGAGGGGAAATGATGAGGTGGTATTTTGAGTATTTGGAATTCCCTTCTCTACCCCTTCTGTATAGGGGTTCCTGCTACTCATGTCATGGAGTTGGTATTTTGAGTATTTAGAGTTTTGCTTGGTATTCATACTGAGCATCTCTCTGAGTACTGGTGAATTTTTGTGACTACTCTTAGTCATTTTGACATGGCTTTTCCTCAGTGTGTAAAGTCTTGTATCTCCCTCTACTCATCCACCTCATTTGACTGGGAAAGGGGGGGGGGAGAAGGGTGAATGGTTGAGGATTGTGGTATTGTGATCCTCATCTCAGACCCAGTAGACTCTGAGATGGTCATAGAAGTCATGTGTATTGTGGTTAACCCAGAGGCAACAGTGGTGCCTCAGAGCTCGGATGGTTCACAAAGGACCCCCAGAGAAGACATTTTTATTATACTTTTACATTTTGTTCAATTTTTTGTGGGAAGCCCCTTCGGCTCCCTGGAGCTATAGGACTGATATGTGCTATACAGTATTAGTCTGGGGCTTCAGTCAATGGAGTTCTGCCTACTGGGGACCAGAGCCAGAACCTAACCCTTCAGAGAGGCACAGGGAGCAATGACTTAAGGAGACCCCTCCTTAAGTCCGCTTCTTCTTGAACGTTAACCCTTTGTCCGCTCAGCCGGTGGCTGAGCGGACAGAGGGTTAACATTCTAAGAATTACAACTCCAGCTTGATTTGGGGTGGACGTCACATTCCCCCCGTTCCGTACACTTTCTTGTGCTTTGTTTCACCTCTGGCCTGCTCATGTGATGCCTGAGCTGTCCTGGTCCTTGGTCAGGGTGCTTTCATATCTTTCCTCTCCTCGGTTTGTGGTAGCACCTTCGGTTCAAGATCGTTTTTCCAAGGTTCTATTTATGTTTGCATTAGCCTCTGGGAGTCGGGTCAGGGAGCTTCTGGCTCTCCTCCGGCGCAGGGGTTTCTGCTCTTTTGTTACTGGTGGTAGGCTTGTATGTTTGCAGCCTTCTGTCTTTTCTGGCGAAGGCCGAGACAGCTCCTTTCCAGAGGGGTCCTTGGGTCCTTTCAGCCCTTTCTTTTCCTTGTCTTTTCCTTGTCTTTTCCTTGTCTTTGGGTATGAAGCTCCAGGGAGCCGTAGGGGCTCCCCTCAGAAAACCAGCGTTGATTGTAATGAAACACCATTTTCTGGGTGAGCTCCGGAAGTTCCCTGGCAACTCCCTGGTTTTTTCGCGTTTATTGAAGCTTAGCTTCCGAACTGTGCCTCTGTGCCGGTTGACATTAACTTACGAACTGGAGTGCTATGCAGCCGGCGTGGTGAGGTACGGGCCCCCCCCCCTCCCCCTCTCAGGGAGGGAAGGGCTGCGCAGATGAGCGGTGTGGCAGTAGTGTGTTACGTTTGCTTGTTTCCTTGGGATTGTAGGGAGTTCTACCTCTCTGTTCGGTTTTTGTTGTTAGTTTTTTACCATGTGGGGTTTGTTTTGTTATGCTTACCTTTCTGGGGTGCCTAACCCCGGTCGATGGCAGATAAGGAAAACCCCCAACTACAGAGGGTGTTTTCCAGGGCCATTGCTCCCTGAAACTTCTCTGACTGGGCCAGGTTCTGGCTTGTGGTCCTGGTAGGTCTGAACTCCATAGCTAATATCCTGGTCTAATATAACATACATTAGCCTGATAAGATCCAGGGAGCCTCCAGGGCTCATGCAGAAAATGATGTTTCATTACATTTAAAGCTGGTTTTTTTGTCTAATAATACAATAGTGTACTGTACATTGGAGTCTTGATAATCAGCACACATGGGTTGAGCAGTTACCAGATTGTGGGTTTTCCTAGATTTGTAATTATTAAATCCATTAAAACTTCATTTATTTGATGTGACTTGAAGTAATTTTGAAAGTACTGTAATAGCAGAACTCTTAATTTGGTGAAAAAACACACAAGCTGTATTTTGAATAATTCTAGGGTATGACATGCCAGGTTCCAGAGACTTGCCTATTTTAACTTTCAAACTGTAATAGTAATGATAATTACTATTATCATTACTATTATTACTATTAGTAATAGTAATGATAATGTGGATCACTTGACTTTAGGTGCAGGTTAGATGCTTTTGACCTGCTTTTGACTTAGCAGAAGTAAATATTCTATACCATATATCAAAATCATTTAGGACAATAATTATCCATCTTTTCATTAAATTACACATTTTAAGAATGTGTAATTCTTAGAATGTTCAATATATCTGGTGTCATTTTTCATGATTAGTCAACTTCTGTTGATTTTGTAGTGCATTTAAGAGATTTAACTTAATCTTGCTCATCCCACTAGGTGCGTGGATTAATACTGCGGGCTTTAGTAAATTTTCTTCTGCTACCGTGGCCAAGCTTTGTGGTGGATCACAGACTAGAATCTCGAAAACACCATCTTACATCCTTCATCAATTCCTTTACCTCTGAAGTGCGGAAAATGGATGTGCAGGCACTAGTCGACGATAAAACTATGCAGGAAGCTAGTGAGTGTGCTTCTGTTGGTAACATGATATATTAAAAGTGGTTCAGTGTGACATATTCAATAGACTAATATATAAGGTTTAACAAATAATTAGATTTTTTATTAAAAGTATATATCTAGAAGGGCCGAACAATGGCGCTCTGTTACTAACTACATAAAGATATCTCAACCGATGTAATTCACATCAACCCTTATGAGTTCTTTAATAGCCTACTTGGGACCAGAGACCAAAACCTGGCCTCTTAAGAGAAGTGCAGGGAGCAGGGAGAGTCATAATCATGCTCAATGAAGAAACAAAGCCCCAGAAAGGAAGTGAAGCAAAATAGATAACTGCAAGGTTCACAGAGCATACATAGACACGATTTACTTTCCCCTTTCTCTAATGATTTTGTTGATTTATTTATAATTTCTTTTCACAGGCTTCCTGATACCTGTCACCTTGTAGAAAAGCTAATTAATTTCTTCCTTATTCCTTCTCTCAATTAAACGTTTTGCTTCAATTACTGTTCCCCAGTGGTTCATTGTCTGAACTGGGGAAGGTCGCTTCGGTATGTGGCTCTTTGGGGCTGGTCGCTTCGAGTGGCTCTTCTGAGTTCTCGGGGTTTAGCTTTCCATGCGGTTCACATCCTGGGGGTGTCCAATGTTCTGTCAGATGGCCTGTCTCAGTTCATTCCTCTGTCCACTGAGTGGATGGTCGACGCCGACTTCCTGTGTTAACTTTGCCGGACGTGGACGTGGACCTCTTTGCGTCGGCTTTGTCCCAGCACCTCTCAGGTGTAAGAGGCGCCATTCCACGACTGCGAAGCCTTCGCAGTAGCTGCTTTTCGGCTTGATTGGTCGAGGTAGGGTTCCTGTATCTCTCTTCCCTGTTCCAGCTGTTGCTTCGCATTTTGGCTCAGCTCGAATTCTTTCAGGGGTGAGTGCTTCTCCTGGCTCCATGGTGGCTGGCCTAGCCTTGATTTCAGGAGCTGCTTGCTCGGTGTCTGAAACCTGAGAGATTTTCTGCGGCTCCACTTCTTTCAGCAGGTCGGGTCATTTGGGTACCTTGCTTGTTTGCCTTACTCCTCTGCTCTTCGTGTTTGGTGTTTTTATCGTGAGTGTATCACCATTTATATGGTGATCAGGTGGTTTCTCTGATGGTGTACCACCTGCAGTTTTCTTCTTGGTGACAGTATGAAGTCTCTTGGCGTTTTTTTTGCCATTTCCTTTCCCTTCATATGGTGTCATCCATTTCTAATCTTTTTGTTTTGTCCTTTCTCTCTTGGCTTTTTCAGGACCGGCATCTTATCCCGAATACTGTCACTTCTTTTCATGCGGCGCTGGTGGAGCCGATTAAGCTCCACCAGCGATTCAGCTTGCATTCAGGGTGGATGTCACTTCTGCTCCGTTCCAAAAGTGCTCTTCATGCATTTTTCACCATCAGCCTGCTCACGCGCCGCCTGAACCGCCCTGGTCCTTGGATCGGGTGGTCTCTTTTTCTCTCTTCTCAGTTTCTTGTGGCCCCTTCGATTAACGATTGCTTCAGGAAGGCTTTGTTTTTGTTGGCTTTGGCCTCTTGGGGTCGGTTTGGGGAGCTTCATGCTCTTCTTCTCCAGCACAGGGGTTTCTGCTCCTTTTGTCCTGGGGTCGGTTTTGTTCGTTTGCAGCCGTCTCCTTTTCTGCCGAAGAATGAGTCGCAAAGCTTCCGGAGGGATCCGTGGGTTATTGATGCGTGGTTGGTCAGGCCAGGAATGCATCATGTTTTATGTCCAGTTGTGGCTCTCCGTTGTTATCTGTGCGCCTTGGGTTCTGTATCCGTGGACACGCCGGGTGGTCAGTGGCGCCTGACAGCTGGGTTGACAGCGCTTCGGATTCGTAGTCCTGAGGTTTCGGGTTCGATCCCCAGTGGAGGCGGAGACAAATGGGCAAAATGTTTCTTTCATCCTGATGCCCCTGTTATCTAGCAGTAAATAGATACTTGGGAGTTAGACACCTGCTTTGGGCTGCTTCCTGGGGGTGGAGGCCTGGTCGAGGACCGGGCCACGGGGACACTTGGCCCTGAAATCATCACAAGATAACGCTTTGGGTAGATCCGGTGTCCCTCATTCTCTATTCCAGGGCTCGGGTCTCTCAGGTCGTCCATAGGATTATCAAGTCTAGCCAGCCTGGGGTCTACCCTCGCACCCATGATGAGTGCAAGGGATGTGGCTCTTGATGTGGTCTTTGGTAACATGTCTTGGGTTGACATTCAAACACGAGGGGTTTTGGAGGTTGAACAGGGTCCTGGCTGCCCGTTAACAAGATAACATTCCAGGTCTTCAGCAGCCTTGTGTGGCTTTGGGGCGTTTGTCGCTGTTAGTTGTCCAGTCTTCGTCATGAGGCGTGCAGTGCTGCTGCCTCCTGGGCAAGTCTTTTTTTACTTAAGTGGGTATATAGCTTCAGGGAGCCGATGGGGCTTCCCCTCAGAAAACCAGCATTGAATGTAATGAAACGCCATTTTCTGGGTTGAGCACTGGACACTCCTTGACACCCTCCCTCCCTCTGGTCAGCAGGTACATAAACTGATGGCACTTTAAAAATACCAGCAGTCACAACAATACTGGGAACAGCTTCCCGGGTGCTCAGGTCAAGATCTTTAGCTGACCCTGTGTCCTTGGTGGATAAATGAGCTCAGTATTTTATACTTGCTGGTCTGGTATACGTGGTATCAACTCAGCGAGTACAGTTTTCAGTACTGGTAATACATATAGTGTGTTATAGCATTAGTTATTCAGTTTATATTGTCCTTGGAACTTATTGATAGTTCTGTAAAGAACTAAGTTGAGAAATCCTGAAATTAAAGACACACTAATAAAAACACTGTGCGCAGTTGCTAGTGTCACGCGTCTTGTTGATCCAGCTGGACAATGCCATATCATCCCTCCCATCAGCCTTTGTGACCGGAAAAATTTATTAATTTAATTTAATCAGTGATTGTTCACAATATATTGTAGTATTAATACTGTAAATGTTATTGCATTAAATAGAATAATTGTAATACTTTTTTGTAACTAAGGTTATAAGATATGACATCGCAAGTTGACTCATTATGGGGGGTCGTCCTGAGCCACCCAAAAGGATGAGTCCACTCTGTGAAACAGCATACGACAATTATTTAGATAAGGCTGTGGATTTTCCATAGATGTGACTGATGTGTGTCTGCAGCTGTATTATATCACTTAACTCCAGTATCTTCGATCTTACTCCATCTATGTTGGTGTATACAATCTTCAGGAACTTGTTCCCCCTCTTCTTATTTTTCACTCCCCCTTTCTCTAATGATTTTGTTGGTTTGCCTTTATGTACCACTTTACTGGTCTGCCCCTATCACTTTGTAGAAAAAAGAATTGATTTCTTCTTCATTCCTGCTCTCATTTAAATGTGTGGAGCTATTTTAGTGTGGCTAGCAACAGGGAGGCACCAAGGTCTCTCCAATTTCATTACATTGATTTTTTTTTTTTTAAGATCAAAATCTTTGACTAATAATAACTTAGGTATTTGTTTCTTGAAGTTATATGATCAGCTTTTAATAGTTAGTTTAAAAAAATACTGTAACATAGAAATTGTCATTTGTTAAACCTTAGTGAATTATGCATTTTAGTAATGTATTTATTACTTAAAAGATTGTTCTTTTAATTTCATTTCAGTGGCACCAAAGTTGTGTGATACTCTGTCAGTGATTCATTACCAGGTGGAGGAGCTCAACAACACAGATAAAGCCAGCCGGGAACTCTACTACCACTGTGTTCAGGACATCATTCATCAGGCTATACTACTTTTTCCCATTTATGTTCAGCATTCCAGTACGTTTTAGTAACTCATATGGTACTAATTATTATTATATTTAATTTGCAGTTTTTTATTGAGTACATTATATGAAGAAACCCCATTTATCGTCAACCCTAAACTTTACTGAGCTTTTCCAATTGGACGCTCGCTTAATGCAGGATTACTGAAGGTTCTATTTAACAGGGTGGAAAGCCGGTTTTATTTATATCTGGCCCTGAGTTATGCTGTATCCAGCCCTGAGTTACTACCTAAAGTTCACCCATGAACATCACTCGGGCAAACACTGGTCCCCAGATTCAACCCGTCCTCAGACCAAGTCCATTCCATCCAACGATCAACCCCAAAGACGCAGTCATCAGTTTTAACATGCTGTTCATTCAAAATAGGAATTTTCTCAAATATAAATTGATATTATTATATATTAGTATATTGTACATATTTAGGCATTGGTTAGGTTATGTCGAGTCCACTCTCCCTGCCTAAGCCTCTGGGTCTGACCAGTGGGCCCCCTTCTGTTCGGCTTTCTCTGCTGAGCCGGCTTTGTAGGGAGTTTCTACCTCTCTGTTCGGTTTTTTGTTTTAGTTTTTACCATGTGGGGTTTGTTTTGTTATGCCTACCTTTCTGGGTGCAAACCCCGGTCAATGGCAAATAAGGAAAACTCCAACCACAAGGGGGTTTTCCAGGGCCATTGCTCCCTGAAACCTCTCTGAAGGGGCCAGGGTCTGGCACTGGTCCCTGGTAGGTCTGAACTCCTTAGCTAATGTCCCGGTCTAATATAACACATTAGCCCGATAAGCTCCAGGGAGCCTCCGGGGCTAACCCAGAAAATGGCGTTTCATTACATTCAACGCTGTTTTTTTTTTTATTCTCTTAAAGGTAACCCTATGATTTTTTTACTATTTCTCTAGAAGTGAAAGGGATGAGTCAATACATAATAGAAAGGTAGTAAGTAAAGCAAAAGGGGAGAGTGTTGATAATGCTGTGTGGCAGTAGTACAAACCTCGCACGAGTTATTAGCAATTAATTAAAGAGTCTTTTGCAAATGCTTCCAAGAAACCTCCCATTGCACCACCTGCACCTGACTCACCACATGTTGTCCCAAATGCTTCAACATCTGCAGTTACCTCATCACCATTAATCTCCACTACAGTCAACCCAACACCATCAACATCCACCCAGTTCCTATCATGCACAACCATGCACCACCACCTATTCCATGTAAATAACAATGCACCATCAACCATGATAATAAAGTTAGCAAGAGTATCAGGACTTCTTGTATTGGTGACAAAGAAAATACTGTCAAATTTATGCCATGAAATTGTCAATTTTTCCTCCAGATTTTCATGATGACCGACCCCATATACGAATCAAGTTATCCAACGGGTCTCATCCCCAAAGGGTTCATAAAGCACGTGGTTTTCTGTAGTTAAATCATCCATGGTTTTCTAAACTTGATATAAAGGGGGAAATAAACATGTAACAATACAGCCACATTTTTTTAGTACATTACTGTACTCTAATGCCAAAAACCAGGTCACTCTGTTTACAACAAAATATTGCAATATGAATAACCAAAGAAAAGACCCATTGATGTTAAAAAGGGTACCTGTTTCAGTTTAATTTTCTTTGGTGTTTTGCATGTCATGGTGTCAGTACATACAGTCCTTATCTGCTATTGTTTAAATTTATGAAATACTTAAAAAATCTTAGAACTAATAAGATCTCTGTCAATCAGGTGTGTGTGAGGAGATCTTGTCATTGATGGTGGTAGTCATGCAGGTGTTAAGGGTTCAGCTGGGTCCTGCCCGAGTTGAGGCTACCATACAGACATTCCTTGATGTCTTCACTACCCGACATCACCTTCAGCTAGCCATCAGTGCAGAAAATCCTGCTGCAGTCAGGGTAGTTGACAAGTAAGAGTCATATGTATTTTATACCAAGAGTATAAAGTGTTTGGGATAAGTTAAAGTGCTTTTATGGAATATACAAGAATGGCTTTAGTTCATTTACTCTCTATGATGTGCTGAAATATACAACACAAAGTTTTAAAATGTAGTGTAAGTTTGGGCCATAAATATTTATTTATGTGGTGTATTTTACTACTTATTAGCAATTAATTAAAGAGTCTTCTGCCTTTTGCCTTATAAGGGTCCAGAGTCGCCCTCGCTAGCAGACTGTCCTGTTTTGTCATTGGAGGCTTGGCATTCGTTCTGTATGTCCCGCACACTGGAGTGGAGTAAGGCTGGGACAGTGGTCCAGGTTTGCCTGGGGGTCGAATTTGAGCACCTCAGTGCGTGTTTGTTCGCCCGTGTTATTTCCCGGGATGTTGGCATGGTGCAGCTCCACGTGCAGGTTCCCTCCCTTTTGGCTGCACTGGTTGCTGAGGACTTGCATGCTCATGGCCTGTTGGCGTTAGTTATGGCCTTACCCGGGTCGTGGTGGACCGTCTGCGTCTTTTAGGGGTTCGAGTCCTAGTCTATCTCGACGACTGGCTGGTGTTAGCTCCCAGCCAGTCCGCATGTCTGCTCCCTGGGGATTTGGTTCTTTCCCAACTCGCTGGGTTCGGGTTCTGGTGAACTGGAGGAAGTCCCATCTGGTTCTCTCTCAGGTTTGGCATTGGCTGGGTCTTGTGTGGGACTCTCGGACTGCTTCCTTGTCTCTCCTTCCGTAGTCTCTGCTCCAAGCAACAGCCTGGTGGACTAAACTCTCACAAGTCAGTGAGTTGGGGAGTAGAAGAATTCCCAGAACCCCATCAAGCGGGTATCAAGCAGGTTGTCACTTTTCTTTGTTTAGGGGAGGCACTGGGAGACACAGAAAACCAGCGTTGAATGTAATGAAATGCCATTTTCTGGATGAGCTCCGGCACCCTCAGCAGTTTTTCGCATTGTTTTTTATGCTCGGCCTCAGAACTGAATGCTGTAGTGGTCTTCATGGGAGGTCTGTGGCCCCCGCTCCTCCTCCCGGAGAGGGTGGTGGGCATTCACGGATGATCTGTGCCAGAGCGTTAGTGACGTTTGCTTGATTGCTTGTTTTAGTTTGGGTGTTTTGCCTATCTGTTCGGGTTTTGGTAGCCATTTTTACTATGTGGGGTTTGTTTTGTAACACCTACCTTTCTGGGTGCCACACCCCAGTCTATGGCAGGCATGGAATGCTTCCAAATACATGGGGGTTTCCATAGCCCATTTCTCCTTGTGCCTCTCTGAGGGGGCCAGGTTCTGGCTTGTGGTTCACAGTAGGCAAGAACTCCAATCGACTGATGCCGTGGTCTAATACATACATATCAGCCTGGTAAGCTCTGGGGAGCCTTCGGGGCTCACTTAGAAAAAGGAGTTTCATTACATTCAACGCTGGTTTTTTGGCATTAATTTTAACATCGGCTCTGAACCTATATAAGCATTTTATTATTACAAAAGCAAAGATGAAATCCTAAATTTATTCTTGACAAATCAAGTACAGTAATAACCCTCTCATAATACTGGGTATTGCATTATGTGTGAGCAGTGATTGTCTTGGTTGTAGTTGATGTTGTATCAAATACCCAGTATGGGAGAAATATCTATTCTGTATTGGATGAGATCTGCAGGACACCAAGACTGTGGCCTACAGCTACTGCCACAAGAACATAACCCTACTGCTGCTGTCACAAAGGCTTAGGTCTAAAGCTACTGCCATAAAGGCATATGCCTAGAGCAACTGCCACAAGATCATAGGCCTAAAGCTTCTCCCACAAGGGCATAGACCTACAGTAGCTGCTACTTTGGCGTAAGCCCATTGCTACTACCACAAGGACAGGCCCACAGTTACTGCCCCACAGGCATATGCCCACAGTTACTGCCCCACAGGCATAGGCCCACAGCTATTGTCACAAGGGCATATGCCCACAGTTACTGCCCCACAGGCATATGCCCACAGTTACTGCCCCACAGGCATAGGCCCACAGCTATTGTCACAAGGGCATATGCCCACAGTTACTGCCCTACAGGCATAGGCCCACAGCTATTGTCACAAGGGCATATGCCCACAGTTACTGCCCCACAGGCATAGGTCCACAGCTATTGCCCCACAGGCATAGGCCCACAGCTATTGCCACAAAGCTATAGGCCCATAGCTGTTGCCACAAGGGCATAGGCCAACAGCTACTGCCACAAGAGCATAGGCCTACAGCTACTGCCACAAGAGCATAGGCCTACAGCTACTGCCACAAGAGCATAGGCCAACAGCTACTGCCACAAGAGCATAGGCCTACAGCTACTGCCACAAGAGCATAGGCCTACAGCTACTGCCCCAAGAGCTTAGGCCCCCACAGCTATATAAATATAAGACAACCCACACATGTAAATAACCGAATATGAGGCTGCTGCATTTTATATCCAAATATAGAGGAGCTGCCTTATATGTGCCCATTTCAGACAGCTTATATTTATAACAATAGAAATAGGGGCTATCTCAAAGAAGCCTATTGGTCCATATGAGTGAGATCCTATTTATATAAATATAAATATGAATTGCTTTACATTGGCCTATACCAAGTTAGCTCCAATTTATATTGATATAAATAGGAGCTACTTTGCATGGGTCAATAGGCCTTCTGTAGTTCTTGTATTATTATATTCAAATGATGATTGATTTACCTGGTATTCTTCATTACAACCATGTGGAGTTGTGAAAATCATATGAACATCAATGGTATGCATACCATGTAATGATGACAAAATTTTATACAACGATGATGACCACATTCTCCTAGTAATGTAACCATGAAATGATAGCAATATTTTTGTCATGAGTCAAGGTAAACTCTATCACATCTACATAGAGGTGCAATATCCTCATTTGCATTGTGTGTGTAAAACCCAAACTGTAATAGTTTAAAAACTGCATTACCCTGTGAATCATATGATGAAAACCACTCTTTAAAGGTTAATTACACTAATTACTATCTTGCAGATGAGGAGTCACAATAACGTGGTTGAAATATATTGACCAAACCATACACTAGAATGTGAAGGGACGTTTTGGTCCGTCCTGGACCATTCTCAAGTCGATTGTGAAAATTGACTTGAGAATGGTCCAGGACGGACCGAAACGTCGTCGTCCCTTCACTTTCTAGTGTGTGATTTGATCAGCAACTACTATATATTACTATACTGTATATATTTGTGATTTGATCAGCAATTACTATATATATATTTTCCCCACAAATTATTGTATTAATTTTCTTCAGATTTCTCAAGTTGCTTGAGCTGATAGTGAGTGAGCCAGGGCAGTCCTTTAAGAGATTCATTCCAAATACCATCACACTCTGCATGGATCACATTTATCCTGTTGTGTCTGAACGAGCATCTCCCGAGGTTAAAGGTCCATTGTTTGATCTACTGCGATGCCTTCTTGAACATAATTGGAAGTACTTCTTTAAGTAAGCATGGCATATTGATTTTGTAATGATTTGATAAGCATTGACAATTTCTGTGGCTATGTACTAAATGAATAATCCTCTCAGTAAATGAATAATAATGAATAGATGTACTAAATGAATAATCCTAATTTAAGGATGTCTACTGTGACAAGCAGAGTACATATGAACATCTCGTATTTCATGATTAGAGCTATTTTCTTTTTCCCAGACCATCTGTTCACATATCTCTTGGAGCTGGAAACTGGGATTCTATAGAAAATGAGGCACAGTTCATTCAGATCATGCAGGCTTTTGGTCAGTCCTTCATGCAGCCAGACATCACAATCTTCAAGCACAACCTAGAAGCTCTTGAATCCCTCAATTCCAAATATAAATTGTATCATAAGGTATGTATTATTTTATCTTAATGAAAAGTTAGACACTGAAGTGTTTGCACAGATTTGGCAACTTTTATCACTGTCATCGTTTGATAACAAAGTTCCACCTCCTCCTGTTATTACATCAACTATGACTACTAACTGAATTAAATAGTTTTATTATATTAGTATCACCGTTTGGTATACCTGTAGATCCTGGAAGAACTCAAACTATATTATATTTTGTTAATTAGCTATTTCTTTTGCAAAAGTGTAATGTTGTTATATAATTTATGTAGGTCCCCAGACCTATATTGAAGTATTCTGAGCAAGGCCCTCTCAGTAGCTCCCTTAAGTCTTGATACTTTATTACCCCAGACACTTAAATGTGCACCAAGCTATGAGAGACTTAATAAGCTCCAGAAGGTCAATTATTTTTACCTTATGTTAGATTCAGCTCTGTTTCTGGATCAGTAACCATTTGCAGTTTACGCTTTTCATCTAGACTGCTGGAGATACATTAATCTCTTCTCTCTGATTCAGATACTTATCTCTGTTGGCCAGGTTTGAGAGTTCAGCCTTGGTTTATGGTTTTACTCTCATGCTGTATCCATCCATTGCTTTTCATTTACTTAAAATGGAGGAGTCTCTAAACTATAGCCTGCTAGCCACAGTCAGCCTGCCAAAAGATTTTCTCTTGGCTGTAGCAACTTGAAATACATTTAAATAATTAAAGTAATTACTTCCCTCATTTTCAGACACCTGCATAATGTGCTTGCTAGGGAAAACCCGGTCGGCTCCTTGAAGCTAACTGAACTGATATGTGCTTTATTAGTTGGGGGTCATCCAGTCACTAGGAATCCTTATGCCTACAGGGACCACTCGCCGGGGTAACAAAAATTGACCGGGCCATAAAGGAGCCTTTTAATCCTCTCGTGCGAAAATTTCAGGGAGTAGAAGCAATCACTCGCCGGGGTAACGAAAATTGACCGGGCCCTAGAGGAGCCTTTTAATCCTCTCGTGCGAAAATTTCAGGGAGTAGAAGCAGGGTGAATGTCACCCTGAGACAAGGGGACAGAGCAACCCTTGAACTTGCACAAGGCGAGATGGGACCCAGAGGACGCATCCATTGCACCAATGAGCCCCAATGGGGTTTTCCAGGGCCTTTAGGCTGAGAGCTAAGGGAAGCCCAGGTAAGGTACTGCTAACCAGTTGGCCCAAACTAACGAGAGAACAACTAAAGCTGAACCCCTGCGATGTGTAAAATCACGAGAACCTAGTTAGGGATCACCAGAATAACAGAGGGTGGACAATGATGAAGGGGGCAGACCCCACACCAGGCAAGAAACAAAAAAAAAAAAATACCACAAGACAGTCACCACACTCTAGGTACAGTGCTGAAACAACCACTGGAGCCGGAGCACACGACCTCAGCCTCTAGCATCAGCTGAAGAACTGATGGTTGATAGGCGGCGCGTAAGGTCTGGGGCTCCGCTTTCCCTCTTCTGGGGAGGGGAGAGCTGCGCAGACAGCGGTGCGGCGACGTGTGACGTCGTGATCGTTTGCTCGTTTCTTTTAGGGGAGTTCTATGCACTTGTTCGGTTTGTGACAGCAATTTTCACCAGAATAGGGGTTTGTTTTGGGACACTTACCTTTCTGGGTACCTGACCCAGTCGATGGCAGACATAGAATGCTTCCAACCACACGGGGGTTTCTATAGGCCATTGCTCCCCATGCCTCTCTGTGGGGGCCAGGTTCTGGCTCGTGGTCCTTGGTAGGGCGTCAGCCAGAAAAATGATCGGATGGATTACGAGAACTTTCAAATCCAGGGATCCCATCACAATGGTTGTACTCTTCAAGTCACTTGTGTTGTCCCGTCTCGAGTACTGCTCGGTACTCACTTCCCCCTTCAGATTGCTGAAATAGAGGGAAGACAGAGAACATACACGGCACGCATAGACGAGATAAAACACCTAAATTATTGGGATCGTCTCAAAGCTCTCCAAATGTACTGTCTAGAAAGGAGATGAGAGAGATACCAAATAATATACACGGAAAATACTGGAGGGCCAAGTCCCAAATCTACACAGTAAAATAACAACATACTGGAGTGAACGATATAGAAAAAAATGCAAGGTTGAACCAGTGAAGAGCAGAGGTGCCATAGGCACAATCAGAGAGCACTGTATAAACATCAGAGGTCCGCGGTTGTTCAACGTCCTCCCAGCGACTATAAGAAATATTGCCGAAACAACCGTGGACATCTTCAAGAGAAAACTGGACTGTTTTCTAAGAGAAGTTCCGGATCAGCCGGGCTGTGGTGGGTATTTGGCCCTGCGGGCCGCTCCAAGCAACAGCCTGGTGGACCAAACTCTCACGAGTCGAGCCTGGCTTGGGGAGTAGAACTCCCAGAACCCCATCAAGCAGGTATCAAGCAGGGCGATAGAACTCCATACACATGACTGATGCCAAAGTCTGACATATGCATATCAGCCTGGATAAGCTCCGGGGAGCCTCTGAGTCTCGCCCAGAAAATGGCGTTTCATTACATTCAACGCTGTTTTTTTTTTTTTTTAGCTTCTCTAATCTCCTGTTTCCTTAGTGAGCCACCTCTGACTCCAGCTAGGTGAGGGTTGGTCTCAGAGGCTTGTTGCATCTTCCCCAGGCTTTACTAGATATTCACTTAGCTCTGGAAGCTATGGAGGGCAAATGATGTACTTCTTTATATGCATCCTGAGATGTATATAGAGTTGTAACTCTTTGTATTCCTCTCTTTATATAGTCATAACATTGTCATTTTCTCATTTTCATCACAGGGAGTATTCCGTAACTCTATGCTGGGACAGTTCATAACCGTTTTGCTGCAAGTTTTGGTTCACCGTTCTCAGGATCTACTGCAGGAAGAGGTAAGATTTCTCTCAATTCACTTGATTTTTATTATTAACAAACATCTGTTTTCTCAAACTGCTAAATTATTTTCAGATTTATATTTTCTCTTCTAATTTTTGTCTTTAATCCTTTTACTGTTCCAATCACCATGTACAATTTGTCCCATTTGATGTATTAACTATTTATAGTTAGGCGTACCTCAATGTAGTACTTTTAAATAGCTGTGCAGTTCAAATGTCTACCTTCCTGTTGTGTATATGTTGTTGGTTCCAGAAATCAATGTCCACTTTGCCCAGTTTTTAACCAGACCTCTTGGCTAGTTGACCAGACCTGTCTGGTCAACCAGGGTATTAGAATATGCAGCTCACATCCTGACATATGAATCACAACCTAGTTGATTATGTATCCTTTCAGGGTGTTTATCCAAAAAAAAAATTAGTTCTATTTGAATACTAGGAGAGGTCAGCTAGTTATGTTTAGAGGTAGAGTATTGAAATGTCTTGGTCTCTTAATATTGATAGAATTGTCTCTTAGTGTACCTAGTGCACCTCTGCTTTTCAATGGGGCTGTTTTGTGTCTCCTTACGTTTCGCGTTTCCTTACCTGTCAGTGACAAAGGAGGAGTGAGATCTAGCTTTCTGTGCCCCACCACCTTGCCATGTGTAGGGTGTATCTAAAGTTTTTGCAGATGGTCTTTTCCTTTTCCATTCCATTTTCATGAATTGGACTATTGTCAAAGTGTCCTTCCAGTGGTTCTGCAAGTTGTTTAATCTTCCTGAGGTGGACCTTTTTGTGTCGGCATGTAACCAGTTGCTTTCTCTTGATGTTTTCTGGGGGAAGCCCCTTCGGTTTCCCGGAGCTTATCCAGGCTGATATGCTAATGTCGGACTTTGGCATCAGTCATGTGTATAGGGTTTTATGGGCCTACCGGGGACCACGAGCCAGAACCTGGCCCCCTAAGAGAGGCATGGGGAGCAATGGCCTATCAAAACCCCCGTGTGGTTGGAAGCATTATGTCTGCCATCAACCGGGTCAGGCACCCAGAAAGGTAAGCGTCCCAAAACAAACCCCTATTCTGGTGAAAATTGCTACCAAAAGCCGAACAAGTGGATAGAACTCCCCAAAAAGAAACTAGCAAACGAGTATGACATCACATCACACGTCACCTCGCTGCTGTCTGCGCAGCTCCCTCCTTCCCAGGAAGGGGAAGGGGGAGCCCCAGACCCCCGTGCTGGCTATCCACCATCAGTTCTAAGGCTGATGCTAGAGGCAGAGGTCGTGTGCTCTGGCTCCGGTGTTTTTCAGCACTGCTTCGAGTGTGGTGGCTGTCTTCCAGGGGTGCGAGCGCCAGGAGTTATTCTACAGTACTTGGGCTGCATGAGCCTAGGGTTACCTTCCTAGGTGCCTCTGTAAGTACTGCCCTTGGAGCTTGGGGCTACCTTCCACAAGTTCCTTGGGTCTTGCCTCTGCTGCGCTATTTAACTGCTCAGTTTTTCGGCCGCCCTTTGGGTACTTGTGTGTTGTTCACCCTTGTTTACCTTAGGGTAAGAGGCAGTTGCACTGGTGGGGCGCAGAGTGCTGCACAGCTTGTTTTCACTATTCATAGTGGTCGGACCTGTTCCTTGGGGTTTGGTTCCTTTCCTTTTGTGGGGTTTTCTTTTTGTTTTTGCCTTTTGGGGGGGGGTTCTGCCTTGCTTGCCCCTTGGTAGCCGACCTACTACGGTATTCTTCTGGTAGTGCCCCCTGCTAGGTCCCCATGAGTGTACACATTCCTGAGGTTCAGCTTTAGAGAGTTGCTTGGTAGTTTTTGGGCGCCGGTTAGCAGTACCCTGCCTGGGATTCCCTGAGCATGAGTTCCGTCTCAAGACCCTGGGAAACCCCACGGGGGTATATGGGTCCGATGGATGTAACCCCGGAGTCCCCCCCCCCTCCTCGCTTCGTGCGAGTTCGAGGGTTGATCAGTCCCCTTGTCTCAGGGTCACCCTCATGGTTTTTGCCTCCATCACGCTGCCTGTTGGCTCGGCGACATTTTCGACCCAAAATCCTGTGAGTTCTGTTGCTGGTGACTCAGTTTACCCAGTCTAATGATGATCTTCTACGGGTACAGGCGGCACAGGCATTGCATGGGCGCTTTAGGTTTTTGCAACACGCTCGGTTGGTTGCTCACCCGAATGCCTCGAGGCTGCCTTGTTTTGCTTATAGGGACCCGGACTTTGGGGTGGGGGTCGCTTCGACCTTGGTTCCGTCCGCATCGTCCTTCCCCTGTTGTGGTTCGTTCTGGTCCTCACCTTTCTTCCCTGCTTCAGGACCTGAAACGTCTGAGGTGAAACGTCTCGTCCAGAAAATGGCGTTTCATTACATTCAACACTGGTTTTTTGTGTGCATTGAGATAATTATTGTACACAAAATAAAACATTTCAAGGGTTGAACATTAGCTTCACATTTCTAATGAGATAACCCATAATATTTTGAACTCTTGAAAAAAAATTATGTTTTACTGTTTTGTTACATTGCACTGATATTACCAAAATTTATTTGAAATAAAAAGTATCTTTGAATCTTCTCTTCCAACAGATAACAATCACAGTATACAATATGGCATCGGTGGATTTCACCACGTTTTTTGCAGCATTTGTGCCCCACTTTCTTCAGAATATGGATGGTCTTGATAATGATCAAAGAACTACTCTGAAACAAAACTTCAAAACGGATACAGTAAGTTTCCATGTCTATGTGTTTGTAACATAAACAATCTTCAACAACTGCAATAATTTTTGTTACATTTTTGGCTTTGGCATTGGTCATTTGATGCATAAAACTACACAGGATCACATTGTGATCACAATGATGCAAATTATAAATGCAAACAATGCAGATTTTGGATGCATTGGTGTTTTACTATTGTTAACACTATCGCACGCCGGGCATGCACGCCGCCAACTTAGAGGTCACGCCCCCGGCATGCAGGTGAGCATGCGAGCAAGCGCGAGGTGACACTGAAATGTGTATACTCGTTTCAGTTTTCTCACCTTAATTCTCGTGCTACGTCGTTTGTTTTGGTATCATTGTGTTCGCAACAAAATTCCCTTCAGGTGTATATGCATAAAATGTACAAAAGCCTGGCGTGACTCCCAGCAGTAAAGCCTAAAGTCGGCAAAAGTTACCAGCGAGCGCACAAAATCAGTAAAATATGTTTACTCGTTTCAGTTTTCTCACCTTAATTCTCATGCTACATCGTTCATTTTGGTATCATTGTATTCACAATTAAATTCCCTGCAGGTGTATATGCATATAATGCACACCGGCATGATTCCCTGCAGGAAAGCCTAAAGTTACTCGTAAACGAACACCAATTGGCACACCACAACCTAATGTGTATACTCGTTCAGTTTGATAATATCAATTTTCGTGTTACGTCTTTCATTTTGTTATCAAATTGTTCGCAATATAACGGCGCATATTTTAAAACTAGTCCCATAATAATAGAGCAATAACTGGAATTTTAACAAATATTTTAATTTTGTATGCTCATCATCACAAAATTATTTATATCTTTCCAGTGTTCTGATATAAATTTTTGGTCCTTTGATACCAAAATTCTTTCATTTTGGTATCAAGTTGTTCACAATGTAAAGGTGCGCATTTTAAAACTAGTCCCAAAATAATAGCACGATAAATAGAATTTTAACAAATATTTTACAATTTTGACCATAAACATATTTATAATCTTTTAAGTGTTCTGACACCAGGTTTCATGTTATATCTTTCATTTTTGGTATCAAATTGTGTGCACTCTAAGGGCGCTTATTTTGAAACTATCTCGAAGTCGATTGGATTAAAAATGAATTTTATACCAATATTTTTGTATTGGACGCAAGCGCTGTCCACGGCTAGGGCTCAAGAGAAAATAGTGGACATGACCGTCGTCCACAGCCATCAATAGTGTTAATAGCAAACTTTTTACTATTTTTGCTCAGGTTTTGCAATACTAATCACAGCGGACAACACTATGCGTAAGAATTTTATTTTTTCCCTTTTATGATTGTTAAAATGTGGTCCCTGGTAAAAAGAAAAATAATACAAAATTCATAGGTGACATATTTTGGCCATAACAGTGCTAGGAAGTCTGGCAAGATTAAGGTACTGAGTGGGTATGCGTCCAGGGCCGATCTTCTCCACCCGAGCTGTCAGGCGAGAGCTGCCACAAAGATATTATTTCCTAATTATTTTAACGACTGATTTTTTTCTGTTTTCTGAGGGGAGCCACTACGGCTCCCTGGAGCTTATTGGGCTAATAAATGTTATATTAACCTGGGACATTAGCTATGGAGTTCAGACCTACCAGCACCAGAACCTGGCCCCTTCAGAGAGGTTTCAGGGAGTAATGACCCTGGAAAACCCCCTTGTGGTTGGGAGGTTATACCATTGCTCCCTGAAACCTCTCTGAAGGGGCCAGGTTCAGGCTCATGGTCCCTGGTAGGTCTGAACTCCATAGCTAATGTCCTGGTCTAATATAACATACATTAGCCTGATGAGCTCCAGGGAGCCACGGAGGCTCCCAAGCCTTCTTTGGAGGCTTGACCAAGCTTCTTTATCTGGTTACTTTCCCATATTTATGACCAGTTGGCAAATTTTTTCTGATCCTGCCTCTTTACTGTATCTGTTTGTTTTCTCATCTTCTGGCCAAGGTTCATTATATGATTACTTCATCTTTTTTAGAATACTGAATAGGAAAATTGGGTTACATCTTAAAACACTATACTTCTTTATTTTTAACAGGACCTTCCAACTTTTACACAAAATGTGCAGAGGTTCATCAATGATCTCCGATACTACCGTACCTGCAATGCTAGTCTACCACCAGGCACTGTAAAGTTATAGTACACTTATTTTGTATGGCTCAATCATAAGGATTGTGTCAAGATTTGCACTGTTGTTTTGATTGAAAGACAAATATGTTCAAATTTATTTGAGAAGAAGTAGTGCTCTGTTACCAATCCTTTGATCCACTGTGTGGAACTAATAGTCAGTCAGTGAGCAAAACAAAGGCTTCACATAGATCTAAAACATTATGCATATCATCATCATATCCATATTCATTATCTCCTCTCAAGATATATTGCTACTACAGTTGCAGTTATCCATATACACAATTCAGTGTTGTCACTCATTTATTCATCACCACATCATCATCTGGCGAGTCATTCCTTGTTGCTTTGTTCAGGTGGATTATTTAATAATGTAGCCTCTTTCATATCAACAGAAGAATTATTACTTTTGTGGCAGGTTTCAACACTACAAACATTACCAAAGTGACTATACTTTGCAGTAAACTCATCGTTGTTCAGGTTCCATATTTGATTGAGATTTCAGAATGACTGGTTGCTTCCGGACACCAATAGTAACTAGTTATTTGTCACCTGGCCATTTGAAACCAGAGTTGTACATTATGTCTAAACCATATTCCATTCATGGTCAAATGTGTGAAATAGGTACATTAAGTCCACATTAACAAATTTAGTAGAAAAATACTAATCCTCAACTCAAGTTAGACAAAATGAATCAAGGCTTCCACACTGCTTTAAATTATAATTTACTGCATTTTCTTTGTTGTCCATTTTAAAAGATATACTTAAAACCCTTAAATTGCTCATGCAACTCTCAAATGAAAATAGTCAGTGCACCTAGTCCCAGTGGGAGATTAATGTGCCATGCAATATTCAAAAGTCCTACAGATTGTATTTTGACATCATTCAACACTAAAGACCTCTAGCAGTTGTTTCCTATATTGGAACAAAATTGTGAAAGCTTTAACTTCCATTTTGGGAATTACAAGTAATGTAGTAAAAAAAATGGCACAAGTTAGGTGCATCACAATCCATTTTCTGATGTCAATAATGCCAAACCATTGATGCCAAACAAAATTTCAAGGACTTTTATGAAGACCTAGAAGATATTAATGATGATAAAAACTTTCAAATTTGACATTTTCAACCTTTCCTCACATCACTATTGCCAAATTAAATGATAAATTTTTTCCAATCATCAGAAAGAAATGTTTATTGATATCAAGAATTTTTTTTATGTACAACTGAAAATTTACCCACTTCAGTGTGTGCAGTTTGAGGGTTTTAAAACGACGTGTAAATTATATCGGGTCATAGTATAATTTCACATTTTAATTACAAATTTAGATATCATATATCAGTAGAATGCAACCTTGCTTTGGCAAATCACCTGATGCAGGGCACACTTTGCAGGTCATATTTACTCACCCACTTCACCAAACAAATGTCTGGTAAAGTGAATGGTGTGCTTATTTGCTTAGAATGCCGAGCCAGAGTTCATAGACCTCGGGAAATATTGATGGGCCTGGTTCATTTATACCATTTTGGGGTCATGACCCTACCTTTAAAAAATTAGATTTAATCCTTAGACAGCGGTTATCATCAATTGTTGATTCACTGGTTAATGCAGTTATCATATGAATATTTAAAAAAATGTTGTCTGGGTTTTACATGTATGATACAAATATGGATATAATAGGTCTATGTGGATGTAATGGCATCTACCTTGACCCACAAAAAAATCCTGCCACCATTTCATAGTCTGAATCCGGTTATTGTCATGAATGTTACTAGGGAAATGCGGTCATCATATAATGATTTAAATAATTATTGTCTGAGTTTTGCATGTATGATGCAAATATGGATATAAAAGCTCTTTTTGGATGTAAATAAAACAAAACAAGTGATAAAACAACTGGCGAAACAGATAATAAATCGGGTAGAGCCAGCAAAGGTGAGCACCAGACGTTGACAAGTGCCAGACGCAGACTTACAGAGCACTTCCACCCAGTGAAACAATAAATATTTACTTATCTTCATGTTTTTCTTATATTCTGCATACAAATTAATAATTCTATAATAACAAATCTTTTTTGGACTTAATTTTTTGTGCATAGACAAATATGACCATTCCTCCATAGCCGCTGTCTAAGGGTTAAGGGTCTGATCCTTAGAAATACTGACAGAGTGAAATTTCTATACACTCAAGTTTTCCAGATAGTTGTCCATCATAAGATAAGCTGAAATTAAACTTTGTTTAGTGAAATTTGCTCATACATACAGTTTGGGAAATAGTTTAAGAATGGTAACTTGTTTAATAATTCTTTGATTACATTAAAAGATATGTAGATAAATGAAACATTAGGAGAAACTGGCATAGCAATGTATTTTTGTCATAAAAAAATTACATCATGCAAATGCCTCTGGAAGGCTGCAACAAACCAGGCATGGGGGTCTCATATAATTTGCCATATTGAGGTTGCACTGTAATGTGTCTGACAGCCAATTTAAGGTAATTGGAAACTTAAGGCTTCGACTCCTAGTTTGTATTAAACATTTTCTAGTGATTTCTTCTTACTGTTCACAATATTAAAGGGTATATTGCAAATTTCATGTGGTCACAGTTAATGGGATGTACCCATCTTACTACTTTACTTCATTTATAAAATATTTATGGCTATGATAATTGCTGTCATCTTTTATTATTTCCAGCATGTATGCTTTCTGTTATTTTTGTTTTGTTTTGTTTAATTTAATTAAAGATCAGCTGTTGGTAAGAGTATCCCTCTGTCATATCTTTGTTGTCACTGTTTTCTGTCTAGACCCTTAAACATGTGCATGTCACCTTGCTAATGTAACCCATCACCTCTGACACTACCTTTGTCTGTATGTTTTTTTCTACCAACTGTTTGCTGTCAACATCTGTCTGTATTCTACTACACGTACTAGGTTTTCACCCGAGCCTTAGGTTCCTTTTTACTAAGACTGTGGTACTTGTCAATAATTAGGGAAAAGCCCGAGTCTGTGATCATTGAACCATGTGATACATATGTGCTTAAGTTTTGTGGACCAATGTACAATCATGTCTGGTGTTCCAACACAGATTGTAATGTCACTACCAAAACTTTGTTCAAAATATTTAATTTTGTCAGGTTCCCCATACTTATGAAAAACTCTTGGTTGTGACATTTTTGGAATGTCATTTTGTGTGATTGTGCAACTTGGGTATTTGAGATTTTTATGTAACTCTTCAAACATGAATATTAGGTTTAACTGTAAATTTCTGCAATTTCTTTTTTCTTATTACATTCTTATCTTAAGCATTCCATTAGTAATTTCACTACTATTGATTAGTTAAGTAAATTAATCATTTTACATTAAATAATCTAGTAATAATTATGTTAAATTATACTCTTTACCAGACTAGTGATAACTTGATGGGTAAGATAAACATTGACTGAGGCGCTTCTGCCACAGAAGATATATGATCATAATTGATTGGAAATTATGTTAACAATAAAACAACACATCATTGAACAATCATTGTAAATTAAATTCACTAAGACTTATAAGATCAAAAATATAATACTGTACATGTGACTAAGATATAATATGCAGTTACACTTGTTGAATTAACACTGCTCACCATGAATAACATATTTTATATCTGCTTAGCTGATGGGCATTCTGGCTAGCCACTGCTCATGGTAATTTTTGTTTTTAAGATATTTTCAACACATTACGTTGCACATTCCAGTACCAAGTTATTGGGTAGACATTCCTTCAGCTTTTTTATGTATATTCTTTAAATTTTAATTAAAGAGCCAACATTTTTCATACACAAATGGCTGATGAGAAAATCTGTAAAATTTAACATGAAGGCTGAGATAGCACTTGGGCAACAGAAAATTGATCCATGTCCAATGAAATGGTGAATGTGTTACGAGAAGTTGAAGCAATTAGTACTGTAAGTGACTTTTCATTGCCAGTTTTGGGTACATTAATTTGCATTTGCCTTTTGGTTTCCATGGTCTATTCTTCGGAAACGATTTCAAACATATATGCTCTTCATAAATAATAGTGTATGTAAAATTAAACTTTTCTATATTTTCATAAAAAAAAAAAATATTTCTGTGCAGTTTATTGAACTGTTTTGCCTGCAAAATTCATATTAATTAAAATACCAATTTAGGCCTCAATATTTTAAATTTGCTTCAGATTTTATATATAACTACCAAGAGTACGCATGATTTTTTGGTATCTTTCATATTATGAAATTTGGTATATGAAATAACTATTAGCACTAATTGCCAGATATGATTTTATCCTTTTTGTAATATATATTTTGTATGATACAAATGCCTGTTGGATCAAGACACACTGGTATTTTTCATTGTTAACATATATCAAAGAATTTTCTTCTCAGCCATTTCTTTTGGTAATTGAGTTTTAAAGATCTGGTTGTTGCCAAAGACGCATCTTTTAATATTAGCACTGTAAACATACAAATGTTTTCTTTTCTCATAAAACAGTAAACTGCTTAATTGTTTAAATATACTTTTACTTTTGTCATGACAATCTGGAACATTCTTGATGAACAGAACTGCAGTTTAGTAGATAATTACCTTTCACAAAAAAAAAAAAAAAAAAGTAAGTAAATATAATTTGAGACATCATTTGATCCTGAGGAAGTATTCTTAAATATCTTATTAGTGTGCCATTAGTATTTAAAAAAAATTAGTGCTAAACATTCCTGCCTGTTGAACCTAAGGATTAAAGTGAGGCAATGGAAAGCAAGTTGTACTTATATTTTTCATATCACTCTGCGAGCATGGTGAGTACCGTATTTGCCGGCGTAAAAGACGCACCCTTGCATAAGATGCACTCTCACATAGGACACACCCCTATTTTACAAGGATATGATGTGGGAAAAACTATTTAAAATATATTATCATACATTTATTTAAAATATAAGTAGATTTTGTACTCCAACTCCTCCTACTTCTAAGATCAGCTGTATAGTTCTTTATATTTTGGCCAAGAGAATCGCTATACAGGATGTGAAACTTGTATGTCTGGATATGATGTTTTGTGTTGCCACATCAGGACACTCCCTCCCTATCTGGCTCGCTGGCGTCGTGAGGAGACTTGGTGGGCAGCTGCCAGTGTGTGATGTTCCATAGGTCAGTCCTCTGTCCTTTTGAAGCCTTATGCTCCTGCTGCTGTCTTTACCAATTTTGCCAGAAATCTTTTTTTCCTTTTCCTTTTCATTTTTCTTCCCCTTTCTAATTGTCATTTCCTGCCGACCTTTTGTCAGTCTTGATTTTCTTTGTCAGTTTTGATTTCTTGATGTCTTTTTTTTATTTGAAATGAAAAAGTGATGCAACCATTAAAAAACTCTTAAAATATGGCCTAATTAAAAAACCCTCAGAGCGCTTTAAGGTGCTTTGCGTAATGCAGTGGTTAAGGGTAGTGTCCCTGTGCCCTTCCTCCTACCACCGCAACTGGCAATGGGAAACAGCTCTGGTGAGGCTGCGTATTGGTCATATGCGCTTAACGCACGGACACTTAATGGAGCGCCACCCTGCTCCTTATTGTCCTAACTGCATTGTCCCTCTTACAGTTGTGCATATCCTTGTTGAATGTCCTGACTTGCAAGACGAGCGTGTCTTGCTTTCCGACCATCCCCCGCGGTCACTTTTACCTTGATATAATTCTTGGTGAATCGGATACATTTGATATCATTTGCTTTATGCATTTCTGTTCTCTTATTGGCATCCTCAGTGATATTTAGCGCCCTCTGGTTATTCCGCACATTTGATGGTGCTACATAGCCTTCCTGGTTTGGTGCCTTCTTTTGATAATTACATACTTCGAGGAGAATTTTTGTATTTAGATAATGTTTCTTAAAGGTAAGTCGTTAAATAATTGACATATCAGGAGTGGGTTATGTATGCTGGGTAAGGTAGCGAGATGATGATAGCTTCCTTTATAACTGCCGACGTATATCTTAAACAATTTTTCGTAAGTTTGTGAAAACACACGGTGATAACTATGCTTGTTTTCAATATTTTATTATTAGCAACGATTTTTGTGCCTGACGGCTCCCTAGCCTATGGTGCTTGGTTTCGCATCCATAAACGTTCACATTAGACACAGCATTCTTTTTTTTACATTAAAAAAAAAAATCTTGTCTTGTACGCCGGCAAATATGGTATACACTCCCTGTATTGGTACCAACAGTAGCAGTGCATGTTGGCTGGAGAGTTGGTATACCAAGTGTATGTCACATTGATATTTATTTTTATAATGAATATGCATAGGTCGTGGCCAGTCATTCTCTTTTTCATGCATCTTTTTTTTTTTCTGTGAACATTCCTGTTTCAATTTGCATCTGTTAGTAAAGTATATTCTGATTTTTCCATCTAGTGTTTCGGCATTTCATTACATTCATTAAATCAGTGTGTATTATTACAAAGTACAGTATGCTTTTTTTTCAGTCATATAGCTTTTTGTGTAAATCTTGTACAAATATACTGTAAATGCTTCAGCTCGTATTTTTTATCCTTATTACAACTTGCTTTTACAGATTCTATACATATCTTGAATATACAGGAAATTAAAGTTTTGTACAAGTACTCCTTGAAGGCTCCTCACTACTGAGTCACATCAGCTATAGGAGTCCTATATGGCCTACCAGAACCAGAACCAGATTCACGAAGTAGTTACGCAAGTACTTATGAACATGTACATCTTGCCTCAATCTTTGATGGCTTTGGTTACATTTAATAAACAGTTTAAGAGCATGAAAACTTCCCAATCAATTGTTGTTGTTATTATAAATAGCCTCCTGGTGCTTCAGAGCTCATTAACTGCTTAATAATTGTAAAAAAAGTTGCCAAAGATTGAGAAAAGATGTACAGATTCGTAAGTGCTTGTGTAACTACTACACGAATCTGGCCCCTGGCGCTCTACTCCCCCATCGCAGAGCAACCTGTCCTCTCAAATAACACCACATTTTGACGTCAAAATACCCACTGGATAAAATATGATTTACTTGAATCATAGTGACTCGCAGACATTTTTTGCACAGGTCATTGGTTAGGCTAGGTTCAGTTTTGGCAATTTAGTACATCTTTTTGTCTTGTGACAACTTGAGAGGATTGGCTGTACAGTGTCCAAAAAGTAAGTGAAGCAATACAGACAACTGAAGGTTCATAGAAAATGAAGCACTGAAACAAGCAAGCGACTTTACAGACAATTTACTCAAAAAAACTATCTTGAACACCCCTAGTTACAACCACTCAAGAGTTTCACCTTGTTGTAATGAGTGGGGCTTCTGTATGACTTCCTAGAGCTGGTGGGTGTTGCTTCTGCCCCCTCTCCAAGCATTAAATTCAGAGGATTAAAAAATGTTGGGCACCCATTCAGGTCGTTGGGCCACCCATTCAACTTTGAACCATAGACAGCATGCCCATGCACACACTGCCAGGCCTGGACTGCTGGAATTCTACATTCATCAAGAATTGCGAAAAACCATTATCACAGGCCCTAAACAACTTTTGGAGATGGAGCCTAGGCACTTGGCATACTTCAAACAGCACAGGTCATGCAACTTCACAAAGGAGGTAGCAAAGCTGATGCAAAAAATTATAGACCAATAATTCTAACATTGCAAGTCATAATCCTTGAAAGAGTGCCAAGATGATCACAAAACACATGGAATCACAGTGCTTGCATAGCCCTGGGCAACATGGGTTCAGAACAGATAGCTTCTGCCTCTCTCCATTGCTAGACCACTATGACATGGCCATAGATGCCAGACAAAATGCTGATGTAATGTACTGTATAGTGGTACCTCGGAATACGAGTGTCCCTGTATACGAGTTTCTCAGAACACAAGCAGGATGCGCTCTGAAAATTTGCACCGGAATATGAGGGTGTTAATATGCGTACAGGCCGACTAGCGCATGGTGGCATGGCGATCGCACCTCAGTTTACCAGTGCCTCGCGCCGTGACTATCCCGCGTGAATTTTTCACAGGGATTTCCGTTTTTTGTCGGATTTTTGGTCATTTGAGCATAAAAGTTGTTATTATATATCTTGCCATGGATCTCAAGAAAGCCAGTGGTAAGGTTCGACCTAAGAAAATAGTTGTGGCCCAAAGGCCCACGTTGAAATGTGATGCAAGATCGAACTCTGTAGCCCCAGATATAATGAACCCAGACCTTGCTACATCTTTGACACACCCACTTGATCCTCTTCATGCTGCTCTCACTTTTTTGGCAGGGGTTGAGCCCCACATCCCCAGTGGTGAATGAATGAATTATATATAATGTATATATATGTGTGTGTCTGTCCTGTCTCTCTCTCTCTCTCATCATGGGTGGGTATAGGAACAGATGACTGCTGACTCCTGTTAGGTAAATACATCTCCAGTTACTGATCTGAAACCCATCTTTTAGAACTGGCAGAATGTTAAATAAGATGTTCTTAAATTGACTGGATACTGTATGTCTTGGCCTTATATCTGGGCTTTTGGATATCTAAAAAGGCTCTTATGGTTCATTGCTTGTAAGGTCCTGGGGACCATGGACCATGTCCATGGTCCCCGTCAAACTTCCTTTGCCATGGGTAGGGTTTTCCGAGATGGTCTCTTCCCTTTGGAAAGGGGAAGTTTTATTAGCCTATAAAGCAAATACTAGTTCTGTTTTAAAGCATTTCATGAACAAGTAAAGTATTAGTCAACAAAATAGCATATATTTCTTTGGAATGTATATTTTCTCGTAAAATTAACCATTTAAATTTATAAATAAAAATATTTACATGTCATGCAAGTCTTTTTCATAAGGTAAATTTAAATGAAGTATTGTAGATTATAAAATATTAGGTAAGGAGATCAACTTTGTACAAAAGTACAATAATGAAAATAAAATTGTGTATTTGATAAGAATTAAAATGTTGGAGAGCTCAGTATGAATAATTTGTTCTCGTCAGATTTTATCCATCTTAGTAGTTTATTAACATAGATAATTGCATTATGTTTGGTTACCAGTGGCTCCAGTGCAGCATACAGCTCAAACTCCCTAGTTACCTGAAAAGATAGTCTAACATAATTATCACATGTATTGGCCTGCAAACAACTATGTATATCAATGTGCTCGTATATATACAACTATGTATATCAATCAATGTGATATCAATTACTGTAGAGACATTACTTAAACTACTTGCTTCTAGAAAAGAAATGGTTCCAAAATTATGCAAATACAACCAACTTGGATTACTTTGTGTAAGCCCTAAAATTAACAGACTGTATAGCTAAGACATTAATGAACAGTATTACAGTAGAACCAACTAAATTTTTCAGCCCCCTCAAACAACAGCTCATTTGGATCCAGGTCTGCCAGGTCTGAACTTTTAGCCTGGGGTTTGAAAGTCTTATACCACACTCAGATATAAGACTTTTATTCATGCAAATGAATAAACAAAACAAAACAACAATTGGTGCAAACAACAAAATCATGAGTTAAAATACATTCCAAAAATCCAGCATGTAATGAATGTATTGGAATGCTCCTTTCTGGGGGAATTCCTTGGTGGCTCCCTGAAGCCGTTTCTGATATAGCTTCCAAATACTTAGTCACATCAGTTGTAGGCATCTTGTTGGCCTACTGGGGACCAGAGTCAAAACCTGCCAATATCCCCCCTCGAAGAGGCACAAGGAGCAGGGGATTGTCATGATTACCCTCTCCAAGAGACCACCTAGAAAGTATATGAGAAATTGCAGACAACTGCATGTTTATGAAAATGAAGCACATAAACTGTCAACAGTGTGAGGGAATAGATTTCTAGCTCTCTTAAATATATGATGGAGAGTGCACACCACCATTTTGAGACCCTCACTGGTGCATGTGTGTGTGTGCACTGATTCTAGTTTCGGTAATACGAAATGTAAACTTGCCTTGTCGGGTACCTGGTGACAGTTTTTGTCATCAGTTCCCAGTTAGTATCACGCTGGCCATCATAGGTACTGTACTTCCATTCAGTAATTACAGGAAGGTGTAATATGGAGAACAGCTAGTAAACTCCAAGGGATTGAAAATCAAATAATAGAGTCTGGTGGTACTGAACCAAGTTGGGTCATTCCAACGCAGCTCCCCCCAAGTTGGGGAAAGCTGCGCAGACAGCAGAGCAGCGACATGTGATGTCACACTTGTTTGCTTGTTTTCTGTTGGGGGAGTTCTATCCACTAGTTTGGCTTTTGGTAGCAATTTTTACCAGAATAGGGGTTTGTTTTGGGGCGCTTACCTTTCTGGGTGCCTGATCCGGTCGATGGCAGACATAGAATGCTTCCAACCACACGGGGGTTTCTATAAGCCATTGCTCCCCGTGCCTCATCTGAGGGGGCAAGGTTCTGTCTCGTGGTCCCCGGCAGGCCCTCAGAACTCCATACACATGACTGATGCCAAAGTCTGACATTAGAATATCAGCCTGGATAAGCTCCGGGAAGCCGAAGGGGTTTCCCCCAGAAAAAAAAGTACCTCCTGAAGGGTAGTAGTCAACATCCCCTCTCCAGCCCAAGTGGGGGTGGGAATGTTGTAGCGACCACATGAAGTAGTGAAGGTAATAATGATCACAATTATTCTGTTGACATTGGATGCTTGTTTCAATATACAAGTTTAGGGTGGAGGCAAACAAAGGCACCAGAGCCAAGTGGTAACCCAGTATGGTGCAGAGTATCAAGACGTCGAAGAGTTGAAGGAGAGGCAGAGGAATAGGCAGGGCAGCCACAATCGAGTTTAAACAGCACACACGAAGAGTGCAAATAAAGGATTATGCATTTATTGGATCCCCAGGACATTTAGGACAAGACTTCAAATAAGGTAAGGGCCTTATAACATTTAACTCAGAGGTGAGCAACATGGGGCCACCAAGACAAATGGGTGTCAAAGCTCAATGCCCACTGCAAAATCTTTAGAAAGTACAGTATCAACCATTTTTTATTAACACAGTGCATCCCATCTAGACATTTTCCATGCAGTACTACTATTCACTCACTACAACTAGCCATTATCATCTTGGCTTCCTCTGTCTCCTCCTCCTCCCAAATTTCTTCAATACTCTTATGTATATTTATACAGTATACCAGAAACCTTTAGCATTCTTTTGAAAGTAAAATTGGCTAAAAAGATTGAATTACCCATCCCAGTAGTGTGTGTGTGTCCATGACCATGTATACCATCTTTAACGGTCTAGACACAGAATGTACGCGATGGTGCAGCAGCTGATACAAGCCAAACAAACGCCGTTGACCTTTCTCCGTCTGGTAGCTAAGAAAAAAACATAATAAACAGTGAAAGTCATCTGATTTTACTAAAATATATAATGCTCAATATATATCAATCAAATAACACCATATATCTCTATCAAATGAAAAATAAAGTAGTAATATAGAAATATAGCATTGATAAAATGAAGGCTTATTACTTTACAAGTAGGAAAAATTTTCATGATGATATATCTTAAGAGAATACACTTGAAACAATTTTCAAGTGCAAATAATTATTTACAAGTAAAATTGTAAAATCCTCCAGCCACATTGAAATTTTAGTTTATTGTTTACAACAATGGTATAAAAAGAAGGAAGCCTTACAAAAAATTTTTGCTTACTATTTTGTAAAATCCCCTTTATGAGTAAACTAATTCTGGTGACCTCATCGGTAGAGTACAGAGCAACCATGCTCAAACTGATTGGAATTCCTTAGTAATTAAACAGTAATTTGCAGGTACAGCTTTAAAAACAACAAAACCCCAGCATTGAATCTAATGAAACGCTCCTTTCTGGTAGAACCCCAGTGGCTCTCTCTAGCTATTTTCTTGAGATTGCTCCACTCTACACTCCCCGACCTTGCTATCGGATCTCAATCATTCGTTTATTCCATCAATTCGTTTGTGATCTGACCCCGGAGAAGCCTATGTAGTTCCTCAGCTAGCCACCAAGTTGCCGGTGGTGCCACTGTTTGCTTTTGTTTACATGCGGGCAAAACCCTTCCTCCCTCTCTCACTGATTTATATCTGTGCATATTTTTTGCATTCTGCTACTAGTGTGCCTAGAAATGCAGGAAATATGTTGTTTAGGACTTCAACAAGCAGTGAAGTCAAGAGAAAACATACTGTTATGATCTATTATCAGAGCATTCAGTTTATAAAGGAAGATGAATCTGGAATGTCTCTTGTGTGGTGAATAGAGGCGCAGAGGAATGTGTCCAAATTTGAGATTGTGATTCTCTCTCTCCTGAGCAAATTTATAATGCCAATGAAACAAGTATGTACTGGTGTATGTTAAGCTAACCAAACCCAACCAAACATAATATAACCTAACTAAAGCTAACCAAAGCAAACCTGATCTAACCAAATCAAACTAGGGAAGGGGTGCCTTAAGCGCATGTAGCTAGAAGGGAACAGTATCGAAAGTCTACACATGTGAGGTGTGTAAATACACACATGTGAAGCTAACACTAAACCAATGAGCAACACACAAGCAAATGGGGCCCCATAGGATAGAGTTCAAAAGATGGCCAACACTTATCTAGAAATATTTGGAGAGTTCCTACTGTGACACACAGATTTGAAGATTTGAAGTACAATTTGCAAAGCACCAGTTATAACTTAAATGATGTTTAAGGCCTAACACTAGAATAGTTGGGCAACTTACGGAGCTGTGTATTCTGGACAAGTAAACTGAGCAGTTGTTTTGGATTTGTAGAGAAAATGTCTAAGTTCAGGTGCCCCAATGGCTTTTACAGTGTAGGAAGATGTACGTATAGCAGTGTTTATTCCTTCTAGGCAGTGATGTCTTCGTAGCCGCTGAAAAAAGAATATATTCAAACATACATATATATATATATATATATATATACATACATAATTTTTATCCCATTTCTTACTTTACTGTGATTGGGAGGCAATTGCGGAGATGTTTTTTATATAGTGAAAGAAGATTATAGATACGTAAAGAGAATAATATAATTTGTCCTTTCACTGTTTTATCATAAGCAAGAATTACCAGACTGCAGCAGTGATTCACAGCAGCACACTATTGCTTATAAAGCTGAAAAACCTGAATCAGAAAACATTAATTAGCAGTAACCTGTTTTATAATGAAATTGAACACCTAATGTAAATCACAAACTGTCAATGCAGTATAAATAAAATTGGCCTGACTTGCTACAAGATCAATGTTATACAAAGAGAACACTTATCTCATTAGGCATTAGACCATGTTTTGAATATCACCAGTGCTCATCAAAGAAAATTACGTTTCAAACAAAATTCAATTTATTTTTCACCTCCCAAATAATACTCATTAAAATTCTACTTACATCAACAATCTTTTGTTTTGCTTCAGACAGTGTGAAGAACTGTTCTCTGTCGACAGACAGCAACAGGAGACATGCCTCACAATCATCAGCAAGGTAAGACACATGACCATACAAATACCCACTGAAAATGTTATGGAAACATTAAAAGAAAATTAAGCTACTTTAATATGCATTATCGTATTATTGACATGTGTCCTACTTGTCTTTCCTCGTTATCAAGTAAAGTGACCCATGCATAACCCCTCCCTCCGAGCAGGGGCAGAACTCCTAGAAAACAGTCAATAGGACAGCAGGAAAATGCCAGAGTAAACCCAAGCGAATGCTTCCTTTGGAAAGAGGAGAGGAAACAAATGGGGTGGCTGACAAAAGGGTAAGGAACCAAGCCAAATCAAACATCCAGGTCAACACAGCCTGTTAAAACACGAGGCAAGCCAAGTAATATGCAAACCACTGTCTCCCAAAGGACTGGAGTGAGCATCCTGGGTATGGCCCCCAAGGCTTCCACACCCAGGCACAGTAGGTCTCCCCTTCCCCCTCCCAGGGAGAGGGGAGCTGTGCAGACAGCTGTGCGGCGACGTGTGATGTCATGATCGTTGCTCGTTTCTTTTAGGGGAGTTCTAGCCACTTGTTCGGCTTGAGGTAGCAATTTTCACCAGAATAGGGGTTTGTTTAGAGGCTCTTACCTTTCTGGGTGCTTGACCCAGTCGATGGCAGACATAGAATGCGTCCAACCACACGGGGGTTTCTATAGGCCATTGCTCCCCTTGCCTCTCTGAGCAATGGTCCCCAGTAGGCCCATAGAACTCCATACACATGACTGATGCCAAAGTCTGACATTAGCATATCAGCCTGGATAAGCTCTGGGGAGTCAAAGGGGGTCCCCCCAGAAAATGCCAATGAAAAGAGGAGGTAAACCAAAGTCTTCTTATTTGTTGAGAAAAGAAAGCTCAGGGCCTTCAGCTAATGAGAACTCAGCAGCTGGCTATCAAAACTTGATAGACAGCTGACCTCGAAAAGCTCATGTACAGTAATTTTAGTGTTACGTTAGATTAGGTTAGGCAAATAAACAACATTGAAGCCCTTTATCAAGCAAAATGACAATCTCCTACAAGGCCAGCTAATGATTTCTCCAACAGTTGAAATTTCTGTTATTGTCAATACAATAAATTATCTGAGCATCTAATTACTTAATTATGTTTATTGCTTATGGAAATATAAATTATGTTGGTTGTGGTAAAAGAATTTTATGAATATATTAATTTTTTGGACTTTCCTGGTTAAAAAGTAAGCCAACTTGCAAGTTTGGCTGACTCGCAGAGGAAAGGGGCGGGGGATATGATGCAGATTAGCGAGCGTAGACAATAGTAGACAATCCTTAACATACAACATACTTAGAATAGAACAACTTTTATGTTAAACCAACCACTCGATATATTGCTCTTGTAAACATTATTCTTGCATCACATACCTTGGTGTCATCCATTTTACATAACCATTTCAAGACTTGTATTTTCCCTTTTTACAATTCTTAAGACAGATTTTTATGAAGATGTTATCTGAAGTCATATTTCTGATAATACAGTATAGATATATCATTTCTCACTTCCACTATTTAATTAACCTATGAAATTCTTATAAATTTGTTCTTAAATATGGCAAGAGGTTGAAAGCACATTAATAACACACAATATAATGCAAATTAATTTGTATAACTCGTTGAAACAAGAATGGTGAAGATTGGTGAAAATAAAACATAAAATCTTACTTTGGATCAAACTTTGGCAAGCAGATTGGCATCCAGTTTTCACTTGTCTTCAAGGATTCTGTTGCATTTACAAGATTAAATAATAAGTGGAGGTCTGCTGGATGGAGAAGAAACTTTTTCATGCGTACCAAAGAGATCAGCTGGTTGTGGCAAATGATCAAACCAAACACCAAGTTCTGTAAAACCACAACATTTCATTATTAATTACTGAAAGTTATAACTGACATCATTACTTTCAACTAAACTTTTTAATATGTCCAAGACTAGTCACATAGAATTTAATAAAATACTGTACTTTATGTGTGTCAAAGTTATTTTCAGGACAGCAGGCCATATTTTATATAATTGTACATGGTGCAGGCAATGAACAGGAAGACTTCTCCCTCCTGGAACAAGAAAAAAAAAAAAAAAAACGAAAGAAAAAACCAGCGTTGAATGTAATGAAACTCAATTTTCTGGGTGAGCCCCGGAGGCTTCCTGGAGCTTATCCAGACTGATACGAATATGTTAAACTTTGGCATCAGTGTGAATGGGCCTACTTAGGCCTACCAGGGACAACGAGCCAGAACCTGGCCACCCTCAGAGTGGTACGAGGAGCAATGGTCTATAGAAACCCCCCTGTGGTTGGAAGCATTCTATGTCTGCCATCGACTGGGTCAGGCACCCAGAAAGGTAAGCATCTGAAGCAATATATCCACAGCAGCCTGGATAAGCTCCGGGGAGCCGTAGGGGCTCCCCCAGAAAACACACAGTATAATACAAGTATCAAAAAATATTTACCTTATTCTCTAGCACATCTTTTTTGTTTTCCCCCCAACATTGCATAAAGTTTTGAAGCAAACGACTGAGCTACAGCAACCTGAGTATGGAATTCAGTTGTACCCAAGTTCAGAATTATGCTGAGCTTTCTTAAATGTTCACTAGTCAAGGACTGGTCATAGACATGTGCTTCCAAACATGGGTCTTGTAATGCAGTTGGCTTTGTTCTAGGCTCACAATTGAGGATCCTGGGTTCAATTCCTGTGCGAGACAGAAATGATTGGCATGTTTCCTTTCACCTAGCAAAACAAGTATCAATGAGTTGGCAGTGTTTGGGGTTGAATCCTGGAAAGGTCTATACTTTGAGTTTTGGGGGGATCTCAAAACAAGCCTAATATATGTATATACACAGGCTGCCTGTCCCTGACAGCTAAATATAATTAACTCGATGCAGTACCCAGCTGAGCCCAGGTCTCCCTCTTCCTCTCTCCCTCTTTTTCCTAATCTTCTGCTCTCATCTTTCTTTCCATATACTTCCCCTTCCCTCCCTTTCACCCTTCTCCAAATCTCCCTCTCTTTCAATTGTCCCCCTTCTCTCAATCTCTGCCCATTCTCTCTATCTCCAAACATCCCCCCTCCTCTTGCTCTCTTTTCTCCCGATTTCACCCAGGAAGGGAGAGGGAGGAGGCATTTCTATGATTTTCACAAAACCTGATTTTAAGTCAAACTTCGTGAAAATGGAAACCACCCAAGCCAGAGGGTCAGGAACCACCCCCAACGTCACCGCAAGCTGGAAGACATGACCTGAAACACCCACAAATCATGGGACCAAGCGTGGGCAAGATGCCGATATTTCTAGAAGCATGGCAGATGCTCTGACCCAAACAGGGCTGACACGCACATACCCCCAGGTTTCACGTGTGAAAGTTGGGTGAGGCTAGCCCCAAGCTCCTGCTTTGGACAGACAGGCATTCAGTTATATATACAGAATATTAAATTATTATTAACCACTTAATTGCACCAACCGAGAAAACTCTCTTTGATTTTTCCGTACCCATTCTAAATGTGTGTAATGTTGGTTGTGTACGAAATGGACTCTTAGGACCTTCAGTGAGAGGTAGCCATCTTGGAAAAAAATCACAGGATGCCCTATGGCTGCTGGCTGGGTTAGTACCTACTGAATGAGCAACCATGGGTGGCGCATGCCCCTCTGGCTCCCAAACACCTGTCGGACACGGTGTTGAAAGATCGTTTGTTGTCGTGAAATTTAAACCTTATTGTTTGAAGAACATAAGGGTCATAATATTGGTGAAGCTAGGGGCAATAAGGACCTAACACAAAGGTCAGATGCAAGTGATACAGCACCTATGAGGATGATATAGCGAGCGTATCCAGTTGTAGCTCTGAGCACCAACCTTGCCCACCCATGCTATCTCCAATTTATATTTATTTATTTTATTTATTTATTTATATATATACAAGAAGGTACATTGGGTTTGTGAGAATACATTGGATAGTACAGTATTTACATTCTTGTAAATATAGTTATATATAGTCATATAGTTGATACATAAATGAATCGTTTTCTGTGTTCAGTGATGATGCATCTGATACAAGCAGCATAGATGAACAGTGTTAGCATCTTTCATGGTGGTGTTTTCCATAGATATTTTCATGAACAGCTGAATCTCTTCCTGACTGACGGACACTCTTTGAGGCTAGCTGAATCTCTTCCTGTGTGGGACCTTACAAAGCGATCTTTTCAATCTCCCGACACGACCCACCCACCCCACCCACCCTCCGTCTCGAGCCACAGGCAGACAGGATTAATACTGTATGGCCCACCCCATGGCTTTCATATCTGGACAATTCAATGATTATCCGGCTGACTGTCCGGATAGTGTAACATCGGCAGCAAGTTAACCGGCTCTGATTTTTTATCCGGCTAAACCAGCTTTTATCTGGCTCCCAAGGTCATTTTGGCCGGATATTGAGATAACTTCATTCGGTCACAATTTTGGCTGAATAAGGGCGTTTTCCGGATGTTCGAATCCTGGATAATCGCGTGGTTACAATAACCCTAGGCACATGCAGCCTGAGTACTGAAGAATAACTCCTGGCTCTCTCACCCCTGGAGTACAGCTGCCACTCACAAGGCACAGCGCCCCAAAAAGACTGGAGCCAGAGCACACAACCGAGCCGATATACATGTAGCATCAGCCTCAAGAACTGGGGTGTGGATCGCCGGCGCGGTGGGTCTGGGGTTACCCCTTCCTCTTCCCAGGGAGGGGGGAGCTGCGCAGACAGTGGCACGACGATGGGTGACGTCATATTAGTTTGCTAGTTTTTGTTTGGGGAGTTCTATCCACTTGTTTAGCTTTTGGTTGCAATTTTCACCAGAATAGGTGTTTGTTTTGGGATGCCTACCTTTCTGGGTGCCTAACCCAGTCGATGGCAGACATAGAATGCTTCCAACTACACGAGGTTTCTATAGGCCATTGCTCCTCGTGCTTCTGTGAGGGGGGTCAGGTTCTGGCTCGTGGTCCCTGGTAAGCTCACAGAACTCCATACACATGACTGATGCCAAAGTCTGACATTAGCATACCAGCCTGGATAGCTTTGACCCCAGAAAAATTGTTTTTTCAAGCAAATCTTTCCATTAATATATTTACCTTAATTTTGGAGCAATACTGGATGATAGTCTGTGTAATGGTGTCTCGGACTGAGGTAGCCAGGGGTAGGCACTGGATAGCTCCCAGAAGGAAAGACGGATGAGAGTCCAACATATTCAATAAATTGTCTAGTAATCTTTCAGTTCCTCCTAATAAGTGTCGGAAATCATAATTACGTCGCTTTTCAAACATACGTGTTAGGGCAGATGATGTTAGCACACTGACAATCTGGTTCTGGACATACCTGAAAGAAAGAATTTTTCAATTTGTTTTGACAATTTTACAGTAAAAATTACAATTATTCTGACTTTTATTTTTGTAATTTAATTCCAACTAGTTGCTTGAAATTATGTACATTGAGTGCCAGGAAATGCTCAAAGTTTGCTTATTCAATCACAATCTTAATGTCTTAACTAAATAATTATATATACTGTAATATAGTTTGTGTATATATAATAATAATAATTATATACACACACACACACACCCCAGTAGTTTCAAAGCGTTACATGACAAAGAGTGCTGGGAAGACGGAACACCACGAGCGTAGCTCTCATCCTGTAACTACACTTAGGTAATTACACACACACACACACGAAGAAACATAAGAAAATTCACTTTCGCAAATAGAAGACGATTGGAAGATAATTGGAACAAGTTAGGTGAGAAGGTGGTGGAGTTTAAATTTTTAAAGAGTGTGTGTGTGTGTGTAATTACCTAACTAAGTGTAGTTACAGGATGAGAGCTACACACATGGTGTCCCGTCTTACCAGCACTCTGTCTTTAGCCTAACAAAATTCGTCAACAATTTCTTTAGTATATCGCCATCCATATATTTAAAAGCAATTCTGAAGTTAGAAAGCGTTGCATAGGCTCCTCGCACAACGTTCTTTATGTGGTTCTCAGGTTTTCTATCTAGAAGCACCCCTAGATTCCTTTCTTTATCAGAATTCTTTAAAGATTTTTCACATAATTTATAGGTTGTGTGGGGTCTATGTACTCCTATTCCACATTCCATTACATGGCATTTATTGACATTAAATTCCATTTGCCAAGTTGGAGCTCCATATACTTATTTTGTCCAGGTCATCTTGAAGGGCATGACAATCATCTAAGTTTCTTAACCTTCCTACTATCTTAGCATCATCAGAAAACATGTTCAAATAATTCTGTATTCCATCTGGTAGATCATTTATGTAGACAATGAACATCACCGGTGCAAGAACTGAACCCTGTGGAACTCCACTTGTGACAGTTCTCCAGTCCGATACATTGCCTCTGATTACTGCCCTCATTTTTCTATCAGTCAGAAAATTTTTCATCCATGTTAGAAGCTTACCTGTCACCCCTCCAATATTTTCCAATTTCCAGAACTCTGTCGAAAGCCTTTTTTAGGTCCAGATAGATGCAGTCAACCCAACCATCTCTTTCCTGTAAAATCTCTGTGGCTCGATCATAGAAAATGAGTAAATTCGATACACAGAATCTACCAGATCGAAAACCATTCTGTCTGATATTATATCATCTATCTCCAAGTGTTCAACCCATTTAGTTTTTATTATTTTTCCAATATTTTGACTAATTACACTTATCAATGATACCAGTCTATAATTGAGGGGGGTGTTCCTTGCTGCCAATTTTGTAGATTGGAACTATGTTAGCCTTTTTCCACACACCTGCTATGACTCTTGTACACAGGGATGTCTGAAAAATTAGCTGAAGTGGAATGCTGAGCTCAGTTGCACATTCTCTCAGAACCCATGGTGAAACTCCATCTTGGCCAACTGCTTTGTTCTTATTTAGCTCCAGGAGCATTTGTTTTACTTCGTCTCTAGACACCTCTGTGCGCTCTATGCTGTTCTCTGGAATACTTATTGTGTCTGGTTCCCTGATGATTTCATTTTGTACAAACACACTTTGGAACTTTTCGTTTAATGTTTCACACATTTCCTTTTCATTTTTCGTAAATCTGTTTCCCATTTTCAACCTCTGAATATGATCCTTTACCTAAAATTTGTTGTTTATGAATTTATAAAATAGATCTGGTTCAGTTTTACATTTGTCCTCAATCCCATTTTCAAAATTTCTTTCTGCCTCTCTTCTCACTGCCGTGTAGTTGTTTATCGCATCTTTGTATCACTGGTATATTTGGGGGTTTGGCCTCTTCCTATATTGATTCCATTTTTGTGTTTTGGTCTCTGGCCCTCTTGCAATTTCTGTTGAACCAATCCTGTTTCCTAGTTCTGCATCTCTGCGTTGGTATAAATTTTGTTGTGCCATTGTCATATATTTCATAAATCTTGACATACATCTCATTTGCTTCGTTTCCTAACAGCAACGAAGCTACTGCTTCATTGCTGTTATTTCAGTATGGTAGCAACAGCTAGCAACAGGGCGCCACCATATGGCCCCTTCAGAAATTGTAATTGAGAAATTATTGCATAATACAATTACTAATAATTTTCCTTGGAAAAGACAAAGATGTGCCTAACTCACGTGAGCTGCATGAGAAGCTGTGCTATACTAGCAATGGAGTGAGAAACTGCCACCAAGATCAGTGGTGATCTCACCAAAAACACAAATTTATGATCTCCTGCAACTACACATCTGATCACATCATCGCTGTCGGCCACACAGGACACAAGCGCTTGCATGAGTCCAAAAAGTGTGACTAGCCTGTCTTCTTTCCCATACCTGTAATAACACAACACCTATTGTTTAGCATTAGGAAAAGGCAAGCATTAGCACATCTTTAAACTTGATTTAACATTATTGAATTAAAGTACTTTAGTTTTCATATTACAAATTTCTGTATATTAGAAATTTTATTTTTCTGGATTATCCAGATTGTGTGTCAATATTATTGACAGAGATTATCACTGACCTGCCTTTATAGTGCAAAAAAACCAGCACTGAATGTAATGAAATGCCTATTCTGGATAAGCCCTGGTGGCTTCCTGAAGCTACTATACTGATATAGTGCCAGACTACAAGGTGCTATCAGTCACAGAGTTCCATTTGGATTACTGGGGTCCAAGAGCCAGAACCTGGCCCTCTCAGAGAGGTGCAGGGAGCAGTGGAACATGTGAAAAATTTTGTCAATTTATTCCTGTCTGCCACCACCAAGGGAAGGCACCTAGAAAGTCAGCAAAACAAAACCAGTGCTTGGTTAGAAATGAGGCCGCAGCCTCAAAATCAGCCAAAGAACTTCCCCAACAATGTAATCAAACCGTTAAAAATTTGTAAAACTAGCACAAGCTAGTTCACCTCAACTTTTCTCCTCTCATATTTGTGGGGAGGGGGGAGGCAGAGCAAGTCAGCTAGCTTGTTGACTTACAAGCCAGCTGACTTGAACTCACCTTCAGTTCTTATGATGGAAACTGCCCCAATATTCTGGGGCAGGGAGTGTGTCAGGAAGCCACCGGGGTTCAACCAGAAATAAGTATTTCATTACATTCAATGCTGGTTTTCAGGGGGAAAAGAGAGTGCCTACTACAGAGGAGGAACACCAAAGCAATGAATGACTTTGCCATAATGTTTGTTTAAACTGAAAAAATGAAAGAAATTAAAGTTAATTCATAGTAACCATGCTTCTGTTTTAATGGCTAAATACAGAAAAAAAAATTAAAAACAATGTTGAGAAGAAAATGTGACTCACAAGTAACCACTAAAGTAAAAATTCCATCTTATATGGAACAGTACGTCTTACCTTGTGTAAATAGGCTTGCCCGATTCACTCAAGATAAAAACATGTTTCTCCTTTTGTATCCATTCAGGGTTCTGCAAATACTCTTCATCCAAGTTTTCTTCCTCAGTTTCCTCTTTCTGGTCCAATATCTGTAAAGCATCTTCTGATTCTGCTTTTTCATCATCATCTGCTACTGCCACATTTCCCATGCCTCCAACAAGCTCCTTTTCCTGCATGCAAGTTTAAAATTAGTTACATGAAATGTCAATTTATTATTTACACAGCATTACCTTTACAGTATGTCAATATACAGATAATGCAAAAGTAAAAATTCAATGCTATTTATAAGCTTAAATTTTTTTTATACACAGTATATATACAGTGGTACTTCAACTTACGAATTCAATCCGTTTCCAGAGACGGTTCGTGAGCCGAGAATTCGTAAATGAAACAAATTTTCCAATAAAAAATAATTTGTCTGCCCTGGCGAGCAGACAAGTGGATTGGCTGGGAGCCTACACCAGCCAATCGTTGAGGTAAGCCAGAACTCAAACAGGTCACCATGACCCGTTTAAGACGTGAGGACACGCGAGGTGCCAGATCCAAACTGAGAAGGAAGGCAACGAAAGCAGCAAGTCTGTCACTCCACGACAAAACCGAGCCAGTCCCTAAACACCGGATGAATCAAGATGTGCTAATACGCGTCCCAGAGGTCCAGACACACCATCCAGGCACCCGGCGCCAAAAGCAGCCGGACCCAAGACAGAGGGGTCACCTGAAGGAGGGGCAATGAACCCAGGGGATCAGACAAGTCCAGTATGAATCACAGATCTGCCCAGTCCCGTTTCGGAACTGAAAACAAATGGGAAACCCAGTCCAGGATGACCTGACAGAGCGCAGGGAAAGAGGCCTGCCCCGCAAGTCCCAATCCTCCTGAAGAAGAAGGAGAAGGAGAAGCAGCAACGCCACTGCAGGCCAGAGGAAAATGACCCGAATTACCCACAAATCTTGGGACTAGGCAAGAATATACAGTTTTCAGTGTTGATACTTGAATTTTGGTGCGGCTGTGGTGCAATCTGGATCATGTACAGTATAGTAACTTCAGGACGATCACATTTTTCACTACTGTATTTTTAATACTAGGGGGGTTTTAATAGTAAATATATCTCCATCTTTCTGAAGGCATATGATATTTTAGGCTTCATTAGCATATCTTTGTTAATTACAGAATATATCAGCCAGTGCGTAGGTATCCGCTCTCCATAACTGACACACTACCAGACGTGATTATAAAAACACGTATATTCATTTGAACTTAAAAATATGTCCATGGAAAAATATTTAAAATGAAGCTTGTATTTCTATCTTTCTTGAGATACATAAAACATTAATGATTAACATATTTACATGAAATAAACATTGTTCTGAGAGAAAGTTGATCAGTCGATCGATCTGTGCAGGGTCAGAGGTCAGCGATTATAAAAAATACATGCATCTTCGCTAGTGTTTGAAATAAGCCTATGGTAAGGAATTTAAAATGAAGATTATATTTCTATCTTTCTTGCATCATATAAAACACAAGTTCATGAACGTACCTACATGAAATAAGCATTTTTTAAAGGTGAATATTGTGGGTTCTGAGCTCGACGAGCGATGAAAAATTAAAAATTTCATACAACTACATATATCTTTGGTTTTATTTAAAATATTTACCTGGTAGAGGTTTTACATGTAGATTATGTTTTTGTTGTTCTTCCAACATGATAATTTGTTGCTTATCAAGTTATCAAGCTGTTTTAAACAACTTTCTTTGCGCATTTCTCTATTCCAACATGGTTGCACATTTTTGGAATTCGATACATGGATTGACCCAACTGATACTTGGGTCAGATTCCAATATGGTGTCAGACAATTATTATTCTATTACATATATAAATCACAAAACATAGCATATTGTGTGGGAACAGATGTAAAGTAATGGGACTTCTTGATACCATTTTGAACTAAAACCTGTTTTTTGTATCTACCATAAGTATTAGGGCTAGTTAGTTTATGTCAGAGGCGAGAAACCTTCATATACAAGCGGATAATGCGGATAAAGAACGGGTAATAAGCCACTAATACATAATAAGCACCGCCCACCTGCTCCTGCTGAACCTTCCTGATGGGGGAATCAGGCCCGTCTTCCCCACCGCTGAACTGGGTGTCCAGCTCATGGTTGCACTCCTCGAAGCTGTCAGTGTTAACCAGCATCACCTCCCCGCTCACCCCGGGGGTGTCATCCTTCAATTCAACTGCAACAGCCTCGATGGGGACCAACTTGGGCGGAGGTTCCTCAAGGTATTCCCTCACACCGTCCGCCATGATACCTTACCTTATTCTTGCACTATTGGAACAAATTAACTCCATACTTACATCAATTCAAAATTAAAATCAAATTTAGACTATAAAATAATTTATTATGGGCTTTGTAATTATATATGAAATTATATATGCCTATAAATTATACAAAAATTACTTTAATATTTTTTAAATAACTAAATTTCTTTTTGAGCATTGTGAGATTGTTTATGTTGATCAGCTGATGGGTGACAGGCGCCGCCTCCTCAGGATTTCCTGGGAAAAACCTTCATGCAAACTGCAGAAGAAGAAGGATTTCGTGTTCAACCTTGACCTCTGTGAGGGGTATCTGACTACTGTTCCGCCAGAGGGTCCCAAGAAAACGTATTGCATTTATTATCTACGGGCTTATATTTATGCTGTAAGGTGACTGAACTGTTACATCGCCTGGAGTCACGGAAAACACGAGAGATACTTTGCCGTCATCTGTTGGGATCTTGGGGCATCGAGTGGGAATTCAGAGCTGGTTTGTACGAGAGGTGCAGGGAAACAGTGGGTCCTGGATTCTCCTGTATTACCTGTGGACGTGTAGGTCGTCTGGCCATCCTTCGGAAGGTTAGTCGTCAACTTTGGTGAACCCCAGTAAGCCTAATGGGCTTCCTGTAACTAACAGTTGGAACCCACGAAAATTAATAAATATCTGACATAGAAGTTAAGTATTAAACACCACCCACCAAGAAGCAAATAAGCACCTACAGCTGCTTCATCAACCAGACCAATAAGTTATTAAATAAATCAGTAACTCATAATTTTTAGACTATTTAATAAATATTTTGGGTTTTCTCTATCTTGAAATAGATGAAGATGTCTGCTGACCAAACATTTAAGCCAAGACAAACCTAACTCATTTTCATGCCCTAATTTCTAATCTGCACCACTTGGTTGCTCCTAAAGGCAACATTCTACTATTAGTTATCAGCACAGCAGGGATCTTTTTACTTGTCCCAGAAAGGTCATACTAGTGCTATCACTTCTGAATAGTACCAGTATGATAGTTGATAGTGATAGTAGTAACAACACCATTATTGATAATTGACCAGACTCTGCTGTTGCCTGGTCAAGACTTTTTTTATATTTTTGAAGAGTTTCAAATCAGGATTTCCATTCAGGAACAAGGTTTTGTACATGTGAATGGCACAAGAGAATGTGTGGAGTGAGTTTATGTTTAGCATGTTTAGGGATTTAAACAGGGGGGCCAGGTGTTGTCTGAAAACAGAGTTTGTTATTGTTTTTACTTTGTTAAAACTGAATGTTATCTGAGGAAGGAACTGAGTGGCTTGCTCAGAAAAAAAGCTTTCTATTTATATTATTATATCAAATTTTTTGTTAATAATCCAGATACACACTGTCAGAAGATTCTTTCTTATTCAATAATTTTATGAACTTTCTAATTCCTATAGTTACAATGATGGTAAATAATGCAGCATTACATTAGTGTCAATCTGCATCCACCACAATTTTAATAAATGCTTTATATTTAGGATAGCATAAAATGATGGGTGCTGCTCGAAGTGAAGACTGCCTGTGCGAGGTGACGTTAGGAGCAGAACCTCGGGTTATAACAGTGCGTGTTCCCATAACCATTCCATCAAGTATTTGCCATGTTGAGTTGGCTCATCGCCTAATGCAGCACCACAACATACCTATATACCTTCTTAATGGTGCGAACATGTTCCAATTTATTAGCACTACAAATAAATAATTTACTTGATTTTGAAGTGATACAGTATGTTTTTATCTTGTATATTGAGATATTTCATAATAAAAAATTAAGCCAAAACATCCTAGGTCAGTAATAAAACTAGGAATCACATATTACCGTATGTGACTCCTAAAACTCCTATGCGAGTTTTTCATGCCATGTTCTTAATATTGCTAGTAAGCCATGCACATCTCTATTACCTAGTACATTTCTAATTTGGCTTAATTTTGCATTTACACTGTGTAGAATTATTTCTTGCAATGCACTTTAAGTTTAATTTTCATTCTTTATACTACAATACAGTTTTGTACTTTAGGATTTTCAAATTATTCTTGATTCAAAATTAGAGGTGCAGCAGTATTAGAAAAGCTACTCTATTATACATTTGTAGTGTACAGTATTTGAAATGATTACTTTGTGAATGTTGCAGAGTTGAGTGAAAAGCTTCAAGTATTTATCCAAGATAAGACCGAGCAATATTATTGCCAGCAAGATCAGCGTGCCATCCAAAATCTAAGAGATGGTACAATAAATATTGATACTGTTTCAGCTGCCTGGACTAATAAATACTCGCAAGTAATTTTCTTGTTTGATTTTTCTTCAGTGGCTCTCCAAGTTGAGAGATACATTTTATCATGTTAATCTTGATTTGGTGGTACAGTAGTATATATATACCCATCAGTTGTTGTTAAAAATGATAGATAAACCATTAATCATCTTTTGTACATCTTTCAAGTGTTTAAATTATGTAATAAGTGTATATCTTTAAATCTTATTAATTTATTTGTTGAGAGGCAGAGTTTTATTTTGTCAATTTTATAGTAACTGCTTCACTCTTTGTCAATTGAGTACTGTACTTAGGATTCTTCAGCTTTTTCAGAAGTTGGAGTACACTTAAACTCTTCTGTTACCTCCACACATCCATGATAGCAGTGAGTGCTTTTTCCACCCAGCCAGTGTTGTGTATAGTTGAATTTTCTATCCTTAGATTGCTTTGGCAATTGTTTGTCATACTGGAGAAATTTTGGTGCCCTAATCTCATGCCAAGATATAAACAGTAACTGTCATATACCTGTCGATGATTCTCGGTATCACCGAGAACACCAACATTACTGTGACCTCTGACCAGGCCTCCTGGTGCACCATGTCTGATGCAACATCCTTAAAGCTCGAAGCATGTGTGTGCACAAGCACTCAAGCAACCATTGATACCACATAAAATTTCAATAACTTTGCAAGAGCTAGAAGATTTTGGTAACAAAGATATATATTACAAGTAGTAAACTTTATTATTATCCATCCAACAGCAATGAGAATGAATGTGGCAGGTACAATGGCATTCCACAGACAAATTTCATAATGCAACGTACTGATTTTGATGAAGATGAGTCTTATTTAATTTTGTGGGGTGGCCTCTAAACCCCTCAACCCATTGACTTCTCAGATTTTATGCAGTGGTACCCTAATCAGATCAACTAACACATAACTGATTGCATTAAATAGAATTAGTAGTGAACTTTCACAAAGATTTCATTGAAACTGTTTCCTCAGTACAATTTCATGCATATTTGATGCTTAACACTTTGTGACTGAGGGTTGTATAATGTGTCATATCTTCCCTGGAGGTGAGCAAGAGGCTAGAGGATGAAGGATGTGAAAATGAGATGCTGGCTTCCATGTATCATTCCCTTGTTCACTCACCCGCAGTGGTCAACTTGCTCAGCCTTGAACATTCTTATGCTGGGGCCATGAGCTCCCTTGTGGCTCAAAGGGAATTTGCCTTGAAAGAAATTAGTGAAAGGTATTGTATATTGATTTCTTTGTATAATTATTATTAACTGTTGCTCTTTTTAGGAGATTTTCAGTTTGCTTAATTTTTTAGCTGTTGCACCCTCTGAAAGGTTTTTTCCTACCAAGGGTAGATATTTAAGTAAAAAGAATATTATTTTGGTTTTATGTTTATTACAATTCTAATAAGAATATAAAAAATACTTGCTCTATCTACTGTATACTACAAACAACACTAGACAGAATTGAAGTTAATGAAGAGGAGGTATAAAGAAACCTGGAGGTACCAAGTGTAGCAAAAGCAGTAGGACCAGACTAGATATCACCATGGTTACTAAAGAAAGCTGCAGAGATCTTGTGTTACCCATTTACTGTAGTTTTCAAAATTACACCTGAGATGGGAGAGGTACTGGAAATCTAGAAAAAGGCAAATATAGTTCAAGTATTCAAAAAAGGAGGCAGATATAAAGAAGAAAACTATGGCCAGTGTCATTACCATGCATTCCTTGCAAGATTCTAGAAAAAGTAATCAGAAAAAGGATTTTAGAACATTTAAATCAACAGATTTTAGAACAGATGGACAGGAAACAAAAGGTCATAGTTTGAGAGGATATGTCATGCTGAGTGGAAACTGGTGGACCAAAAGGCTCTGTCCTAGGACCATTGCTCTTTTATGTAAATGACCTCTCAGGAAGTGAGCTCATACATGTCAATATTTGCAGATGATGCAAAGTTAATGAGAGGAAAAACTGAAGAGGACTGTAAGGGTCATGACAGGGCCTTCACAAACTTTAGGTATGGGCAGATAAATGGACTGCTGTAATTTAGTCCAAATAAGTGTAAAGTAATGAAAATAGGTAAGGGAGACATGAGACCTGTATTTAACTATACTATAAGGGAAGGCAATTACAAGAAACAATAAGAGAAAAAGACCTGGAAGTTGATGTAATCCCCAACACTAACACCAGAAACTCATGGGAATAGTATAACATCAGCAGCATAAGGGGAAGTTAGCAAACATAAGAACATCTTTTAAGAATCTAAACAAAGAGGCTTTCAAGTCAATGCAAACTGCCTATGTGAGACCGTTACTTGAGTATGCAGCGCCAGCATAGAACCTACACCTTGTGAAGCATAAAAACTAGAGAAAGTTCAGGGGTTTGCAACTACATTAGTACCAGAGTTGAAAGGCCTCATCTATAAGGACAGGTTGAGAGAACTCACCCTCACATCCTTAGGGAAGAGAAGAAGCAGAGAGGATATGGTAACTATATACAAAATCTTGAGGGGGAATAAATAAAGTGTATAAAGGAAGCCTATTTAAATTTAAAAAAGGTAGGATGAGGAGACTTTTCAAATTAATTCAAATTCAAATTCAAATGTTTATTCAGGTACAAGTACATAACATAGAAGATGAGTTACAAACATAATGTTGGATTTATAAATAGAGCTAGTACATACATTACCATGCACTTGACTGATGTCAGAAAGTTAAACATATCCATTCAGCCTGGATAGCTCTGGGGAGCCTCCGGGACTCACCCAGAAAATGGCGTTTTATTACATTCAACGCTTGGTTTTTCTACTGTATTAAAAATGTTTGATAGCAGAAGGGACAATATATCTAAAACAGTGTGTGTATATTAAAATATATTTTAATTAATTTGAATATGTGTGACTGGAAATTTGTTATTTATTTATTGATAAGTAACAATTATGTTTTATGTTAACAGGCAAACAAAGGAGATGAGTAATACAGTGAGTAAGGTTGGCGTGAACTTGACAGATGATGATGTGAATGACCTTGCTACCCGGCACCTGGAGGATTCCCAGCTAATGGAGGTCCAGTGGGATTCAACAATATCTGTGCTGAGAGAAAATCAGAAAAGGGAGTTTAAGAACTTTGTAATGGAGTCATTCGCTGGACGAGAAATCACGACTCCAGTATCTCCCAAGTATGGTGTACATCATTTCTGTTTAAATAAAAATAAATAAATACAGCAAATTCATATTATAAGCAAGTCTGCATTTTATGTTTAGTACACTATTTGATATTCAGTATACCTTTGGTTGTACATGAGGAGATTTCATAGGGACTACTTGCACTTCAGTTAAAAAGGTTGGCCATTTTGCATTTTAATGATGCAACATCAAGCCACAAACATAAAAGACTAACAGCATGTGTGGATTACTAGCTAGAAATTTTTAGTATAAGTTTCCAAAGACCATACTGATAGTTTATAATGCAGTGGGCAGACCTTATCGTAAATATCATGTGCAGATTTGGATCCTTAATTATACAAAAGTTGAAGACAATCTTCAGAGTACATAGAAGAGTGACTAAACATATACAGTACTGTCATCAAACAATAACTCATATGAATAGAGATACAAGCATCTGTTCAGTTCATGTTTTCGTTAAAAAAAAAATAAAATAAAATTAAGGCTGTAATCAAAACCTTTAACCCTTAAACTGCGCAACATGTCACATGCAGGGTTGAGTAACTTGCAATAAATTGATATTATATTTTCTGTAAATACTGTAACAATAAAATAGATTTTCATATTCCATCAAAATCTTTTAATAGGGATTTCATAGCATCGGGTTCAGATTTGGTTTTGGTGGAAACAACGGATCCCACACAAGAGGAGAGCTTCACCATCCATCTCGGAGCGCAGATGAAGCAGATGCACAATTTACGACTTCTCTCGGCTCATGTACTCCAGTTGTGTAAATATCAGTCACATGATGTCAGGTATGTTCATGTAAATAACACAGTACATTAGAGACAATTCCATGTACAGTAATAATAATTTCATATTGAAATATTGTTACAGTATAATATTTCATTGCAACACACACACACAGTAGCATCTTGTGAAAGTAGGCATTTCAAATATCAAATGCACCTGCAGTGATGCTTAACCCCTTAACTGCACGGCCTCCAAATATGACACCCCCCCCCCCCCCCAGTGCGCAGGAAATAAAATCTCTTGAAAAAATTCTTTTCTGTTTTGAAAGTGTCAAAAATCCTTCCCTGAGTATGGGTATAGTAACAGAAGGTCGAAATTTTACGTACCTTGGCTGCTATGGGGTCTGTGATTTCGTGTGTGGAGTCATCATTCCCTGGTCACCCGTGGTGTACGCCCCCGGGGGACCGGTAGGGCGCCCGGGGCAGGATGCGCGAGTTGCCGCGAATATATTTTTGTTCATTTTTTGCGTACATTTCCAAATACATTTGTTTTGCTTTTTCTTGCCATTCCTTGTATAATGAACACGTACACTATATTATGGCAGTAGAACATCAGTTCTGTCCGAAGACACTGTGTTATGTGCATGACACGTGTACACATATCCGGCACATATTTCCATTGTATCATGCTAATTATGTATATATATAGTCTATTTACACACTATATACATTCACCATGAACACACTCAGAACTTCGCTAGTGTCAACTACCACACACTCCTCCAACATTCAGTCTCTCCCTCACTCCTCCAACATCTTACTCGCCAACATTGCTCCTCCCACCATACTGTTATTGTTTGTATTACACTATTTACACATGTTATGTATACCTATCTCCATGTTTTATTCACCAGAACTATGCAAGTAAGCCAGTATTGTGTCCAAACTTTACAGTGGCCACCATACACTGCATGAGAAATCACACAGCAGCCAGTAGACGACACTACGATTACGTCACCTCCCTCACCAAAATAGCTCCTCACAACATACTCCTGTTGCTGTTAGTACACTATATACACACATTGTATATACCCATGTAAAAATGTGTTCACCATAGCGAACCACTAAACTAGTATGATGAGCAATACAAGAGTGGCTGCCACACACAGTGAGGCTACCTCGATTCTCTACCTCGCTCCCTCACCACAATTCCTCCTCCCATAGTACTATGCACATATGTACATGGGGTATATACACACATTGTATATACCCTTGTACAAATGTGTTCACCATAGTAAACCACTAAGCTAGTATGATGAGCAAAACAAGAGTGGCTGCAACTCAGGCGCCGCCTGAGCTGTCCTGGTGTTTGGACAGAGTGCTCTCTTATTTGTCTTCTCCTCGGTTTGTTGTAGCCCCTTCGGTTCAGGATTGTTTTTCTAACGCTCTTTTCTTGTTGGCATTAGCCTCTGGGGGTCAGGTTGGGGAGCTTCATGTTCTCCTCTGGCGCAGGGGTTTCTGCTCTTTTCGTCGAGGTGATAGGTTCATTCGTTTGCAGCCGTCTCCTTTTTTTCTGGTAAAGAATGAGACTACTGCTTTCCAGAGGGGTCATTGGATTGTTAATGCTTGGTTGGTGAGGCAGGGGGTGCATGATGTGTTGTGTCTGGTTGAGGCTTTCTGCCATGGCCTCAGTGACCGGGGATGCGCTTTGGGTTGATCTGGTTTCTCTTCTTCCCTGTTCTATGGTTCGGGTATCTCAGGTTGTCCACTGGGTTATTCCAGACGGTTGGAACAAGTTAGGGGAGAAGGTGGTGGAGGCCAAGATTGTCAGTAGTTTCAAAGCATTACATGACAAAGAGTGCTGGGAAGACGGGACACCACGAGCGTAGCTCTCATCCTGTAACTACACTTAGGTAATTACTGGGCAATTCGGTCTAGCCAGTCTGCGGTCTATCCCCGTGCCCATGACGTTCGTAAGTTTGCTGCGTTGGCTGCCATCTTCGGTAACGTGTCCTAGGCTGACATTCAAGCACAGGGTTTTTGGCAGTCGAACAGGGTCCTGGCTGCATGCTACTTCGTTAATGTTCCTAGACCTAGTCGGGCCTGTGTCGTTTTGGGTCGGTGGTTGTAACCTGTTGTCTCGACTTCGAGTTGAGATGCGAGCACCGACCGCCTGCCGGGTAAGTTGCTATAGTTTTTGTCTTTGCTGATGTAGCTCCGGGGTGCCGAATGGGCTCCCCCCAGAAAACCAGCGTTGAATGTAATGAAACGCCATTTTCTGGGCGAGACCTTCCCCTTTTCCTGGTGTGCGGCATTTTTTTTTATTTTTTTTTTTTTGCATGTCTTAACATCCAGCCTCGAACTGGAGTGTGGATCACCGGCGCGGTGGGTCTGGGGCTCCCCCAGACCCACACAGACAGGGGGAACTGCACAGACATGTGGCACGGCTCGTGTGAAGTCATGCTCATTTGCTTGTTCTCATTTGGGGAGTTCTGTCCACTCGTATGTCTATTTTAGTCATTTTAACCAGAATTGGGGTTTGTTTTGAGCCGCTTAACTTTCTGGGTGCCTTCGATGGCAGACATAAAGTGCTCAATCCCATGTGCATTTCTGTAGGCCTTTGCTCCTCATGCCTCTCTGAGGGGGCCCAGGTTCTGATTACATTCAACGCTGGTTTTTTACCCTCTTTTTCTGTTATACAGTATTTCAATGCCATGAACATTATTCTGTTACCCCTTGTCTACTTAGTTTGCCATGATTAATATTATCTGAATGTGTTCACTAATAAATGTGGATAATTTTCAGTGACATCCCACCACAGAGGATTCAGACTTCAATGAGCCTCTATTCTCACAACTTGAATGGATTAGTGCTACTGGTAGATGATCGGATAAACACTTACACTGGAATCAAGCGTGGTACGGTATTGTGTCTTTATTTTCACCACATTGTAAGTAAAGTAGTATACCAGTTAGCTTTTCATTGCAAATGGAAGGATTAATAGGGAGGAACTACATTTTAAATAATTATATCTTTCTGGTGGGAAGCCCCGGGTGGTTCCCTGAAGCTACAGTGCTGATATAGTGCCAAACTACTAGGTGCTATCAGTTACAGAGTTCTTTTCGGCCTACCGGAGACCGTGAGCCAGTACCTGGTCCCCTCTAGAGAGGTGCAGTGAGCAGTGGCACTTTAATCAAATTGTCTATGAACTTTAATCATGTCTGCCACCACCAGGGAAGCACCTAGAAAGTCAATGAAAGAAAACAGACAACTGCTGTTGGAGTTTGCAGCATCTGCCAAAAGAACTCTCCCAACAACGTAAACAATCAAAAATTCATGAAACTAGCGCTAGCTCATTTGCCCCTTCTCTCCCTATGTTTTTGGGGAGGAGGGAGGCAGCTTGGGGTCAGCCAGCTGCTTCACCCACAATTCTATGCTGATGGTAGACGTGCGAGGTGCCCTCTCTGTCGCTCTGGCTCCTGTGCTCCGTTTCAGCTAATTGGTGGTTATTTGCTATTGTGGCTGTTCCAACCCACATTTCTGCTGTGTGTGAGCTAGGATCTCGGGGCACTTGGAGTTGCATGTGCACAGGGTTTTCTTCTGTGTGCTCAAGGCTGTTCGAAGACACTGCAGATTCAGGTCGTCCACAATGTCATTAAGTCTAGCCAATAGACCGTGAACATCTTTAGGAGAAAACTAGATCATTTTCTCCAAGGAGTGGCGGACCAACCGGGCTGTGATGGATGTGTGGGCCTGCGGGTCGCTCTTAGCACAAGCCTAGTGGACCAAGCTTTTACAAGTCAAGCCTGGCCTTGGGCCTGGCTTGGGGAGTAGAAGAACTCCCAAAACCCCATCAAGCAGGTATCAAGCAGTCTGTGGTCTACCCTCATGCCCATGACATCTGAAAATGTGCCACTCTTTTTTTGGCTCTTTTTGCTAATATGTCCTGGGCTGATATTAGGGCATGAGGATTCTGGAGGTCGAACAGGTTCTGGCGGCCTAGTACCTGTACAGTATCTGGTTAATGTTCCCAGGCTTCAACATTTAACTGTATCTTCTTTGTTCTGATACTTGTGGTGCTCCCTCCTCCCTGGTAAGTGCCCTTTTCTCCTCTGTGGGTAGTTAGCTTCAGGGGCTTCCCCCTGAAAACCAGCATTGAGTGTAATGAAACGTCAATTTCTGGGTGAGCCCCAGTGGCTCCCTGACACTTTCCATTCCATAAGGAGCAACATTTTCAATCATATGTTTACATAGTTTGGAGAGTTCTATGGCTGTTTTCAAGTCTGCAGGTTTTGGAGGTGGCCAGCTGTGTTTGTTATGTCTCACTGACTTATTGATGTCTTCCTCAGTGGTGGCATAAATGAAGAACTTAATATATAAATGCCATGGCTCCCTGCGTCTCTGTGAGGGGACCCGGTTCTGGCGCTGGGGCCCCGGGAAGTCGGAGAATTCTGCGACTGATGGCATGTAGTAGATGGATGGCACTTGCATAGCAGATGATGATTTCAGAAAACCATTGGGGCTCATCCATAAATGGGCATTTCGGTACACTCAATGCAGGTTTTTTAATGTGATTAGCAGCCTTATAGAAAAAACAGCAATGCTATAAACATATCTCAATACAATGTAATGTAACCAGTGCATATATTTACTTATAAATGTTACTTTTTTACTATTACAGCATTATTATTGTCTATATGCAGCCAGACACTTACATGTTAGTTTCCAGAGAGAGCAAGGTTTCAGAGGTACAGTATAGATATCATTTTGTTGTATTTCTCAACATATTAGCTATTTTACGTAGAATTCCATTGTGAATAAATCTAGTGTTATCGCAGTGGGGTCTCTTCTCATGGCGGTCCACAACGTCACCACAAAATAACGATAAGTTTACTAGAAAAGTCTACACTGGATCCGCACAGTAAATAATATGTAGAACTGTTAGGCGGCGGCAACACTCCTCACTCCATCTCTTGCAACACAGTCAGCTGGGCGGTTTAAATGCTTCACACCTGGACTCTAGATTCACAACTTGGTGGGAACCTTCTCGCCTTGGTGCCATCTTGCAATAATAAAAGGCATAAGCCACCTGTAGAGCCAATACTAAAACAGTAAATTCATCTCCCACACAATAACTCTGCATAGCTTCATATATACCAAAATGCTCCCCGAGCATCAGAGAACATGCAGGTTGCAGAGATATGACTCTTTACGCCGGAATAAGAAGGATGTAGGGCGGGGCACCATCACAGTGTACATACATATGTTCATTTTTCCTTTTCCTAGATTTTGGTCGTGTTTGTAGTAGATCAACAGAACTTCACTTGCCAGATTTAGAAGACCAGCTCGAGTGTGTTCGAGACATTGTTCCTCAAGTTGTGCAGTGGCGCCGTGATCATCCTCCTCCACAGTATGACTGTGATGAAGATGCTCCAGTAGGTATTTCTTACATTTTTATTGTAACAGTATTTTAAAAACTTTAAAATGCAATTTTACAACTGAGCTATTGTATAAATAAATTACAGCTGATCCTCACCATTTGCAAGGATGTCTTTGCAAGGGAAAGACATTGCAAAGCTATATCAGTGACATAGCTTCAAGGAGTCACCAATGGGGCTTCTACCCTCCCCAAGAAAGACTAGTGAGAGTGGTAAATTGTTTACTATATCAACGACTATACATGAATGAAAATATGAGACTACATAGCAGCTGTAGTTCAAAAGATGGCAACCATAGAAGCTGTACAATATGCAGTGCTGCAAACCAAGAATAAATAAAATAGAAAATTAACACATGAATGGTTGATGTTTGTGGTAATACTGTAGTACTGTAATCCAAATGTGGCATCTTATTAAACACTAGAAATACAGAAAGGCTCACTAAAGCAGCACTAAAACAAATGCTTTTGTATATATACAGTATTTAGGATTTAAGCTTAAAAGATACATTAACAAAGCTCATTTAAGAATTATCTAATTATTTACATTTTGGTAAATATTTTAATTTCAGCCTCCACCACCAGTTCCACAGCACCTCAAAGCGGGGGATTTCTACATTACTCGGCATTCCAATCTTGCCGATGTTCATGTGGTATTCCATATGATTGTGGACGACTCCCTTCGGTCAGGGGACATTAATTCACGCCACCCAGTCATCCTTGGTCTTAGAAATGTCTTGAAGGCAAAGTCTGATTATATATTTTTTGTACTTTATTTATACTGTACACTGCATAGTACTCTTGCAGTTCTACTAAGTGCTGTCTGCAGGATAATGCAAATAATCATGTATGAAGACATATGAGCTGAAATTAGTATCACTGTTGTGCATGGTATGTACAGTAGTTTAAAGATCAATTCCTGACAATAAAAGATATCTTTCTAAAACATTTGCCAATATTTTAAAGGAAATTCCCATTGAATGATGCATGTTTTACACAGGTTGCCTGTCTTGGGGACATCACCACGCTCACAATTCCTCTCCTGCTTACTAATACCATGTCCGAGGTGAGTATGGATATCACTAACACCTTCACATTCCTTTACAGTTTTGTACAGTCAGTTTAAGCTGTAACTAATGACAGGGAATTTACTGTAGGATATACAGCAAATGGACCACAAAACTGTTAGTATGTACGAGTCTTTTTAATAGTGAGGGCTACTAAGTGGATGCAGCCCTGGCACTGATGAGGAACACCTAGCCACTACACACAACAACACTGCAGAGGTTGCCACAAAGGCAAAACACCGCCTTGGAAATTGAGGCCAGAGAGACACTCATAAACTAGAGTGCTAGGTAGCCGGTGCGGGGTGGTCTAGGGTCCCTCCCCCCATCCTCCTCCTCCTCCTCTCAGGGAGGGAATGGCTGCACGGATGAGCAGCGCAGTAGTGGAGTGTGACGTTTGCTTCTTTACTTGGAATTGGAGGGAGTTTTACCCCCTCTTTTCAGTTTTTAGTTGTAATTTTCTTACCATGTGGGGTTTGTTTTGTTATGCCTACCTTTCTGGGTGCCTAACCCCAGTTGATGGCAAATAAGGAAAACCCCAACCACAGGGAAGGTTTTCCAGGGCCATAGCTCCCTGCAACCTCTCTGAGGGGGGTGGGGGGCCAGGTTCTGGCTCGTGGTCCCCAGTAGGTCAAACTCCTTAGACTAATGCCCCGGTTTAATATATGAAACATTAGCCCGATAGCTTCAGGGAACATCCGGAGCTCCCTGGGCTGGTTTTTCTTACCTGAGGCCATCCAATCTCTTGCTTGGGCAAGCTCCTGCTTATTAAGTTAGAACATAAAACCAACTTAGGTCAGATGATCCTTCTGTCAACTGATACAATACTGTATAGGTACTGTATTTTCATGATGCAATACAAATGTTTCCAAAGTATAATGTGAAAAATGTGTGACTTGCAGGAAATGACAATGTCTTGGTGTCAGAAACGTGCTGAGCTAGTGTACAAGTGTATTAAAGGCTTCATGATGGAGATGACATCTTGGGGTGGGGCCGAAATGAAAAACATGCAGTTCCTCGTACCAAAGGTAAATATAAATGGCAGATAAAAATTGCTGTTACTGTACTGTATTAATTTTTCGGGGGGGAGCCCCTACGGCTCCCCGGAGCTTACCAGGCTGATATGCTAATGTCAGACTTTGGTATCAGTCATCACTGACCCCGACAGGTGACATACATAGAATGCTTCCAACCACAAGGGTTTCTATAGGCCATTGCTCCCCCATGCCTCACTGAGTGGGGCCAGGTTCTGGCTCGTGGTCCCCGGTAGGCCCACAGAACTCCATACACACGACTGATGCCAAAGTCTGACATTAGCATATCAGCTTGGATAAGCTCTGGGGAACCGAAGGGGCTCCCCCGCAGAAAACTTAATTACACGCTAAATTAAAATTCAGCATGCAATACAGTAAATATTTTGCCTTGGAAATTAATATTTTCACTTTGGGAGACTGATTGGCAAGTGTTTCTCAAGTAGTTTTTTTTATCTGTTGTCTGTCATTCAAGTGAGACAAAACACTGTACATCAGAGTATCAGGATTCAGATTCAGTGGAAGAGTTATGGTACAGTTACATCTAAATTTTCTGTATTAGGTATTTTGATAACTGAAGATCAGAAAATCACAATGAGCTGTGATGATAAACATAAATATTTGTACATATTTATATTTCACAGTATATAGAAACTGAAGACATTATTTGAACATGGGAAAAAGTAAATAAATAAAGGGATAAATTGACAAATAGAAAAAGATATTGCCGAGTGGCACTTCACCCCATTACTCGTTGTCTAGCTACCCCACCCACCAGCTACCCAAATTTGCTAACTGCTAAGCTCTACCAGTTAAACCATGGCAGAGGATTCTTGATACTGTATTTGTGCTTCCTGTATGGTTTCAGTAATATAAAGAAAAAACATTTATGCCCATGCTGAGATAGAGATACAGAATACAGGCGTGCAGTTTGAGGATTGAACATTTACTGTTCGTAGTTCTAGCCTTATGTGGTACTGTTGTCAAAGAACAAAAATAATGCTTTGAATTATTTATCTCGCCTGTTTATCCCAACCTTGTGACTGGTAGGTTATCTTGAGATGATTTTGGGGCTTAGCATCCAGCGGCCCGGTCCTCGACCAGCCTCCTTTTTGTTACACACCCCTAGGAAGCAGCCTGTAGCAACTGTCTACCAACCAGGTACCTATTTACTGCTAGATGAACAGGAGTATCAGGATGAAAACAACTCTGCCCACTTGTTTCCGCCTCCACCGGGAATCAAACCAGACACCTCAGGACTATGAATCCCGGGTGCTGTCCACTCAGATGTCGGGTCCCTTTTTGCCTCGCTAGGTGGGCAGTGATGGAACACAGTGTGTAACACCGGGTGGTAGTTGAGGGTAGTTAGCATTGGGGGTTAACTAGCAATTAGGGAAAGTCCTCCTTAGCAGTTTTATAAGTACAGTAGTGCTAAAAGGGCAGTTTTTTATTAGTGCTTCTTAAAGGGATTTGAAATATAAATATAGTTGTGTTCAAGTTTATTCCATCTGCAAGTACCTTAAAGGAGGTTATTCCAAGCTAAATTGAGCATTTTTCCAATTTGCTCTTGCACAAGTATGAACCAGCAGGATACCTTAACAACTGCTCCTACCTCCAAAAATAACAAAAATAGGTATAATATGTTTATGATGCATCTTCACAATAAATTAAACTGAAGTTAACATTTATTTATTTTTCAGGGAATTTCAGAAGAATTGTTCCTGCATTTGGCTGCCATGCTTCCCAACATCTTCAGAGTGTCTAATCCATTAGTTGTTAAATCCTCTTAATAAATAGCCATGTAGTATGTACCTTTTAAATGTTAATAAATATGAAAGGGAAACTGCTTTAATTTAGCTAATTTTTTGTTTAGATTAATTTTTTTTAACCAAATCAATTCACTTTGTTTACAAGATTTTATAGCCAGATGACATATCCTAAATTGTCATACAACATTTTACAGACAATGTTCTTTTATATAAATACTGTACTGTAATATAAATGAGTTATTGGAATAAAACAAATAACAGGTAAGAACACTACTATTGTAGTTTCTTTTAACCATTAGGTACAGTAATCATCAAAAATCCAATATGGCACACCAAGAGACCGAGTTACATTACTTTGTAAAACTGGTATTTATATTTCTTTGATATTTAACCTATAGATATTATTTTTATTAACCAAGTAAGTAATTATCAATAGAAGGCACCAAACCGAGAAGGCTATGTAGCACTATCAAATGTGTGGGATAATCGGAGGGCGCTAAATATCACCAAGGATGCCAATACGAGAACAAAAATGCACAAGGCGAACAATATTTTCTCGAGTCGCCAAGAATTCTATCGAGGGACAAGCAACTGCGAGGGACGGTCGGAAACCAAGACACGCGCGTCCTGGAAGTCGGGACATTCGACAAGAATATGCATGACCGTAAGAGGGTCAATGCAATTTGGACAATGAGAAGCAGGACGGCGCACCATTAAGTGACCATGAGTTAAAAGGGTATGGCCAATATGTAACCTAGCCAGAGCCATTTCCCACTGCCGGTTACTGTGACAGGAGGAAGGCCACTGGGACACACGACTCTTAAAGAGTACGCAGTTTGTTACCAATAACAGAAGACCAACAACTCTGCCAGCGGGCAAGGATGGAGGCATGAATAACTGGGTAAAAGTCGGAATAAGGAACACCTTTACGGGAGATGGGACAAGTGCGGATAGCATCCTTAGTGGCAGCATCCGCATGCTCATTTAAAGAGACACCAACATGGCTGGGAACCCAGCAAAACGCAACCGACTTAAATTTACTGGAGATAAGAAACGGCCAATGTTGAATCTCGATGACCACCAGGTGGACCAGATTAACACTTTCGCGCTATCTGGACGCGCCGGCGCGTCCCGTTTCGTCTAACGCTAACGCATAGTGGACATAAAGTTGAGTCCTCTTTTAAAATATTTGTATAAAATTCAATTTTTATCCGATTTACTTTGGGTTTGTTTCAAACTGCGCGCTATGAGGCTCTCTTTCTCACCACTAGGCTGCATGGTACAATAAGTTCATGAAAGGTGTGGATAACTTCGATCAAATGGTATTTTGTCCCAAACGGGTTGCAGGTGGGTGACTTTAGCCGTTTATACTGGTAATGCTTCCCCCATATCATGTATTATATGCATATGTCTGTTTAGGGAATTTTATTCCGATCAATATACAACCAAAAATAACTGTGTGCAACAAGTATAAACTTGACAAACATAACAAAAGTAAAAACATTTCGTGTGTGTTTGACGCTCACTGATATGTTCCAGCGTTGTTTTATATTTGGCGCTATTCTAACTTACGCTTTGTTGATATTTTTTACCTATGGGCACATAGAACATTCTATTGCGAACACATTGACACAAAAATGAATGACGTACATAGAAAATTAATGTCATGAGAGTGAAATAAGTATAAACTTTCAAAGCGCCGTGCGTCGTCCCGTCACCGATACCGGGTAACAATTTCACCACTTCCCACACTCTTGCGGGCGGGCCGCATCATTATTCTACGCTTATATTCATATCACCGTGTTGGGAATTTCATTGCGAGTCCATTGATACCAAAATTAACGCTGTAGAATAAGTGTGGAGGTGATTACAATCCCAAGAGTAAAAACATTTTGTTGCTGATGGGCGCTCACGGCGAGTCATCTTCGTAGTTATTTATTTGGTGCTGGTATCCCTATACGTTTCGTGACTTTTTTTACTGATGGTCTTCTAGAGAATTTTATTGCGAACACGTTGGTACCAAAATGAAATACGTAGCATGAGAACTAAGGTCAGAAGAGTAAAAAGAGTATACACATTTTTGTTTTTACGCTTAAGCGATAAAAACGCTGCGCGCACATTCGGTTGGCTGAGTGACCTTTGCGGAAAGTGCGAAAGTGTTAAAGGACCCTAAAGCCATGGGGGCACTACGAGAGTCAACTACCACCACGAAGGAGGACTGACACTGGGAAAGCAGGAGACGAAGAACATAGAGAATAGCATAAAGTTCTGCTGTGAAGATGCTAGCTTCCAGAGGAAGGCAACACATTAGTGTGGTCAGGAAAAACAACAGTAGCCCACGCCGTCAGCAGATTTAGACCCATCGGTGAAGATGGGAACGGAGTGGGAGTCAGAAGAAAAGTGCTCAAGGAAGAGGCATTTCAGAAGTGTAGGAGGGGTAAAAGCTTTAGTAATGCAGGTCAGAGAAGTACAAAAGTTGGGAAGAGGGACCCTCCACGGGGACAAGGATGGAACAATACGAGAAGAAACTGTAATACGAACCGAAAGAGAATCTTGTAAGCGAGACAAACGGACAGAAAGAGGAAGGTGGTAAAGAAGAACAGGAACTACAGGAGGGGTAAAAGTCAAAGCACGATAGAGGCGAGAGTGAGGATGCTGTAAGGATCATACAAGATAGCGAAGACTGTAGCGATCACGGTGGTCCTGGAGAGACAGGAAGCCAGTGTCGGCGTACAAGCTGAGGGTAGGAGTTGAATGAAAAGCATCAGAGCTGAGGCGCAACCCAGTATGGTGCAAAGGATCAAGTCAGTGAAGAGTAGAAGGAAAAGCAGAAGAGTATGCAGGGCAACCATAATCAAGTTTAGACAGGACGAGAGAGGAATGCAAATAGAGGAGCGTACGTCTATCCGCTCCCCAAGAAGTATGGGACAAAACCTTAAGTAGGTTAAGGGCCTTAGAGCATTCAACACGGAGCAACCAAGACAAACGAGTGTCAAAGAATAACCCCAAAAGCTTCGTGGAATCTTTGTACTCAAGGGGATGACCATAAAGTGACAAAGAGGGACGAAGAACGACCCGCTTCTGAGAAAGTCATGGCACAAGTCTTAGTAGTAGAGAATTTGAAGCCATGATTGGTGGCCCAAGATGACACGGCATCAATCACAAGTTGAAGGAGAGGTGAATCATCACCCCGACAGCAAAGAGTAAGATCGTCAACATAAAGAGCGGAGAAGATGCCAGAAGGAAGGGAGGAAAGAAGACCATTGAGGGCAACCAGAAAAAGAGTAGTACTAAGAACACTACCTTGGGGCACACTTTCATACTGCCGAAAAGAGGCAGAGAGAGTGGTACCAAGCCTGACTCGAAAGGTACGAGAGAGAAAGCTTTGAAAGAAGAGGGGGAGATTACCACGAAGGCTAAAAGAACGAAGTTGGGACAGAATATGGTATCTCCAAGTCGTGTCTTTTCCAGGTCAAAAAGGACAGCAACAACAGAGGTCTTCGGAGCAAAAGCAGTACGAATATAGACCTCCAAGTTTACCAGGACATCAGTCGTGCTGCGGCACTTGCAAAAAACAAATTGAGAAGGAGAGAGGTGGTGATGGTGTTCCAAGAACCACATCAGACGGACATTTACCATACGCTCAAACAGCTTGCAAACACAACTCGTGAGAGCAATAGGGCGGAAGTCCTTAGGGCATGTACTGAGAGACCCTGGTTTCCGAATAAGAAATACAACGGCATTGAGCCAGTCCTTAGGGACGGACAACGACTCCCAGACATGGTTATACAGACTCGGTAAATACCGAGACATGCACGGAAGGAGATGGCGAAGCATCTCATAATGAACGTCATTCGAGCCCGCCGCCATAGATCCGCAGAGGGCCAGGGCAGACTGAAGTTCAGAATGAGAGAAAGGGTCGCTACAGGGAAGGCCGAGATGAGTGCGGAAATCTAAAGGATAAGATTCAAGAACAGGCTTACGAAGAAGGAAGGATTGAGGAAGATGAGAACCAGAGCTAACAGAAGAAAAGTGGGAACCCAGTTCGGTCGCGACCTTCACTGGATCCGCCACAAGAGTACCATGCTGATGTTACTAGATAGCCAAGACCCATGAACACGATCTAATTTTTAATTGCTTTACTATAGATGAGGTTATCATTACATCCATACAGATATAACCATATTTACAATTGTATAAATTCATGTGACAATAACTAAAATCAATACGTGACGACCACACTAAGGGTTAATAATGCTTACTTATTATCTATGCTGGGATCAATAATATCAACTTAGGAAAACAAGTTTAATGAATTTCACAGATTGAATATAAAATGCAATACAATATTAATTCACTCGCCTACATACCTGAAAATGTCCTCTTCCACAGTAACTTTGCAAATCAGTCAATTCATGCCTTATATTTCAAAACTGTCACCAATACCAGTTGGATACACTACCCCAGTGATGACAATTTACCAATAGCGATCTTCATGTGTAGATTTCAGAGGGTTACAGTAATTGCCATCACTTCTCTATGCTCTTGTATACATAATATAAAGGAAAAATCTTCAGAAATGTCAATATCAACTTTGGAACCCATTCATAATACATTAAGCTCGGTTACTGTAACTAAGGACACATTTATGCTACTAGGGAGCAGCTGAACGAGTGATGTACCTGTCACACATACTGTACTAAAATTTTCTTTTAAAACTGATAAAATGCTAAATACACATCCAGTACAAAAATAATTAAAACTAATACCCTTTTAGCTGATCTGTGTCAAAAGAAACATGATTATGTACTCTCCACAATTAATGTAGACAATGTTCCCTTTCATTTACGTTGAAGATTCGCATTCAAAACATCGCTTCAATCTTAAATTTTATCACAAGAAATCCAGACTTAAATACATTACAGTTCTGGGTTTAATGTGTTTTGCAAAAATTACAATCAAGATATATCGTACAATTTAACTACATTCAAACCTGAAATTTTGTTCTCAACAGTGCCGCCTTTTCCAAAGATAATTTCACCGAACCTTATAATTTACTTACATGAATATTTGTTTCCAATATACAGGTATAATGAACATGTAAATTAATATTGAAGTATACTACAACTTGGACCATTTCTATACAGGAGTTTACTAAAGAACCCTGACACAGGGCTGAAAACATCATCAATATGCAATTAATTCATAATTGTACATGATACACATGTATCAATCTTTGTTCACATCTAAATTCCAGTGCATATCTTTCCTTCAGATAACTACATAGTAAGAGCATTTAACACTTACAAAATCACAATGTCACTTTGCCTGTTGCGAAGATCCTCGAGCGAGTGGCGGGGGTCGTACCCCTTAGGATGCCAATGGAATATTTAGTCATAAGTCTCTTCAATAGTGTCTTGCGTAGCTATTCCAGCCAGATCTAGTATTTATTCCTTGCTTGACAACACCATTAACCACACTCTCGATGATCTCCAGCACTTATTCTATTTTGTATCACCTTCTCTTCTCCCTCCTCTTCATGGCAGGAAACAACTGTTTAACAGCATGACCCAACCAAATTTACTTCCTGTGAAAATTAAACCATAATGTACCTGTTAATCTCAGGGTCAGTGCACCTGTAACACCCTAATGGTTAAGAAATTATTAAATTTGTATTGTTAAGGTAACACTAGAAAAATTACTAATAAATCTTGCATCATAAAAACTTGATTGTACATGTTATTTTTTAATGTTAAAATTACCTTTGAAAAACCATGAAACAAGCATTCTAGTACAGGTAAAAATTTTCCACAAAACATTTCAACGGAACTCTCTGCAAACAATCAAAACTCATACTATGGGCTGTAAAATTGTACATAATTGACCTGGGACGAGGCATTATCACTAATGTTTACAGGCACAGTGGACTCCCATTTGAACAACAAATATCAAACAGCTTGATGGAACAGAAAGGGCCAATCTAAAGTTATGTTATGTGCTGTACTGAATAAAAAAAAAAAACTTTCAGATTTCCTTGTGGACCGTGCTCATATACACATGCTGTAGCAGTACTTCACATAAAGAAATGAAAGAAACGCCACTGAATGTAAAGAAACGCCAATTTCTGAGCTGGTGGCTCCCTGAAGCCACCGATATTGTGCCATCTACTAGTCTGTAACAGCCTCAGTTTTATTGCCCTACTGGGAACTAGTGCTAGTACCTGACCCCTCACAGAGGTGCAGGTAGTAGTATTTATATATTTATTTATTAAGGTCAATATCATGAAGCAACCAGATAAGTCAGCAAGACAAAACAAATCATTACTGTCTTCAATATGAACCACCAAAAGAACTCCCTTCCCCACCAACAATGTAAACAAATGATCAAAATTTCCTCAACTAGCTTGAAGAAATTATGTTTGCCCCCACCTCCTCCCACTCATTTGGCGAGTAGGAGGGAGGCAGCCCACAGTCAGCCAGCTACTCCACCCTTGGTTCCATGGTGGATGTAATGAAACACCCCCAACAACCTGGAGGAAGGCTGTCAGGGAGCCACCTGGGCTCACCCATTTGTACTTGCAGGATCAAGCTGTTAGCTCTTGGACCCTGTCTTTCCAACTACTGGCTGTGTAATGTTATGATGTCCAACCTATGTCCTCCATCATATCAACTAGGTCAAATACTGAATTATCATTAATCTAATATTATGCAACTGAAATCTACACAATATCTTTAGAAGTGCATCCCAATGTAAACTTCGCAGTCTATTATTGTACATTCATCAGCGAGTAGCAATATTTATTGATTAATAAATAGAAAATGTACTTACTTGCTCTTCTTTTTGCTATGATGGCGGTCACCAGAGTCATCTCGAGACCTCTTCTTATCTGAATGCTTGCTGCTGCTGCCACTAGAATGATGCCGATTCTTAGACTTATCTTTGCTCGGAGATTTGTGCGAGGACTTGTGGGAGGATGACTTGTGTGGGGAACTATGGGATGACTTGTGTGAAGATCTATGCTTGCTGCTACCAGAGCTGTAAAATGTATAATTCAGATTACAGTAGTTATACTACAGAGCATGTCATATAGAGTTTTATACAAAACTTGTCCACTTATCATTACTGATGAAAAACACACCATTAACTCAAACTGCTCTTCACCAGATTGGAGGAACAAGAGATATTAAACGGATAGACATTTTTAATTAAAAAGGATGGGGGATGAAGAGATAGGAGGAAACAATATAATAGAAATTGTCCCTGGAATGGTTATTAGAGGTTCCCATAATCCATCTAATCATTTTCCTAGCTGACACTATATTTGCTTGGTTATGCTCCCTAAATGTTAGGTTGCCAGACACCATTATTCCCATGCTGCTTTCCTACTATAGGCAGATATGACCGAGTCTTGAACCTTGTATTTTGTTTATGGTCTTTATTTTTACCATACCTAAGTACTGTACCTAGATTTATCACTATTAACCCCCTCAACTGTGCAACGCGCCTCCAGGTATTTTTATTTTTCACATTCCATTCAAAACTGGTGCGCGGTGATGTGGGTAAGAAATGGATGCCTGGGGGCCCCAGTGATCGTCCGCCATCTTGAAAAAAAATACCAGCATGCCCCGCGGCCATGGGGAGCCTCGGTTTCAAAGCAGCAACCATGTCTGACGCATCGTCTACGAGCTCCCACTCCACGGTGACCCATGGTCATGGAAAACGACTCTTAGGAGGAGGTGATACACGACATTTTGTATGATGACGGTGCTATGGATGATGACTTAGACTATGATCCAGAGAAAAACCTAACACAGAGGTCTGATACGAGTGAGGGAGAGAATGAGGTGGATGATGTGGTGAGCATGTATGGTACACGCGCCTCGCCGCCTGGGTCAACACTGTTATCACCACCACCATTGTCCCCAGACACAAATTTATTCAGTGACAGCACATGCGATGAATCTTTCTAGGGCTTCAATGACATCCTCGTGCAGCTCCAGCACCAGATGACGTAGCCGTTTTTTTAGTGCTCGTGGTGGTGTTGGCCGTGGTGCTGGTGCCAACACCAAACCCCCGGGTGCACTTGTGTGGGAGGATTGTGCCACATTTGTTAAACAAATACCAACGTTTGATGCTACAAATGTTGGTGTTACGCCATTATTCCTTTTACAGGTGATGATACGGCAGAAATAGAATATTTCCAGGCGTATTTCGACAACGAATTCATGACCCATCTTGTGACCGAGACAAATACTGTAGGTCCGCTCACAGCCTCATAGACGCCGGCATTTTACCTGCCTCGTGCTTCATGCGATGGAAGGACACTACAATTGATGAAATGCATGTGTTTCTCGCACTCAGCATGATGATGAAGCACACTGAGAAAGCTGTCGTCCAGGATTATTGGAGTAAAGACAGCCTTGTTCCATTGCCCGTGTTCAACCGATATATATTGCGTGATAAGTTCCTCTCGATTCTCAGGTGCCTGCATTTCAAGAATAATGCAAATGAGGACAGACACGACAGACTGTGGAAGGTACGGAAGGTGTTCAGTGACATGAGAGGAAAGTTCTGCGATTATTTTGTACCTGCACAGAATGTGGTAATCGACGAATTGCCTGTACTGTTCAAGAAGCGACTGGCATTTAAGCAGTACATCTATCTCGAGGTTATCTCGAGATGATTTCGTGTCCCGGCGGCTCGGTCCTCGACCAGGCCTCCACCCCCAGGAAACAGCCTGTGATGGCTAACTAACTCCCAGGTACCTATTTACTGCTAGGTAACAGGGGCATCCGGGGTGAAAAACTCTGCCAATTGTTTCTCGCTGGCACCCGGGATTGAACCCGGGACCACAGGATCACGCATCCAGTGTTCTGTCCGCTCAGCCCACAGGCATCCCATCAAAACGGCACCATTTTGGACTAAAGTTTTTCGCGCTGTGCGACTGAGACTGGTATGGTCATGGACATGCTTCTGTATTCTGGTACAGACGTCGACATACCAGCTCAGGATCCACATGGGTTCTCTGGCAATGTCGTAAAAACCCAGATGGAACCGTTGCTGAACAAGGAGCATATACAGTAATTGTGTTATAAAAAAAAATTGATAAGACCTGTCGGCACATTATTTTTATACATACAGTGAGAAAAAGTGTTAGCCACAGGCAAACATAAGGCCAAGGCACGTAAGGAGAAACACTGTGGTTGGAAAAAAAATACATGACCACAGAAAAGATCTGGTGGCCCGAAGCAACAATTATCAACACATCAACTCATCAGAGGTCAGCCAATATTCTCATCAAAACCTGTGTAAAACAAAACTGAAGCTTACCTGTCATGCTTGGAAGATTTGTGCTTTGAACTGAAATAAAGAATAAGAATGAATTAAAATTTTATGAAAGAGACTGAACTGTTTGCTTTGTTACACATAATTGTTCTTAATGATCCATATACAAATCTGTGGTACATTATTTTAACAAATATACAAACTGAACAAAATACAAAATAGCAATAATTCAGTGTCAGTATGCAGCTCATGACAGGCACAGATGTTGTAATGAGATTAACACATCTGAATCATGCAAGGTGATGTCTCTCTCCATGAATAGCCATGGAGAATATCCATATCCATATATTTAACATACAGTAGACAGTAAAATTTCATGTTTACTACAGAATATCACACTACAAATTATGCACAAATAAATTGACATTACATCTCCAGGTACATACAAATTAATTGTACGTGCAATTAACTATGTGACAGGTCGTTGGAGGACAATCATGGCAGCAGCATTAATTACTCGTACTCTTGTTGCCAGAATGATCCAGTGTGGGTGAGGAAGGGGGGGGGGGTGGTAAAGGTTTGCTTGTTATTATAGCAAGATGTGATTACATTTACAATCAACTTGTACATTTCTTGGTAATTTGCATTAGCAATAATGATCTAGATACCAACATGAACAAACATGCTTTTTAAAAGGTTGCATTTACATTTCAGTAATAAATGATGGTTACATTTCATCTACTGTACACTTACATTGCCACTCAATCAAGGCTGGTTTTCTATCACAGTATCTCACCTTTTTTCCCGGCTTTGTCGTTTTACCATATTTTCCTACTTGCATTTATTTGCTAAATAAATTTTAATGTCTCAAACTCTGTCTCGTCACTAAAAGTTGCAATTTACATGTTTAACGGAATTAAAGTAGTGGAAACCTTTGACATATATCAGATGGCCCTATTTAATGCCTTATTACCTAATATCAATTGAAATTTCTAGTTTTAATTCTTTGAGAAGCCAACTTCTAAGGAAAGAAGAGCTTCCACAGAATACTTGGTAACCAAGACAATTAAAAGTGCAGCTAAGCATTAAATATAACAAATTATAACAAAGCTGAAGTTTCCACGATCAGTCTGGGCAGTGTGAGTGCTTCAACATTCTTGGCCCTGAACCTTATAAGTGAGTAACACTACCATAAACTAACACTACCTCTAACAAGGTATGGGACAAAATGCAGAAAATGTTTGCAAGCTCCAAATATGAGGACAAATTAAAAAGCATATTTGAATAATCATCCAAAAACAAAACAGTCAACACAGTTAATTTGTACTGAATTAAATGATCAATTATTTTAAATACTTTTTTTACTACAGCTGGAAGAAATTAAATAATTTCTGTGTTTATATGTAAAGGATGATAAAAGAAACTTAATGTTAGAATTCATATAGATTAAACAAAGTTTACAGGGACAGGCTGACCTGGGAAGCATCTCATTACAAAACCAGGCACTGAATATTTAAACCTAAACAACTGATTACAAACTGGGTATTTACTATATTAAATTAACAAGGGTGTGCTTCAAAACATTACATAAACAAAAGGACTGTAGAGAGATGTTTCATTCCAAAGGACTTTAAGAATATGAGATTTACAAATAGTACCCGTGTACAAAACAAATTATTTATCCAAAATGGAATAGCAGCATTCCAGTCATGACTTAGGTTAAACAATTGTGGGAGATTAATTCCGAAACATCTGTTGTAGGCAAGTAAAAAAAAAATTAGATTTCCTAACTACATAGAAAGAGTTAAAGCTTAACAAATGAAATTTTCATGAATATGATTGTTGTAAAGAACTATCTTAAGATTATTAATTAATAGTGACCTAACTGTGAATGCAAGAAAATGCACATGGGAATGTTCATATATTGAAATGCTTAAAACCAAAGTACAACGAACTGCACCCAACACCATGATGATCAATCATATCAGTACAAGATAGAAATGGATTAATTTTGTCTGGGGATGCAGGGATAACATGGAGCTAACATACACTATGCATACTGTATGCACATTTCTGGGCTATTTTGTCAGTAGCTATCATAGCTTATGCTCTGACTATTAGGTCAGGGCAAGGTAATGTTAGGTAAGGTAAGGTAATTATCAAAAGGTAATGTTAGGTATTCATTAAAGAATCGCGCAAGGTTTTATAGGATCATACCTGATATAAATCCAGCATTCACTATGATAAGATTGCACAACAAGACTATATAAATTACACAACTTTCAATTTTGAACAATTCTCGCATCATTCTTGAGATACAGTACATACTGTAGCACCTTAAATGACAAGTTGAGTGATATGACATGTAGAGCTTCAATAAGAAACTCACTTTTATATGAAGTTTCAAGTCAATACCCTGAAGCATTCTCTAGATAGATTCTCTAGCTTGTGTGGAAGTGATAGAAAGATATCGGACCCATATTTGGGTCCGCGAGGGAGGAAAGTATTAACAAAGAAACGATTCAAAATTTTTATAAATTACCAAACATTTGGAATTTTCCTTCTGAGAATACGTAATTGACAGACTAGCAAATAGCCGAGAAACTCATTCTAAAACTCTACGGCTACTAGGTACATAAATAAGACAAGGGGTCTGAGAAAACATTATTGCATTGTATTTTTTTTTATATAAAAGACTTCTAAAGCTCCTGTATTTACCTTAGATTGAATGAAAATGTAGATACAAACTGGAAGCTCATTGCTGACTGCCAGGGGCAGCAGAGTCTTGAAAGAAGTCACTTACGATTTTTATACTTGGCTATGTTTTACTCTATGTTCATGCAGTGATCAAATTAACCTATACTTCTAAAACTATGAAAACTAGTGCAGGCGATGAGTCACAATAACGTGGCTGAAGTATGATGACCAGACCACACACTAGAAATTGAAGAGACGACGACGTTTCGGTCCGTCCTGGACCATTCTCAAGTCGATTGTATCGACTTGAGAATGGTCCAGGACGGACCGAAACGTCGTCGTCTCTTCAATTTCTAGTGTGTGGTCTGGTCATCATTATGAAAACTAGTCTTTAAAGCATAAAACTCAAACAAGAAAATTCTTTAACCAACTATTTGCCTTTAATGCCTTGCAAATTAAGTTTGTAGCCTTGAACACATCACTGCTCTTACCAACATACAATCTAGATAATACACACTTCACATGAAGTCTGCCAACATGTTATTCTAGCAACAATAACTAAATACAATGAAGATCACAGCTGCCCAGGCCTAATCTTTATCAATTAAAACACAGAAAATGGACATTACGTTTAACCATCAATTGGCATTACTTAATTCGTGATCACCAAGAACATCACACTGAAAAATAAGTGTGTTTAATTCTGATAAAATGGAACCCGATCAAATTTTTACTTATATTTTCCTATATTCCACTAATGATCAATAACTGGATAATAGGATCATTATTCATTGTTAGGTATATTCAGTATACTAACATTTATTAGTGTGTATAGTCCCTTATGCAGGGGGTACCTTTGACACACATAGAACAATTTGGTATAGGATCTCACTAGACTTCCTTGGATTTACACTTGAGGGCAGAAAGCAGACCATGTGAAGGTGATCTCATATGAAGGTGACAGCATACATATTTACATGCACGTGCTCATGCACCTGCCCAAGACAATCTTGGTGATAATTAGCAGAAATAGAAGGTTTATTACTGATGGATATATTCAGCTATTAAAAAAAAAGACTTTTCCTGGTTTTCATACATAAAAACTACAACATTTTAAAATGCAAATTGTATCCTGGTATTGTCAGTTAAGCTGATAATGAATTTTGTCATGTTTAATTGAATCTTATAAATAATGTAATTAACTTTTTAAGCACTCAGGATACATATGTAACTGAACACTTTTCTTTATAGAGTAATGTGTAACTTCTTTTCTTTATTGCAAGAAAAAAATGAAAGTCCACAACTGAAGAGCTCCTCAGCACTTTGCAGTTGAATCTCAAGCCATGGTTAGAGCTGTGTAAGGTACTGACATAGGACTTTTAAAGACAGAAGTAATGCTATAGATTATAATGCATTAATCTGTTAAAATATATGAGCAAAGCAAATGAAAGCTTAAGCAATTTCCTGATAAACTGATATCCAAGAAACCATACAAAATGTGGTTAAATATACAGCTTGATTAGATAATATCTCACTTTTACATAACCTAGCCTAACTGAAAACTGTTTGAACCAGCATGATTACACTCTAGAGAAAGTGCACCATGATACAAATTGTATCCAGAAGAAGAGGAATAATCTCGATAATCAGGATTTGCAGTGCAACTATAAACAAAATATCTATCTTACAGACCCACTTTCCCATGTGATTGAGTTCGCATCAAATATATTAAAATGTTTGCATGACAAACATTATAGTATAATAGTCATTTTTTCTTTAGCAAAAATAGGAAAAGTTCAGTTACAATGGAAAATCTAATGCATCAATCATTCCAAACAATGTGTAGCCGAGATATCACTGCTTCCATTCTACAACAACTTCACCATGCAGATGGGGATGAATTAAATGATAAAAATAAAAAGCAGTATCAGATAAACTGCAAACACTGACTTAATAGTGGCAGCTCCTGGTAACACACTGCCAACATGGACTATGGTAATTAAATGCAACTTCTGGCACACAACTTAATGATTTAACCCTTTGCAGCCAAAATATAAACAATCGTGTTATCCCCAACGACTCCTTGTGTATGTTCTTTCTTTATAATCAAAATTAATGGAAAGGATTATGCTGTAAAAATATATTCTTAAACAAGTTTAAGTAAACAACTGATCAGTCAATGCTGCATTCCAGTCTGGTTTGCATACATCTTTTGGGTTGTAGAGAATAATTAGAGGGCCTTCAGTCATTTGAATAACTGCATGGGCTGTACATGTTAAAAGTCGACCTAATCTGTAAGTAAACTACCTAAAATAATATAAAGTGCACGCACATGAGAGACACACAACGAACATTAAGTGTTACGGTTTCCCAATTTA